GGCATTGGAATGACAGTGAGGCAGAGGACTAGTTGTTGCCCCTCACAACAGCAAGGCGGAAATGGGCGCACTTCGGTGGCAGTCAGGTGTCAGATTCACATGCAGTGGTTTCGGGAGGGTAGCAAATGCTGGGCTCTTGGCAGCAGTCTTATTTTTAAACTCGATCAGAGTCGGTTAGGTGGAGGGGTGGAGCAACCAGCCATCCAGTCACTTGCAATTGTTGAATAGCTAATACCTTAATTACTTCGCTGGCTGTGCGTGGAAGTTGATACTTCTTTACTTACTCTCTCACTTTTATTGCCACTTGGACGATTTGTTACTCGCCAGAGTTTCTTCTCTTTTGAGGAAGGAGCTGACCCTTCTGCGTCTCGAAAACGCCTCACTTAAGCAGCGAATAGAAGGCCAAGAGGCAATGCATCAGCGGCATCAAAAGCCGATTGAGCCCTTCTAATGCCTTGATCCTTCATTTTCGTATGACTCGGTCAAAAATAAAGGCCCCCTTACGACCCTATTCTCGCCCTTGTCGTTATTTTTTTGCTTTACCGTTCAATTTAAAAATTATCCTGTTGCAACTAGCTCCGAAGTTGTCTGAGTCAAGCAATTAATCCATCCTCATGTCCATTCTGGTAAATTTTTGGAAACCGGGATTCACGCAGTCGCCGTGAGAGGTAGGATTTCCTTACTCTTGTCACTTTTTACGGAAAAACTAGTCTTTTCAATGGGGTGGGATGAAAAGGGGTTCACCACAATCTGACATTCAGTTGTTCCCTCCTCCATTTGATGAGGATTAACAAGGTTTATGCGTTGGTGATGAGGCAAACAATAATCCAACAGTTGTTTTGAACAATGACAAAGAGATTTGCTGTTGCACTTGTCTTTTGGGGTAACGATGTTGCGTGGTTTGGGGAACCAAGACGTTGGGTCACTTTCAGGCTACTGGAGTTTACTGAAACAAGTAAAGTTAAAGAGAAATGCAACTTGATTCACAAAGAAGCCCTTCAAAATGCAGGGTGGACTTGACAATTTAACGCATCTCGCTGCTTTAAAGGAGTAAAGGACTCTAATTAGTCTCCCAAGTGTTCCCAGCAAAGTGTCTCAGCTAAAAGGCTTTTAAACTAATTTGCATTCAATTCCTGCGCCTCAAACCTAGGTGACCTTGGCCGATGGGATGAGAGGATTTTGAAAGGTTAATTTTCACTAAAACCCCCTTTTTTATCCGTCAGAGTCGAGCTGATTAAATTAGTCTTTGAAAATGAGTTAGGCTTCTTCGAGGTGAACCTTCTATGGTTGTAGCGAGGACCTCAGCAAAAAGACGTCACCAAAAGTGTACATTGCCTGCCATATTAAACAACTAAATTGATGTTTGTGTGATGCGTTTATAATATTAAGGCAACTTAAGGCCCCTCTCTCGACCTCTCGCTGGACGGTGTGGTCTCCAGAGCCAAGCCAGAAGTCGTCATCCTCACTCAGCCTGCCCTAGAATAGTGCCTTGGCCTGCCTTTGATGAGTCCTCGGGGAGCCACATTAACAGAAATGGAAAACAAACGTAACCCTAACAATTAACACCGGAAATTCTCTTTGTTCCTTCTATTGTCAGAGTTCGTTTAAAGGCAAAACAATGAAGACCGTAATTTGTTTCGAAGGATTTGATACAGGTGTGTTCATGGCAACTGCAAAGTCGATGTCAGTTAAGCGAATTCCTGATACCTCCTCCATTTTCCCTACGAGATGGATTGGATGCAGAGTCTTACCCCAAAAATCTACTTTACACTCCATCTCTCTCTCTATTTTAAAGTGGCACTAATTTTAAGTCAGTGTTCAGACCGATTACGATGGGCAAACGCGACGACTTGCACGTTTCCACTTCCCCCAATCTAGTTGACAAGGTAGAAGAAAATTAAGATCCGAAGGAAGTTTTGAGGGAAATGAGTCGGGTTGTAGAGAAGCATTTTCTCGTTTTTATGCGGACGATGACAGGTGAGGTTGATCTGCGTATGAGTGGTTTCTGTCAGCCACGATGCGCCTTCCAAACGCTTTCACTCTTGGAATGGGACGACAACATCCTGGCAGGTATCACGTCAGTGTGTGATGTTTGAATGCCCAAATTTCCCTTATCAGCGCATTTGGCAGACTTGGCTTTGTAATTTAGGCGGTCGGACTGCTAGCGTCACGACCGCCTTTTTTGTTGGGATAATTAATAGAGAGTTTATGTCCTTTCAACCACCCTAGGCCCAAAGGGATAATTAGTTATTTACTGCTTCCTACTGCAAGAATTTAGTCGTGACAATCGGCACGAGAAAGTCAGCGGTAAAGACGGGCAAGAAATATGAGGAAATGGAGCTTCAAATTTATGCGGACGCCTTGTCAACTCGCAAATTGTACTTGTTCAAGGTGATAGGAAACTTCACAATACTTGTAGCGCACTCTCATCACATCGGATCTAAATGTTAGTGTTGGAACAAAAATGGCATTCCAATTCTCAGTAGGAGAATCTTCTTCCCCAAGTGTATTTCCAAGTAAAGAAGTGCTGGCTAGCAATAAGGTCTTTATTGCTAGCACATCTACTTGGCAGATGTGACACCTCCAGATGTTGATTTGTTGGTGTCACTGCAGGTGGACTAGCGCATTAATGCGTTGTGAGTGCGCCTGATGCGAGGGGTAGAGGTTTTACACGTTTACACAGCAATGTTCTTGGAAGAAGCATTTTCGTTTTTGATTGTCCTCACCTTTTACTCGCTTTTTACTCTCCTCCCTTTCAAATGTCCGATTTATTGCTCAGATCATAAATGTGCATCGGTAGTAAGTTTGTAAACTGCCCTCTAAACTGGGGGCTTTTATTGCGTTACGCTTTGAGTCTTTCTTAGGGAGGAAGTAAGCCATAGTAACCCAGTGAGATATGCACTGCAGAGAGCCAGAAAGGCTGGGCTGCTACTTACGTGGTGCTGTGCTTATGCTCTTGGAAGAAAATCCCAAAAGATGAGGTCTTTAGTGTGCACAAACTGGAGAGCTCAACAAGCAATCAACGTGTTGCCTGATGCCTCCCTTCGCCCTAGCATCGACCTGAGTGTTTAGCCTCCACCCAACATAGTCAGAATTGCAAGAAAACCTTCCACATACCGGTCTAGAAAGGCTTTTAACCCCTCCGTCATCGGTCGTCTATTTTTTGGTAACAAAGATTACAAAGAGGCCATTGTATAACTCTTAGCTGGTGCCAATCTCAAGTTGTAATGGCTACGAACACTTTCAGGGTTTCAACTTAAGTACTGCTCAGTTACGTAGCCATTGGCCGATGAAGGAGGTCCCACTTCCTCTTTTATGAGCAACTGCTTCACAAGCACGGAAGTGAAGTGGCCGACGAGGCAAAACACCCCCCACGATGCATTTCTCCCCATCATTAAGTAATGACCTTGGGTTCAAAGATTTCTAGGATCGATTTGTCTTCTGTGAGTATCCAGAAGGCGTCTCAAACTATCGACACACAAAAGGACTGAGTGGCCATCAGTTTGGACCAGAAGCCACGCCACATAGCAAAAGTACGACAAATAAGCAAGGGACCATATTTTTACGAAAGTGCTCCCGTGTAGAGTAACCTCTTACACCGAAAATCCCTTTCAGAAGCAAAGACTTTTCTGTCTAATTGGAGTATTCAACTACATCGGGTGTTTATTTATAGCAAAGTAGATGCTGTGTTAATCTTTGATAAGTTACTCCGTCCAAAATCCTTTCTTCTTACTGGCAACTGGTTGTTGGATAGATGCAGCTCATGAAATATGTAAATGGTAATTACGGCGGCCCTTCATATCAGTGTACCAAGGCAGGGCTCTAAGAAGGCACATTCATGTGGCACCTTACTCCATAGTCATTAATTTACTCTCCGGAGCGAGAGGGTGGTTATGATGCAGCACGATTTTGCCAAACCCGGGCGCAAGTCGAAATTCCTTCCAGCACCAGAACCTGTGGGGGAGGTCTGCCTAAAATACCTTCCTTTGATGTCAAAACCAGTGAAAGCAGTGCTTTGATGCGGTTGAACAAATTCAGCACTGACTTCGTACTTAACTGTCGAGTTCTTGGAACTTCATGTGAGGAGAGCCGAATCGATATCGCTTTATGTTTTTCGGGCAATGCATACATGCATCGCCTCTACTTCGGATTGCTGATAGAGCCTGTCAACAGTAGGTGCGTCGGATACTGGTAGACTAGGGTGGCGAAAAATCGAAAATCCCTTTCTCACCCAATGCCAAAGTATGATTGTCATCTCCTAGCCCTGGCGATGACAGATCAAGTGAAGACGTTTTCTTGAAAACCCACAGAAATGAGTACGCATCCAGTTTGATGCCATCTTAGGCGACTGTTCCATCAAGTGGACTTTTGAAAGCGAGTAGTATGCCGCATTAGTATGCTGAGTTGCTCTTTCTATGGAGGTTCTGTCTTGAACTATTTAGTTTTAAAAACGCCACCACCAGCTCGAAAATGTCTATCATGAGCCACTGTGCCTGATTTTGTGAGCACACAAAATTAGAACTCGGCCACTCCTTGTCCTAGCCTCGGCAGTCGAGACACTTTCTTAGGTGTCTAAGGCGGACACTAGAATCTCCTTCAAAAACACAATTTTTTCTGCTTTTTATACCCATTCTGTTATCTCGATGCGGTTATTCTCACATTCAGGCAACAACTTTTACTTCATTGGGATTGGACTGTAATAACAGGGTAAGAGGAAGCTTTTGCTAGCATTTGCTCCGCCTATGCGATTTTGTGTCCACCAAAACGGATGCATATAAAGTGGGTCAGTTGCAGTAAACTTGTTCCAACCTTACAACCGTGTAACTTGTGACTTCTAATTTATTAGTGACCTCTTACGGCCCGAGGTTTAGCGCCGAAACTCCCCAAATTCGCCTCCCAACACCATATTTGACAGAAGGCACAAATGAACCACATTCGAGGTCTCTTAAAGTACCTGCAAGTGAGCGTAGCGTTGAAGGCCCAGTGGGCCATTCCCACGCCTAGGGGGTTCGATGCTCCATTCCTGCTAGTTTGTAAATGTCGTCGGAAAATGCAAGATAGTCAATGTCGTCGATGAGGCCGACTGGATGTCGATAGCGTGCAATGATAGCATTCCACTCCTCCTTGGAGACGTCAGTTGCAACACCAAGATTTGTCAAAACCCTTTGAAATTGACTCTCACTCAAGGTCATTCGGTGAGTCTTGTCGAAGTCACGAAACCACTGAGTCAATTGGGTTCTTTTTGCACGAACCTTTATAAATTAGAAAAGCTGTGTTTGAAATTCCATCTCAAGAAAAGTTACTCTCTTCAACCGATTAAGAAAGTGCTTAAAAATGGCTTTAACCTGTCGGGCAAAGGTGAAATTACCTCTAACAGTTGTGCTAGACAGGTAGAGGGAGACAAAACACACTTAGAATTCGTCAGTTTGCGCATATCAAAGAGAGTATTAAAGGACTAAGTAAGAATGCTTAGAATCTTTAAATAACAGTAAATTTAAACTCGCCAATTGTCGCATGATTCCATGGACTTATATTTGTCCATCAATTAAAAATGTCCTTTTTCGTGATGAAACTTGTCTCCAGAGGGGATGTGAAAGCACAATGCATGAGAATGGACTTGTAATCTCACTCGACATTTGCAGAGAGCTCAATGCCTTCAATGGTGTGACAAAAGTGGTCAACCAATTCCGGTTTCATTATACCTTATAAGTTTACTAATTACCAACGTCTTGTCCCAGCTGTGAAAGAAGTAGAGAGCTTTCCCCTTTTCATTCTCTTAAACTTTCATTTAAACAGAAAATGCCATATTACCGCCCCTCAAATCAGTTAAGGAGTTGATTTGACTGATGTTGCATTGAATGCCACCAAATTCAAAGCAGAGTTTGATTACCGTGAGAGTGAAATCATAATTTAGTCATAAAAATGAAAAGCGACTCCTTTAAGCGTGGAAACACCGGAAATATTTTCGTTCTGTAGTCACTACTCTTAAAGATGTTGAGTAAAAACACTTTATCGTGTAGCTCACCAATTTGCTGATTTTTTCCATTGCTCGATTAGCAGCCTCGGCCATTTCAATGGACAGACAATTCCTCGAAACCACAGACTCCGGTTTGTAGACCTCCGCCTCCTTCAGAGGGTCCTTATCAAGTCGAGGTGTGGCAAATACTTGCTCAATTTCGTCACAAAAGTCCTTCCATCGTATTTCATTCTCATCGTTCGCCTTAAAACTACAAAAAAATTAACACATTCCGTCAGCTTCATGTAAGGAATGGAAAATTTTTGCTTTCATGAGAAGTCGCAACTTCTCTGCCCTTTGGGTTAACTCCCATATAAGTATTCTTAAAATAAGGTCTGCTAGTGAGTGGAATTGCCTCGCAATAAGTCGTTGTCATGTCAGCTGTCATTTAGCGCAATGGGAATTCAACTTTGTTACATAATCCACTTGCAGCTTAAGTGAACTTTTGGAAATGACTAATTACGCCCAGCACAGGGGCACAATAAAAAGCCCATTCTCATGAAAGGGTTTGTGTTGTAACAAATGTTCCTACCGATGTAAAGAGGCAGGAATTATGAGCCACAGAGGAAATTTTATTCTACCTCGTCAGGGGCGGTGATGCAACGTAGTCCATTTACTTGCAAAGCAATGCGTCGGCTGTTGGTTAAACGCCTGGGTTGGGCAAAAGGGATCGCACAATTGCTCTACGCATGTTGACCTTCTGCTTAGAGCCTGTTAAGTTTGGAACACACATTTCCTCTACGTGCTGGATCCCCTTTTGTCTCGGAGAGGCTCATGAGAGTTACAGTATTTAACGTGGAACTACTACTTAAAGTCTCATTTAAGTAAGGTTATAAACAATAAACTTGTAGAAATTTCTTGCATAGGAGATGGATTGGACAACTTTTCCTACAGAATTGCTTGAGTAATCATCAGTGGAATAGGAGTAGAACAACGTCTAGTTAGGTCTTTTCCCACTTAGGCATTTGCAAAGAGTTAATGGAGGATCAAAGAAAATTGTCAATTTTGATTATAAGACAGCTGAGCTTTACCTACGTGAAAGTTAATGCTGAGAGACATTCCGGTATGATCTGCTTAGGCAATGTCTGCGAGATACAATTTCTAAATACTCTCCATAAATTAACATAACTGTCTCAATTTATGTGCATCAAAAGGGAAAATTGTGGCAGTGGTCAGTGATTTACAGGTGTCATTTTAGGGGAGAAACTGAAGCAAAGGAAGAAAAGCTCACTAGCTTTCAATGCAGCTCAATTCTGTCTCCTTGAGTGAGATTGGGAGAAGAGATAGTGCTCTGCGGAACCTCTGTCGCGAGATGTGTCCGTGCCTCAGGGGATCATAGTCGCGGAGCCACTCGGACAATCGAATGCGCTGTTGGTAGACCTGAAATTCAAAATTCACTCCCTCACACAACACTCACTCCAGTTGTTTAACAACTTTTTACGTCTTCAGCATGATTTTACTAGCACGATATTTCGCCTACTCCTCTCTCTCCAACTTTTTAAGATTGCAACAAAAGACAAGGAGAAAAATGTGCATGCTGAAAGAGGACATAAATTTGCCCTCAAATCAATCTCAAAAGACGGATAGAATGTAGCGAGTCAATGAGAGAATCAAACTTATTGCCTGCTATTTTGTTTTGTTACTTGAAATATATCCAAAAGTCGTGCTTTTATGCATTATTTAAGGCATCCCTGCCTATTGCCCTTAAGAAGTCGACATAACGATACGGCTTGTGTTTGTGCACAGAAAGTTGGCCAATTTCTTACTAAAAGGCACTAGCAGCTTCCACTACGAAGACAGAAACGCATGTTTGATGGGAACGAATGTGTCAGAGGGGAGTGATTCATGTCCGACACCCTGCCTATGGAATGTTGGCAATAATTGATGACGATCTCTGCAGAGAGAATTGTGAAACGAAACCTACAAAGGGGGTGTTAATAAAGTTCCATCAAGCATAGGAATGCTAGTGTGAAGTGCACTGTAAGCAGTGGAAGAATCCACAAATAGGAGAAGGTGGAGTGTGAGAAAATGCGCTTTTAAATCAGGCTTGAGCATTGTCTTGGGCATTTGACTTTTGTTAACTACAACTATCTTCCTAGCGTTTCTAACAACTCCAGAGGATTTGCCAACATGGTCTTTTTCAAGCACCGATGCAATACTTGTTTAGTTGAATTTAGAACGATACCCTCAGGAGGACCTACCTCACGTTTGACGGAGTCCATGATTCCCTCCACGTCGTGAATGATCGGTTCATTCTCCGGTGCCTTGCCAGCTTTATTGAATGCTTCGCGGATGCGAGCAATTCGAAGAGGGTACTCATAGTGGAGCGACTCCTTGGAGGGTGGTTCTAGGGCTGCTAGGAACCTCCAATAATTAAAGCCTTCATCATCAGCATATTTTGAGGCTATCGCGTCGAGTTGGTCATCAGGAATGCGAAAGTTGAGGCTTGAAATTATTTGCTTGAGGTTGTGTAGGCTCACATGGCCCCTATTCACTCTGCAAGCATAACAAAGTAGCTATCGTAAAGAATCCTTTTGACATTTATGCAGTCGGAAAGAAAACAAATAAACGGTTTTACTTGGAAAAGGCCTTAAACATCGGTTTCATGTCAACGCGACGTTCAAGGATGTTCCGACGCAAATTCTGCATAGCACATTCATAGCGCTCCTTCATTTCGTCCGTAGCCGAGTCCCAATCCCCCGTGCCTGGTGTGGGGACCACATGCACCGACAGCGGCGAAACACGGAGTCGTGGATTTTGCTCGATTTCAGGCAGAGTGAAGACTACAAACGCATGGAAAGTTGTTCAGTGAATAATACGTGCTCTTTTTAGGTGGAAAGTAAACTCTGAAGTGTTACTTTTGTTTCTTGTTTAATTTTAGTACCCGTCAGGCATACACAATACTTATGAATATGCAAACAGGTTTACAGCAGAGCTTAGTCGGTGGTGCAGGTTGTTCCAATTCAAGCCTCCCTTCTTCCCCTTCTCCTCCCTTGAGCCTTAATGAAACACCAATTTACTGTAGACTGCATGAACTAGGCCTTAATGTCGATCTTTTTTTCTTTAAAATGCTAATAAACTAAACGTGATTTGTTCTCTTCCCTGGGGAAAACCATGCATTATTTTAGTCACAGGATGAACAGATATGGAGGTAAAAAATGCTCCTCTAAGAGAGTAGTTACAACCGGACATACATCTCCTTTCCCGCCTGACAGGAGCGTTAGCAAATTTTTTCCCCAATCACACTTTTCCCCAATCTCAGAAATGCATATTCAATGTGCTGATAATGTTTTGAGCACAAATTAATTAACTCAACTTCAATTTTTTGAGAAGCAGCATTGCATCGACAATCCATGCGTGCTTGGGGAGAGATTTTTTGCCTCACTGCGACAGTTACCATGCCGTACAGAAGTACACTTACAATAAATTTGTTTTTAATGGGCTCTGGTAATGTGACCCACCTCTATTGACATCACCAACAAACCTTCGCCAATCCACTTTGGCCGTATCGTTTGGCCACACATAGGCGTCAGCCAATTTGTTGAGTTGGATAGGTGTGAGGTTGTGCAGACCAGTACGCGTTAAACCAGCACCTGAAAGCGCCCGAGCAAACTGCGTTCTGCTAATTCGTCCACAGTGAAGCGGATCAAAGTCCTCAAAGAAACTGGTCAATTGAATGCGATTAACTAGGACGAGGTGACAAATGCGAGTCATCAACAAATCTACTGGAACATCGTCTCCGGCTGAAGTCGTCCTAGGCGTCGAAAGTGCCGCCCAATCCGTTGCTTGAGGCGTTTTTGGAGCTTCACCAATTCTAGGCTTCGGTAAAACAGGAGGTGGATCCTCAATGGCTTGTGGTACTGGCGCTGCTGCCTTGAAGAAAGGATCGATGGCTTCACAGAGCGCTGCGTAGTTCACGTAATTAGCCGTTGGATCAGCAAATTTGAGGCTTAAAAGGCGACACTCCTCTGGAGAAACTTCCAGTTTGAGAAAATGCAACAGACGGGCTAATTGCGAAGGAGTTATTTTTCGAGTCAGTGCAGTGCCCTGTGGTGGTTCACCCTTTTATTAGCTTCACCAAGCTAGAACATCAGTGTTAGAGCCCTTTAGTATAAAAAACACTCACGGCGTCGTAGTCGCGGAAGTACTGGTATGTGGGAATCCGTTCTCTGCGTATCTTTTCCTTTAACCTAGTAATAACTTCTGACAGCTTCATTCGCTCCTCTTCCCCCAAAAGAGGTAACGGCTGAGTGGTGAAAAGGACCACTGTTGTGAGGCTTATGAAAGGCACTGATTGTAAAATATGTCGACACTCTATGGCAAAATAACTTATGAAACCTGATGCTGATTTACTTTCAAAATAAAATGGTCTTAAGGCACTTCATTTTAACTGATAATCATTCTCACAAATAGTAGGATAATAAATGGGAGACGTACTCGAGAAAGCGCTCCAGGGTAGGGCCTTTGCGGCTGCACAAGAGGTCGTTTCTCCAAATCCATTTCCTGAAAGTCTAATCACGAAGGCTACAGTTCTAATGAACGCATATGAAAGATTCAGATGTCCCATAAAAATATGCAAAAGGCACCGAATTCTCTCAAATGATGCAAAGTTATATGTGACTACTGAGTTTGCACGCACAGTAAATGCCATCGTTAGAGGAAATGGTATAGTCCGATTTTAAAAGCGTCCGTCTCGACCGCACAATATTGCAATTATGCTCTCTTCGATGCAAATTTGGCCTTAAAGAGGATCATATTTAAACCAGAGGTGCCAACTGTGATTGTGAATGCCTTCACATGACGCTCTTTACATTATGAAGAGATAGCCTTACAAAAGTCTACTTCTTTGCAAAATTGGCGATACGCAATCATGTCACTGTTTTTCTTGGAACGAAAGAAATTAAAAAGTTTCTGAGCATCTGTTGGCTGGACTTCTGCGCCAAGAGCTCTATCTAGGGCCAATTTGAATTGATTCTCCGTGACTTCGTCATGTCTCAAGGGATCAAAGTCAACGAAAAAATCCTGCACACGTATTCCACGTCTGTAGACGGCGAAACCGATGCGCTCCAAAACTTGGTGGACAGAAGGAGTTTGCAAGTCCGTATTGTTTAACTGGCGGTCTGAAACAGTTTCCTGAAGGGATTATACGCATGGTAAGGTGAATTTCTTAGTTTAAAAAAAGCTGCCATGGTTTCACTACCCGGTTTGGGGTTCCGTGCTTTGCTATTTCTTCTTCAACGTCAATTTTAGCCACGTCATTTGCAAAATTTCGATAATCGACCATTCCTGGATATTTCGGTATTGAGTATTGCTTCGCAAGAGCGCATATTTCCGCATCAGTTATATCAGGTGGACCAGGAAAATTTCGGTAGAACTTAAAGGTCTCACAAAACGCAATCCTTACCTGACTCTCACTAATTCTCCCGCAGTTTAATATGTCAAAGTCCCTATAACACTCATGCAGATCAATACCTCGGCCTTTAACGAACTGATTAATACGGGATATAACAGGCCTAAACGCTTCCTGTTTTGGTAATGAATTATCATCAGCACAAATATACTGGTTTCTATTCATGCTATAACCATCTAAACCCATACTTGTCAAATTTGTCCAGCTGGTCTTGAGGAAAGATAGAAACATCTTTCTCGTTTATTTGCGGATCGATACGCTTAACGAATTCTCTCCAATTAATGCAAGAACCATTTCCATATTTCTCAATTAGGATTTTGCGCTGATCGTCAGTGGCAGTAAAGCCGAAGTTTTTGTCTAATACTCGAAAAAATCTATCCACTTAAAAAGTAGGTAGAATAAATGCTACTAGAATACCGGATATTTCTCCATGGCGCAGTTTATCAAAGTCTAGAAAATATTCGCTAGGTCTTATTCCCCTTTCATTTGCGATGCTACGAAGACACCCCTCCAGTCGCGCTATTGGCTCTAAGCACTGCATGTATTTTGAAGTTTGAGAAGTATCTGTTACGATGGCACGAACCATGTAAACAAATCCCATGGCCTTCCAAATGATACCGATGTAGGGATACCAAAATCAATTGAGGGATTGTAAATGTAATTGCCTACACAACAACCACCGCATAATTACCGCGATCGCAGTTTACCAAGAAAGAACACAATTTGCTAGGGCAAAGAAATTACGGACAGTTGTGGTAGTTACTATATTATGCTGCCTTGCTATTTTACCACACCTAATACAACCCGCCTTTTAACAATGTCCATAAGCCAAAGACTATATCTGCAGCTGCAAAGCCTTCCGGTCTGAAATAAAGGTCTCTTTTTGCGTTTGGGAAGCCCTGCAATAATGTCGTCGTTACAAGGTTGAGCTAAATAAAGCCAGCTATATTTTTTAGCAAGGTGTGAAGATCAGTATATTCGATCTATGAGTTTTCGACTTTAAAATCAAACTTCGTGATAATGCTAAGCATATTTGCAAATTAACCCACTATTGTGTTGAATTGAATTTAACCGTAACTATGCACTGCAAACAGCGTTAATAAAGCCACAAAAGCTTTTTTCGAAAACATACGCTAGACTATATTTAAAAGTTTTAATTTTGCTTCTTTATATCTCATGCATTTTAATGCTTTGATAATTGAGAAATTTATATCGGCAGGAAGTAATTCATTAGAGCTGGATGGTCCAGCGGCGCCTTTGGTTGTGCAGTAGCTCGATATTTAGCCTATCTCGGGCGTGGGAGGTTAGTTAGGAGTCGGTTGTTAGCGCGCTCTCAGAGATTAGATTGTGATAAACATGGTTAATTGTGCAGCTGCTCCGTCTTTGTCTTTATTGATATAGTTGTGATAGATTTTTGAACTCACACAGATGATAAGATTTAGTAATTAACTCCGAACCGCATCTACGCTGACCACATGCTAGGTGTCCGCGGTTGCATTGTAAGCACCATTTCCAGTTTCTAGCTTCAACATTATGACCACCTTTACTAGTATTGCCTGGAAAGAATAAATGTCACTGATACTATTGCGAAGTAAATAAAGCGGCAGGTTCGGGCAAAGTGTTATTTGTCGTTTCCTTTATCGCATAGATTTAATCCTTTGAACTTATGTCTAATTTTACTAAATTCTACTCCGTTCAAGTTTTCCTCTTCTGTGTGGTTCAGTATAATGGGCTTCTTGCTACGGGCAAGCACGAGACTTCATTGTCGGTTCGTTCAATTGAGTCTTCGACGCTTCAACAGCTCTTCTTCAGGGGTATATAGATTCTCCCCTCTTCTTACACCTACCAATTTAGCCCTTTGATATCACTAAGATTCGAAACATCGGCATCTCGGCACATATCGATAGTGGGAAAACAACAGTTTCTGAGCGCATTCTTTTCTACACGAATCGGATCTCATCCATGCATGAGGTTAGTGGTTGTTGTATGTCAACAACAGGACCTTCATGGTTGGCTTATTCTCATTTGTCTCCTACAAAGGTGAGGGGAAAGGATGGAATTGGCGCGGTGATGGATTCGATGGAACTGGAGCGTCAGCGAGGTATTACCATCCAGTCGGCATCAACGTACACTTCGTGGCGTGGTCACACTATCAATCTTATTGACACGCCGGGCCATGTGGACTTTACGGTTGAAGTAGAACGTGCTCTGCGTGTCCTTGACGGTGCTGTACTCATTCTCTGCGCTGTAGGTGGCGTACAGAGTCAGACTCTCACAGTGGAAAGACAGATGAAGCGCTATAAGGTGCCTAAAGTTGCTTTCATCAACAAGGTTGACCGCCTGGATGCCAATCCCTATCGTGTAATCAAACAGATGCGGTGAGTTCTTTCTTATTCTTAGCCTTAGTACCATGTGACATTGTTTTCTGTATTCTTCAAAGTAAATGTCCCTTCATCCACTTTTTGGCGGCATGCAATCCACATTCTAACGCGTTCCCTTTTCGATCCTCTCATGTTAGAGGGAAATCTTTAGTATTCTTTGGTGATGCAGGGTTTTATCTCATGTGCCTGATTTTTTGTTACTGTTCAGTGCACTAAATATTCGTTTTAGTGACAAGCTACTTTATCACACGGCCTTCGTGAATATCCCCATTGGCTTGGAATCAAAGAATGTGGGTATAATTGATCTCCTTATGGAAAAGGCTATCTATTTTGACGAACCTCAGGGCTTAAATCTCCGTGAGGAAGAAATTCCCAAGAATATGTTATCAGAAGCGAAGGCTCGTCGTAGTGAACTGATTGGTAGGTCTCTGTTCCTGTTTTCTTTTACTTTCCAGCCAGTTAACTCTGTTCTTTCTCGGCTTTGAAGCAGCACCACAGCTCGGCTAATTTTGTAACATTTCTCATTCCTTCAAATCAGCATTTTTTTATCGCAAACAAGCATATGCAAATAATGCATCTAACCTTCATTTATAACTAGTTAATTACTTAATTATTAAGATGTCATCGATACTGAGTTTGACGTGTACTGTTAGTGAGTAAAGTAGTTCTGTTTTTATCTACCGTATTCGATCACGCTATTTCACGAAGTTGTGACAGCGGATGTCTATGGGTCCCGGGTTAAATTGTTTTGCAGAATGTTTGGCCGACGCGGATGAAGAAATAGGCGAAGCCTATCTCTCAGAAGCACCTCTCTCGATAGAACAGCTGAAGGCAGGCATACGGAGAGCCACTCTGGCCCATCGCTTCACCCCGGTGCTGGTAGGCACAGCGCTAAAAAATCGTGGTATACAACCCCTAATGGACGCAGTGGTTGACTATCTGCCCAACCCCCTAGAAATCAAGCATTATGCTCTTCATGAACAGAATGGGTACGTGTGGGGTTTTCTTGGCCTTTTTCTATTGCATATAGGTTGGATTGCTCCATTTACCGTCATCTTTACAGGGCAACAGAGAAGATTCCCCTGGATGGATCTCGAAATTCCGATGCGCCATACTTAGGTCTCGCTTTTAAACTTGAGGTCTGTGTATTGCACCTATGTCAAATGGATCACTCTTATCCTCTTCTCTTACGGTGAAGTAGAACTTTTGTCCATTCTGATATTTTTTAAAGTATTGTAAAGTACTATTTCACTTCTTTATTGCATAGCGTGGATTCAAGTCGTTCCTTTTTGCCCACTCCTTCTATTCATATTCAGGTTTGCAGAATGTGTTTGACGCATTTTGTCCACAAAAGTAACAGTCATGTATATTTGGACGGGGAAGCTTTGCAACTATTAACTTTAATCCGATTCCCTCTGTGTGCAATTGTGGCACTGTTATGTGATTAAATGCTCTTAACTTTTGTCCATAATGTCTTCTGACCCCCATTGAGTAGCATTTTTGGAAGTACTTAGCCATTTTTGGTGTGTACATGTTTTCATGTGGCTCTAGTTGGAAGAATAGTTATCTGTCGTGTTTCGCAAATTTAAGTTAAACTTAACGAAAACTTGATTTGTCAGCTTTTTTGAATCCTCTTTAACTCTAAACGTACTTTTATCAATTTACTTTGTTGTTGAAAGCATAGTAGCAAGTTTTTGAACCCTCATCCTTGAAGAAGCATTTCGCTGCATTCGGCTAAGATTTCCAAACCGTTTCATGAATGTAGGATAGGGGACCTGTCGGAAAACGCATTCTCCATTGGGATTTGATAGTAACTGGATGGTAGATGCTTGCAGTCTTGAGGATGTCTCAGTCTATTCTTCTTCTCTGTAGGCTAGCAAGTTCGGTCAGTTGACCTACACGCGCGTGTACCAGGGCTGTCTACGACGCGGTGAGTCGGTGCGGAACACCCGCACGGGCAAGAAGGTGCGAGTGCCACGTCTCGGACGTATGAACGTGGACACCTTTGAGGACCTTGAGGCCGTCTACGCTGGTGACATTGCTGCCCTTTTTGGCATTGAATGCTCTTCAGGCGACACTCTCGTGTCTCCCAACACCCCAATGGAAAATCTCTCTATGGTTAGGTTTCTAAGTTGCTTTACGGTTGATTTCTCAATACTGTTGTATTGACTAGTGTTGACTGCCAGTAGAATTGGGGCTTAAGGATAAATGAATGGTTCTTGAGGGAAAGTAGTAGGAGAATATCTTTCTAAGCGTTTACAAGATGCTTTTTATCTTCTTATTTAAGGGTATTTTTATGTGAATTTTTTAGTTATTTATCGCTTCTTACTGTTCACAGCAAAGCTAAATCATTAGGCATTCTATCAACTCAGGAATCAGAAATAGCTATGGCTTAGGTTTTTACTGATTTAATGCTAGTTTTAATTTTATTGGGAAAAAAGCTAATATTTTGTTCGTACACTTAAAAGGAGGACCCCTTTCACCTCCTTTATCCAAGTGCAATTCGTCAGAAATGTAGCATACACTAACTCTCAAATTCTGGCAGGAGTCAATGTACATTCCAGAGCCGGTGGTGTCTATGTCAATCACTCCCTTGGACAAGCACAACATAGATAGTTTCAGCAAAGGTTTGGCACGTTTCACCAAGGAGGATCCCACCTTCCGTCTTCGCCACGATCCCGAAAGTGGTCAGGCTCTGGTCTCCGGCATGGGTGAACTGCATCTGGAGATATATGCTCAGCGCTTGGCTCGTGAATACAACGCGCCCTGTGTTCTGGGCAAACCAAAGGTCGCCTTTCGCGAAACCCTCCTCGAACCGGTGGCGTGAGTTACTTCACTTGACCCCTTTTCTTTGTGCTTAGGCAAGCGTCTTGATGATTCATATGTTTTCTCCTTCTTAAAAAAACGTTTCCCCAATCTTCCGTCGAAAGAGAAATCACAGCCAGCGCTTTTTTGGCCATACTAGCTTTGACTACTTGCACAAGAAGCAATCAGGCGGCGCGGGTCAGTATGGTCGAGTGATTGGGCTGCTGGAGCCGCTACCAACAGAGCAGAACACACAAGTGCTCTTCTCCGACGAGACAATGGGTACCAACATTCCAAAACACTATGTCCCCGCCATTGAGACGGGCTTTCGAGGTATTTGTGAGGCCGGTGGTACCCTGTCTGGTGCTAAAGTGGTGGGAGTGCGTTTTCGACTTAAGGATGGTGCCCACCACTGTGTCGATAGCAGTGACTGGGCCTTTCAGCAGGCTGCCGAAGGCGCTATGCGACAGGGTAAGATATTGTGCCAATCTTTACTGTGCTTTGTACAAACGGTCAGACCATAGGATTTTGTTTTGAGCAATCAGAAACATTAGTTTGACGTTAATGATTCAGCTCTTGGCTACTGCTCTCCTGCACGCTTCACGCTTCATTCATGGTGGCACTGCTTCCTGATGTATCAAGACCCACGGGCAAGAATTTTTGATTCATTACAAAATCTGACAAATCAACCATCAAGTTCTTAAAACGGTATTATTATGCTTTACGTCACTCACCATTCCTCCTTTTGAGGTTGTTTCCTCATCTACTTTGCCCTTTGATCGGTGGAGCTAGACTGCTCTAGAGCTAATTACACTAGAACCAGTTCTCGTGTCTATCCAGTTCTTATTTTCTTTGGTTTGGTTGGGTCTGTAGAATCAGGAGTGGTTATTTCACACCTACTCAAAAATCTGCTACTACCTTCCTTCCATAGCATTCGAGCGAGGTAATTGGATCATCCTCGAGCCGATCATGTTGGTGGAATGCACCGCACCAGTGGAATTTCATGGCAAACTTCTCAGTTCTGTAACTCGACGCAGTGGTCTCATTGTGGACACCGATGTCAACGATGCGTATGCTCGAGTTGTTGCTGAGGTGGGTGGGTGAAGGTGTTGTTGCGACTTGTCTATAACCCGTACATTTCACATGAGGTTCATTGAGCACACACTTGAGGGTCTCCATCTCCTCTACTACTTTTCCATTCATGCAGATCGGGATGTGCAATCACAGGGCAATTTCAATGACCCTATGAAATTGTTATTCGTTTGTTTCACTTTTTTGCATTTTTCAGGTGCCACTAAACGACATGTTCGGCTTCGCAGGAGAGCTGCGAGGGCTGACTGAGGGCAAGGGAGAGTACACAATGGAATACTGCAAGTACTGTCCCGCCCGCAGCGACACCATGGAGGAGGTGATTGCGGAGGCCGAGGCGGGAAAACAGGACTCTGGAGCCACTAACGTCGATGTCAAGAGCAAGAAAAAAAAGCGAAACTAGCCAGGATACGCACACACACCCAAAAAACTAGCTCCCCATGTATAGATCTTCATCAACTTCTACTTCCGTTCTCATTTCAATCTGGAGCAGTAGAATCGCGACATTTAAGATTGGTCTTATTTGGCTGTCAACGTAAGAAATACCAATTTCCAATTTCTAACTTCTTTGCTAATGAAGTTGTGCGTTCTTCCTCATTTATGAGAAGCAATGCTTACCGTTTATGGTTTCGTGCGGTTTCTTTATTTTAATCGCCCACTTTAATTTAAACATCAGTCGATGCATTTGTGGTCGACCTTAGCTGGTGTTTTCTAATTTTAAATTTTTCCTCTGTCAAATTTGGGCAAATTCGCCTGGCGCATGCTTCAGAATCTCCAAATAGATGATTGCACGAGTACTAACATCTTAGGTTGTCTTGGTGACTTCTCATACGCATGCAGATCCCGATGGGGAGGTAGAGGTTCTCACCTCCTTCTAGTCTTTCTCACACTTATGCTGCAGTAATGTCGGACTTGGAGTGATTATGACACTCGAATGTCACATCGGTCTTATCTTGCACACAAAGGGAGTTTTTTTTTTAATCTTATCTCTCTCAATTTCAGTGTGCACTAGGGTAGAACAGTTGCTCCTAATTGAAGTTGCCTTTCCCTTGACTAATTTTAATTCGGGTTTGGGTATTTAGTAAACAGGATGTGTGGATAACACCAACGTTACATATATATTATTTCTTCCTTTGAAAATTAAGTGTACAATTCGTTGCATATACTAATGAATTTGGGTAAAAGAAATTTTGCCTCGGCTTGGGAACTCCCTTTCCTATGGGGAAGGAAGTGCCTATAGACGTATCGAGCTAGAGTTGAGTGGGTCACAGGTATGGATCAATCGGTGTCAGCTTTTGCGTAATCGTCACTCGATACACTGGTTAACTTGAAAAATGTTTGAAGATGACACCATTCCACTCCTTGATACAGGTTAGTTGTGCAAATAAGCAGCAGAGGCTAAGGTGGAATGAAACCTGCAGTGTGTCACTGCAAAAACCACTCTACAAGGAATCTTGTGTCCTCTCAGGCATGGTTGGAACGAGTAGGTAAGACCGGTGGAGAAGTTGATTTATTATGCTGCCAATGAGTGAGACGACAACTAGACTGCCGTGACGAATCTCTCGGACTCTTGCGCCCCGATAATGCATTACCGTGGCATTTTACAACTGGAAGCCCTCAATTCCTTTTAGCCCAAAGCAGCACCCGCCCTAAAGAGCAAATGTTTTGGTTTGCAGTACTAGCTGTTAGACCTTAAAGTGGTGAGAGAAGAGAACCTCTAGCGGAAGGGTTAATGATACCCTCTATGCCCGATAACCGTTCCAGTCCCGTGTTGCACGACAATGCCGTTAACTTCTGAACCGCGAGTTGTGGACCTCCTTCACTATTCTACTGGCTGAATAGGTGTCAAATAAATATGCCTGGGTATCACTGAAGTGGAAACAAAGTTGTAGGGCGGAGTAACTAAATGTCTCCCCTAAAACATCATTTCTTCCTCCAATCAGTTTCGAAACAGAATATAACTGGATTCAGCGGAATCGTCAAGAGGGATCAGTGAAGTGTTGACTGAGCACTTTCCCATTTGCATGCAAATGCGAGCCTGGTGTGCGAAAGATTCCCTCACATCAGCAAATGCGCTTGACGGCACGTCCTCCGAGCCATGTCAGTAGCCTCCCCACCTTTCGCTTTATTGTCAGCATTGCTTACCTCCTAGCATCTTGCCTTTCAGAGGAGACTGGAACGATCAAACTCCATCACAATGTTTACTTTACTAAAAGCTTCTCCGATTTGCAGTGCTCTGAATTTCAAATTGTAGCTGAAGGTTATAAATTGAGGCGTTGATATCAGTGCTTTAACAATACCCAAATACTAACTGCCTCTTTGTTTACTGTTTTTGTTGCCAAATAAAAATTGCTAGTTTGGAATGAGAAAGTTGTTTCACCCATGCTTCAAGTGCAGAATGGTTGACTTCTCATCTTTTTTAGCGAGGAGAAAATCTGCCTTAAGTTACAGCGCTTAAAGTTGAAAGATAGAAAGCAAAGATACATTTTAGCACCCGAGAAGCAGTCAGTTGAAACTACTGCCCTAGGTACTTGAAATAATGTTCGTCGGCATGAGCCTTTATGTGCATGTGTGTCCCTAGGTCGGTTCTTTACCGCTGTTTGGATGCATTGTGAGTCCCGCAGAGGATGAAGGTCGCACACCCCCTGGAACATCGGTACGAAGTATGTGAAAGCTGCCCTCCAGTTCCGTGTCTTCTTGATTTCGCGGACTAGACGTAGAGTCGTAAGGGTAGTTTGGAGCTGCGGCTGCTCGATTAAGGCAAAAGACCGCTGCAGCATTATCAAACTCGCCACAGTAATTGGGCGCTGAGAAGATTGTGACGAGAGAGCGATTAGCATAGAACTCATACCCATCCTCCACCACTTGATGAGCCCGACAAATGAGGTCCAAGTTGAAGCGGTCCAAGAAGCGATCGATAATGTCTGGACCAAACATGTAAGAGACGCCTCGTTCGCTTGGCTCCCAGCCCCGAGGTTCACGACCATCTCCTACAGACTCCAGGTACCAGGGGTCTGACCAGAGGAGATCACAAAGCAATCCACAGTCTGGCACGTCACAAGGACGAACAATCTCTCGGATTTTTCGTTTTAAGTCAGCCAGACTGGTTAACTCTGGGGTGAGCATTTCTGGTGAGAGGCCGCCATGACAGCAGAATATTTGGTTTTCGATTATCGCACTTACAGGTAGACAGGAGAAGGCGTCAATAAAAGTTCTCCACAGCTTTACAGAAAACCGTTTTCTGCATTCTTCGAAAAAGCCATAAATACGTGATACTGCCTGACTCTCATGGTTTCCACGGAGGAGGAAAAAGCGGGTTGGATAACGGAGTTTGTAGCAAAAAAGCAGGCATATCGTCTCCAGACTTTGTCGTCCACGGTCAACATAGTCCCCTAGAAATAGGTAGTTAACTTTATCAGGCAGCCCACAGAGCTCAAATAGGCGGAGTAAATCGTCATATTGCCCATGAATATCACCGCAAACTTTGATCGGTCCACCAAGATCAAGAAGGCCAGGCTGCGTAAGGAAAAGAGCGCGAACACTGCGACAAATACTTGTCATCTCATCACTAGTCAACATTAAGGCTCGGTTTGCCTTTTCTCGAACGCTCCATAGTCGTGATATGTAGGAATCCAATAACTCATTATTATTGCTGATGGAGATTTTTGTATTCGAATGATTGTGAGCACAATTATCCGCAGGGGGCAATGATCCACCCTGAACGGGTGGAACACATGCGGTGTAATTATCTAAACACTTTTTCTCACCTTTTGACGAGATCTGTGGGTCGATGTTTATCATATCATGCCGATCTCGATGTGCTGTCCTCCAAATAACATCCCTGGTTTATGTCGCGTGAGCTCCATCGATTTTCAACCATGTCCATGGAGTTTTGCAGGACCGTTTCGTAGGATGAAGTGCCTGGGATAGGTGGGGCAGGAAGTTAGTGTGCCGATGGTACATTGCTATGCATTCAATTTTAAATGGAGCTGCATGAAAAGGACCACGCTAGTGTCCCGTATAAGTGACTACGTAACTTTAGCAATGTATTGGGCATGCCTTGAACCCATTTTAATGCTTATAGAACTTTCATAAATAGAATGTAGCAGTTTGAAATCTTGAAGTATGCTATAACACTTTATTTTCATAAAGACTTGTAGGTGTGGCAGACACTTTGATATTCACATTACTCTTGTATGCGTGGGCAGGACTTCAGGCCAAGCCAAAACCCTATCCCTCCTTCGTCTTTTGGACTATATGCATTCAGCTTAACTTGAAGCCTTTCTCCGCATAATGGGAAGTGTTGGGGCGTTACACAGATACAGTACCCAGGAAGTAAACACAATGTTTACGGCGAGTAAAACAATTACGTTGTTTGATTAAAGATTTCCGTTGAGTAGAATAGTATAGATTACTGTAATATACATACCAATGGGTTTAAGTTGCCTTTATAGGGGAGGGACGATTAAACATTTCGAACACGAAGCCCTTTCAGGAAGGTCGTGAAGACCAACCTGAAGAGTGGCGCAGCTTATTATCTCTGTAATACTTTATTTATGTGACCACATGACGTTTGGCGGTCACTTAAGAATTTGTCTGGCCTCTGAACACGTGGGCTGGCCTTCGGGCCACGCTCAGACCGCATTTGCCCTGTCGTCTTCGGAGTACATGTATTCAACCTCAATTATGCCTTCTATTACCAAATGGGATTCCTCGGGACGCTAAAATCTCATTGGTACTCTCCTTTACCTTCTGTACAGACTGCCAACCAAACCTTCCTCAAATAAATCCCTTGCGAAGTCAGACGTTCAGGAGCCTAAGAGTAGGCTTGGAGGTCCTATAATTACATATGCACAGGTATATCAGGATCATGGATGAGGAAAAGTCAAGAACAGAAATCTATGTCCTTATTCTAAAAGGTGTTTGTTATTTTGTCAATTGCTGCCGTGCATGCACAGAACACATACTAAATAAAGTAGCCTTTATATTTTTGATTGTTTTCGGTTCCTGAACAATCATTTAATCAAAGTTTACATATTTGAGATTTACTTTATTTACAAGGCTTGGGTCGATTTGGTGTCGTTTAAATTTATCGCAAACGCTGTGCCACTTTAAATGGTGTAAGGATGGTTTAGGTGATTTTTCTGTGTTCTCGTGATAAGCTTCTCATTTGCTGTCATATACACGCTCTGGTTTGTAGATGATAGCAGCACAGTAAGACATGAATCTAGGAATACTATCGTCCACACGGTGCCTGGCGATCGCTTTTCAGCAAGAATTCGCCCTAGCGGTGCGCACTTTCAACATATACGACGTTTTTAAATCCTTCCTTAATGTCAACGTTGCAAACACGACCAACCCGTACTTAAGTCAGGCGCTGAAAAAGTGTTTGTTGCTGGGTCACATAGAGCCCTTTGTCATTCTTATTGGTGGTGATGAAGTCTCACTTCGCACATTAAAATGTTGCTGGATGCGGGCTCAGTTGCAACCTCCTCCTGGATTCCGAATTGAATCAATAGGTACGTTTACATACGTGTTTTCATTTATGTTTTTTAAGGTGCGCCTGCACTATTTAATCGGCTTTGATGTTATCTCGCTTATTTACCAAATGAACCACCACATTTTACAGCTTAAGCAGGATTGGAGTTAAGCCACGTTAAGCCACTTTACTTTATAACTTATAATCCACTTCTCTAGCAATAATAGTTGCGGCGTTTTTTCTTTAAACCTTTTAACTCAGTTGCCCCTACATATTTAATGCTAGTTTTACGAAATTGCACATCGTGCAGTCAGCAGCTCCGATTTTCAACAGATAAATGAGTAACAGGTTATGTGAGAGGTGGTTCTAATTTTATTTCACCAATTCAAGTAACTTAGATCGTTTTATTTTCCTTAAGGCTTAAAGTCTAATTCCACTCTTCCCCTAGATGCGCGTGGTTTTATTAAGGCGTAAACTTCTTTGCTATTCATGAGCACATTATGTCTTTGAAACAATTTTTGCAAAACATAAATCATGATTTTTGGTGGAGAATTCGTAGAGCACTTTAAAAATTTACTTAATAAAGTGATTTCCATATTAAGCGGGATTGTATCCTATCTGATTCTTGCTTATTAACACTTTCGCTACCATCGAAAGTGAATCGGAATTTGTCCTAGTGTTTTTGGTGCTGACGATGTGCATTCTGTCTTCGTTTGCTACTTTACTCCTCACTCACTCGGGTTATCCTAAGCGAAATTATTTTGTTAAGCCCGGAATTGTTAATGTACTGAAGAGAGAAAGTGGAGCACTGTTAACTTCGAACTGAGTTTAATGGTCCACTTTTGGTCAAGTTCTGATGAACTTTAGGAATAGGCGTAGTTTAATGGCATAATCCTTTAATGTGCTGGAATGCATAACTGGCTTCGAGGGAATTTTAAGTGCTCCTCGCCATTAAGGAATTAGTCAAAGAAACTGGCCATGTTTCTAATCAAATAGATAGGAAGGTGGCTCCCCATAAGCGACCACTAGCAAGTTACATGTATTGACAGGAAGTCTTTTGAGCGTCAATTTTATTATTAGCTTATCCTATTGTCAGTTCATCCAAGTGAATGGTTGATTTGCGCAGTGGTTTGATAGTCGGTTTGACCTGTTGAAATGTCGTCACCTTGACAGTCAATGTGCTTTTATCGGAGAAAAAAAAGATTTGACATCCAAATAATTCACATTTGCTGCCTTATCCAATTTGGTCTTGACACTTAATTTACAGTACCAGGAAGGTGAACGCATTATCTGCTCTGTATAGCACCTCGGTAAGTTGCATTCCTATCATGCCAAAGTGCAGTTGAAAGGAAAGGGACTCATTGGATTGGCAGTTCCCTAAGTACCAGTATCTCGATTTGTTTTTCGCATGCATAGGCTTTCTGAGGCCACTGCCTAATCTCGTGAGCAGTAAAAGCTCTTCAATTGACAGACGCTTACACGCTTTGTCCAACTTGATTTCTGTGCCTCGGTTTCGTCGTTACTTGAGGGTAAAGCATTTCTCTATCTCCAACTGATCAGGTGTCGTGCATTCCTCCTTGTTGATCTCAACCAGTCGACGTTGTCCAAACTAATATGGTTTCCTTGTGTGCTGAAATAAATATCGTAGATATTGGAGGGTCTCTCCTATTTTTTTCATTTAAAAGATTGACTAGATCTCTAAACTTATTGTGTCATTGAAGGCATCTCCGTGCATCACCGCAAGCGAATTTCGAGTCCATGCAATCGTTCGCCAACTCTTCAGAAAGCATTTCAAACACATCTGTGCATAGGCGTATTCGTAGGGAGGATTAGACTGTAGACAATCGGAGGGATGAGTGGACTCGTCTTGCAGTGTTAAACTGATCTGATCATGTCACCTGGATTAGATACCATCCTCTTGGCATTGCCATAAAAGTTTTTACAAAAAAATTTAGTCATTGTTTTAAAAGTACGACTCGATTCTAACTGGAACCATTGGTTTCCCCAGCTTTGTGCGCTGCCATTCAAAGTCACTGCTGTCCATGTGCTGCAACCGAATGCTCTGTTACCCAAAGTACACGAAATATTTAAATGGACCTCTATTTATCATCCTCCCTTATGGGGAGTTTTGTTTGTATTAGGCCCCTTTCTCTCAGTGGCCATGGGAACTTGGATTCTTTCTGTGCTTAGGCAAGTTTGCCTCCTTCCTATTTATCGGCCTCGACACTAATATTGGAGAGGGAGGGGATTGAGGCACCATCTAATTTATCTTGTCTCTCAGATGGATGGTCATATTTGCATTAATGGAATTGCTTTAAAACTCTCTTTTGTAAGGAGAGTAATTATCCCATTACCGTTCATCAGTTGTTTTGAATTTCACCCAGCTTGCGCAGTTTAGGTGTCGGCCAAGTTCACTTTTTTGCTAACTTCGCAACCAAATTCCATTCACTGTTCCAAGGCTAAAGTATCATTTACCTCATGTAAAAAAGCGCATTGCAAGAGGTGTGAGCAAATTGGAAATTCTCCTTTTGCTGAACAAAGCAATTTATAATCCATTGAAGTCAAATGGCGCATCAACTCATTGACTCCATTCCAAATTGAGGCGGAGTTGTCGTAAAATCAGGAAAGTCATTGGTACTATCAAGTAGTGAACTGTTTCTTTGCGATAGAAAAGATGAGGAGGAAAGTTACATGTTCTGAAGGCGCTGGAAGGACGCAGAGACTGGTGTCGTATTCAGGAAGATCCCTTGTAAGACTGATTGAATTTTTGGAGATCTGTTTGACATCCAACTGTAAGTAGAAATTGTTTATGTCCAACAAAACATCTAAGTATTGCCCTGCTGCAGATGATTCAAGCCCATTCTTGTAATCGTCCAGGGTCAGGATTTATTGCTCGTAAAAGCATCAGTAACAAGTATTTGGCTCCAATAAACATTCATTCTACCTAAATGTATGTTGCATTTGATAGGATTCACACTTTAATTCTGCATATCCTTGAACTTTTTTTAGGAGTTTGATACTTGTGGTGGAAACTTTCGTGTACCTATTGGCATCAACTGACGGTTATGACTATTTGGCAGGCGCCTCAGATGCCAAAGTCAGCTCGAAGTTACTTGGTTAATCTTTTCTTTCCTTGTTTTCAATACGACTACCTAAACTCTGTCATGTCTTCCGGGAGTGTCCAACGTTACCGCTCATCATCATCGCTATCCGTAGCGCTGAGTCACTCACGCCAAAATTTGAAGATCATAGAAAATAGGCTTCAAGTTGTGTATCCTTCTACTGTGCTAGTGAAAGGATAAAAAATGGTTATGCTACTGTAATGGCGATTGACTTGAACATTTGACAGGATTGTTTCGCTCTTTGGAGGCATCAAGGTTCTGACTTTTCCTCTTTCCTCTCATTCTCTCTCTTTCGCATTTCTTAGTTCAAATTATTTAGCCATAACCGGAACGTCGCGTTTTAACCTATCACTTGGGTGAATGAATGTAGAGTTCTTTGTATTAAACAATTGTGCACCATTGTGGGTAAAACTTTACCAAAAGGCTAGTCAGTAGCCGTCGAGTATCGTAATCAGTAAATTGTTGCGGCTACGAGGCCCAATGAAGTCCGTCCATTTATTACCTCGGACCACCGAACCACGGCATGCGGTATGGGAACGCGTGTCTATTCCGTGATTTATGCCGCCGCGTGGGTCCTCGACCTACTCTCTCGCTCCCTCTTCGCCTCCTGTGGTGTTTGCTTTCTCCGTTCTCTCTCACCAAGCCTTCCACTGATGGGTGATTGTTCGGTTGTCAAACAATCAGGTGTCAGATGAATCAGCTATTGCGTGCCGATAGTCGAATGATGATGATATACGTAGCAGTATAGTAAACTTCAATGCTACCGTTTCAGCGAACCCACAAAGTAATTGGCGGCTGCTGCGTACGCATGCAAACACGCAGGCGTAGTCGTCTTGTGTACACCTAGACGTGTCGATTGCTGTCAGAAATGTGTAATCTGAGATTTTTTTTGTTAAATGGGACGAAAAGGCTTTCCTTTAATAGCATTTCGTCTTGCATTGCGCAACATCAATTCTTCGCGTCAACTTCATCAAGCATTCTTTTCATTCGAAAAAAAAACTTTTAGAAATTACTTTTCGTATTTGTTAAAGTGAAAAAGACACGGTAGAAGAACAATTTTTCGGTCGGAAAAAAAATGCTTTTTGGTTAGCATTAGATCTACTGTTCTTCCCCACCATTTGGAGTGTTAATATCTCCTCATGTGCATTACTCTTGTGTCTTTGTTTCATCTTTCTCTCTGCCGCTCTACGACTGTTGGTGCTTAGAGCAGGTAATGGCAGATGGGTGAGGTGGTGGCAGGGGAACAAGGAGCGCCTGGCCTTCCCTCCTCCATTCAGGGAGGGGGTGGGGGGGCGGGCGGGGGGAGGAATAGCAATTTATGCCCAAAACGAAACACTGCACGCGGTGGCCTCTTAACGTGATAGTTGGAGTTAAGAGAACCAGAAATTTACATTATTTTTCATGGGAAGGTTTTTTTCAATATTATCACCGCAAATTTTTTTTGCCCAGTTTTCTTTTATGCAACGCCTTTTTCCCAACTAAATATGCGAGTGAGGCAGTAAAACTATGCATAATGGATTGATGCAGGTGATTAGAACACAAGCCAAATTCGCATTCTTTATTCATTTTATACAGTTTAGAGATTAGGAACAATCAAAATTTTGTTCGATCAAATATGTTACAGCCACTATCCTATGATTATTTCGACATCTACTAGACTGGGCTTCAAGCTGAACTTCCATTTCACATTTACTTGGATGGATTGGGGCACAGGATCGCATTTGGTATGCCAAGTTGGTGTTTGAGTGTACCAATCTTCAACTGAAGGCTCCATTTTCATGGCCCAGAGACGTTGGGAGCGAATGTGGGCTTTGAGGTTGCAAAGCATGGATTGATTAATGCTATTTCCCTCCTCCTCAAACGTCCCCTTCCCCTCCAATGTCAAATGATCGACTGCGGAGCGAATCCTCTCAATTCTGTGGGTGCAATTAGTTTGGCATCAACCTAAAGTACGCTTTGTGCACAACACAGTAACAGTCAACTCCAAAGCGGCTTGTCTTCACTTCCGCCTTTCAGGCTTTTAAGTTGCAATTCAAATAATCGTATTTTCATCATCCACACTTGACCTAACACCACAGTTCCTGCAACACAGGGTCAGGCACCTTGAACTTTTCCTTTCCTGTGGTGTGAGTGACTTGAATGAAGTGCAACGTGTCGTTGGATTAGCCAGCTTTTCAGTTTTTTCTTAGAGCTTATGCATCCAAAGCCGAGTTCCATTTGTGAATATGTCGTTGTCGTGGTTGGGCGATGACTTTGCGTTGAGTGGTCCACCCTCAGTGGCATGTAATTTGGATGAGTGCGAGGTCTAAGTCCACTCGCGGAAATCGCGGCACTGAAATCGAGGCCGTAATTCCTTGTAAATCTCACAGCCAAGGAAAAAAAAACTGTCATTCTTCGTTTAACCATATGCCAATTCTGGATAAATTTTGCCGCGTATGTAATATTCTCTTATGTAATTACATATGCGTGTTTCTAGCCGTGGTTACTCTACTCGGCATGTCAACAGACGTGTGATTTATTTCGCAATTCGTACTCTATGGGGCTACATGATCACATGGGTGCGAGAATTGGGTACCCAGTTGACAACTGGTGCCGTAGTCTAGTCCATAAGACACTTATTCCCTGAATTCCAGATCACGATGAAGGCTCCAAGGGCTAATTCTCCTTATAGCATATTTCATGAAGACAATGGAACCTCTCAGTAATAGCTATACTTTGTAAAAGAAAGGAAAAATTGGAAGTGTCATTTCCTGTGGTGGTACTCAAATTGTGTTGGATCCCAATTGTTGGGCCAATGAATGTGTCATTCTAAGCGAGAAGAGAATGGTGCTTTTTATTGGGACGTGATTTCCCATGCAGTGAGACTCGGGAAAGTGTAATTCGACTTCTTCAAATATCACCAACGCAACGCGCGCATGGGAATGTGAGGTGTGGAGCTCTCTCTCTCTCGCTCTCCCTCTCTCTTCCCATTTATTTCAGTTTAAGCATCCAAAGTGTGCTTTTGAGGTTGCAATAAATCACCTCCTGACTCAATGTCTAATAAAATAGACCTGTATGACGTAGCAGGGGAGAACGTCTTGGCTGTAGAATGTGCAATCGCTCTGATCGTCAGGATATGACGCCACACAGTAGTGATGATGGTGATTTGGGCTACTAATTGCCGAGTTATTTTTTACTAATTCATTCACTGCCCTTCAGGGCCTAGCGACTGCAGCATAAAACTACGATAGGACAATTTTAAATGTCGAGATTGAGAACGGATCTGGTGAGCGGTGGGTGTTACAGAGACAATGGAATGTCAGGCGCTTCCGTTTTCGACGATTTCATAATCTATTGTCTTTATTGACTTTAAAATAGGTTACGAGACTTTGGATAACTTTTATGCTACATTCTGTGAAGCAAAGTATTCATATGGTAAGTTCACCAACTCGTCGGTGTGCATATTCGCGAGCCCAACAAAATAGCAGTTGCTCTTTGGCCGAAACTTTGACAGGTTGTGCTTCATAGAAATGAATATTTTTCCCTCTCTATATGCCTCACCAGAAAAAGTAATAAAACCAACCCTCTTACTTCATCCCCTCTTTAAGCAGTGTAAGCGCTCGTAGAAAGTGTCTTCTTGATTCCTTGGTGCAATAAACACGCCCTCTCCTCCTTTGTTTCCCCTTGCCGAGATGCGGGCACACCTTGTTAGTGAGGAGAAAACAAAAATGCGTGTGTTGAAATTCCATGATCATTTGAAATGCCTTTCGTCAGCTTACATGGGTAAATGAAGACACATTCACAATTTGACTGTAAACAGCAGTTGGTTGTTTCACTTTGCATTTAAGTAGGATAAGTTACTTTCTCTACCACATCAGGTAGACTGATTTGCCCTAACTTGATATGTCTTTCAACCTCCCACTGTTCCACTTATACTGGACATCAAACAATCGTTTATACATCACAGTATAAATATTTCAGCTGCTCATAAAAGCGGACGTACGGTTTGCCCAAATGATCTGATAACTCCTCATGCTCCACTTACAATGTGGCTGTAGTTTGGTTTTACGAACTCATTTTTTATTAAGGCTGCTTTCATTAGCCCGACTACCTAATCATGTAGTCCATTAGGAGCTTACGTTATTGGCCGTAATCAATGCGAATAGATATGTGCTGGAATCACGCATCTGCACAATTTCGGTGCTGCCCTTCATCCACACACACACACACACACACACACACTGTCGTTACATTCACGAACTTCTTCCCTCCTTCCTGGGCTGCGGCAAATTGGTCTTTGAAGCGTCAAATTAAGCAGACCACATTTTGACTTTATTATTATTATTATTTTGACTTTGGGAAGAAGAAGGGTGTGGTTTCGTCTAAATTTGCGCGCATTACGTGTTTGGGGTCGGCAATAGCCTCTATTTAGTCTGTGGCAAAGTTTTCAGGGCTTGTTGTACTAATGTACAAAATAACATCTTAATAAAATGCTAGTTTCATTCAAACAACCTCAGTGGATATTTTGGGAATCGGCCTGAGGTGTCAACACTACCTTAGTAGGGTAGTCCTCGTTCCCTCTGACAATGAAATTTGTATGGTCTTCCGAGTTGATGATGGCTGTCGTGCATCAACAACTGTTTTCTGTATGTCATACATGGCAGCTCTGGCGATTGGACCAGAGATAGGTCCATGGTAGTAGTTACACCGTCCGTCTAACGTCACTTTTGTAGCTCACTGGTAGTGCATAAGTGTTGCTAGTCCCTCTGCCCGCACGTTTATTTCACTGCGAAAATGAGTCTTCATGATAGCCTGTTTGGTCCACTGGGGAACGTTGTTATTAGTCATCAAGGCGCCTAATGAGACATGGGAATTGTCTGTTAAGGTGACGCTGGGGGTCTGATATTGAACAGCGTTCCGCAATACGCCTCAATGCGACTTGAAGAGGTGATCTTCCAGGTCATCTGTCAGGTCAACATGCTGGAGCCAACCTGCTCTGAATCACGCCTCTACGGCCACCTTGCCAACATCTATGCTGAAATGCAGTCCCACCTTCCTCCTCGACAATCAGTCTACGCCGCCATCTCTGCCCTTATCAAGTCTGGTCTCATCTACTATTGTGGTAAGTCACAACAGAGCCATAGTGAATTAGTGGTAAATGACATTGAAGGATAGCAGAACAAGTTACAGGTCCTAGTTACGTCATTAATTTATCCGTCTGCTTTTGCCCACTTTCTTTTCCTCCCCTTGTCCTTATGTCAGCCATCGATTCCCATGACCAAATTGTCTGGTTGAACAGGCTTACATTTCTTACCCCTTAACATGCGATGACGATTTAAAACGCTGATCCGTCACGCAACCATCAATTTAAGCTTGTAGTTAGAAGGTAGGCCATACTGTTCGTCGGGACAAATTATTCGCCTCAGACATTTCGCCCAACTATTACCGACTCTTCTCCATCAGCCCATAACAATCAGTTTTCGAGTCGTCCCCTGTGTTGCCGTGCACTTCACCAATCTGTCAGTTTTAATCACTCTTCTATGTAGTTAAGCTTAGCTACGGACGGGAATTGTCTATTTGGAACAGGTGCAGAAAAATCAAGTTGCTTCAAATGCGAAATTCGAAATAAGCCATTTGATAGGACTGCTAGCGCCTAGGGCAGTGGCTTTCACTCTCCACCGTGCTCTTTAATCTGTTTGCTCTGCCACTCATAGGAAGTTTATTTTGAAAGTCTAAAAGCCATTTTTCAATCACTCTCGCCACTACAAGAGGTTTACATTTGGAAACGTGGTTCACTGCCTCCGTGAGATAAGGCATCACTGTCCCATCAGCGGAATTCTTTTTCATGGGCCAAATGGAAATTTTGTATAAATCAAACCCTAACCCAAGTTTAGGGTGATCATTGTACATCTTGAGGATCGCAGGTAGCCTGGATGGTTGCAAAGTCTAAACACAAGCTCATTGGTCCCTTGTCGGTGAACCGAATGGGCGGAATTTATGTGTCCCACTTGCTGGCCAGTTGCTTTACAGTAATTCTCCCTCATCCATGGGAATATCAGACACCATGCAAGGGAGTGAGAGGGATAGCAGGAGATCGGTAGATGATGATCGCCTGTAAAATTAGTGCGGATAATGTGTAAAGCATTGGATCATCATGGACTTTCAAGCTTTTGAATGCTTTTGCTGCAGATCGAGGCTTCTTTGACCTAACAAAATGTGGCTATTCATTCACCTCCGTTACCGTCCCCTAAGAGCTTGTGAAGGCTTAGTGAGGTGTTGGCCCTCTCACGTTCCACATGAAGCACTTCCATGTCAGTTGATGGGATAGTGAAATGGAAGGGGGATTATGGCATTTATTTGAAGCTGCATATATTTTTACCCCAAGAATTGCGGTCACAAGTGATGAAACTCATTACCAGTCAGTAGAAATATGCACTGCACCCAAAACCTCCAGTCGAAAAATTCCAAATGTGTTGATAAAGTGTGCACAACTTCGTGCAATAATGCAGTGCAAAGGAGAAGAAAAACTTGGCAATTTTGCATCGAAAAGGCGCATGGCTTCTCTTTCGACGCCTTTTTTTTTATGCCACCCACACAAAAAAAGGTGCCGAGTTGTAACCTCAAAGGTACAGGTTTGAAATAAAAGGTGAAATGCTGTCAAAAAGTTATATTCTGGTCAGAAGCATTGGATTGCAAGGCGGTGGAGGTGGAGGGAGGTGAATATAAGCAACTGCAGTTGCGGCGCAGTGATCATTTTTTCGTCAAAGCTAAAGCAGGCTTCTCTGAAATGTCACGGTGGATGCACAAGTACAAGCACTACCGAAATACATGGCTCGGTGTCGACCAGTTAGCATGACAGTCCTATCCATAGGGTAGTGCTGCTTTCAAGTCCCTTTTTTGTCCAGCCAGATGACATAGAGGTGTGAGAGGAAAGCGAAATAAACAGACTTTTGTTTCGACGGCTCTGTTTATGGAAAAAAGGGAATCACTTGTGTATATCTTCCTAATAACAATGTTGTGGGTAATTTTGTCTGGAAGAACGTTCGCTTCTTCTCGGTTCTACTTGTGCTGATCATCTCTTTGACTGGAGGTAGACACCTTGAAAGTATCGTCTGATACTGCAAAATAACTGACGTAATGGAGACTGTGGAGAGATTGTTGGAAGTATCCACGGCTTCGAACTTCATTGCTCCCCACGAAGTGTCGAGTCTTTGGTCTCTTAGTAATTTCGCCTGCAGAGGGATGCGAAGGGCTATTAATGGCACCAATGCTTGCTAATGTTCCCTTGCTTATAGCATTTCCATGCGTGCATATTAACAGCAAAGCGTTTCAGGCCAATTTCCTGTGTAGTAAATAAATGCTCAAATGAAGTCGTTGGCATAAGCTAGGCGTTCGGGATCGTTTGAAATGAGAATGAAGCGGCTAAATCGCGTGCACACATCTCAAGGGTAAAAGCAAAGGCTATTTATTAAAATTTTTTTCTCATCAAAGTAAGACTCGGATCTTTCTTCTACGCACCACAAGTATGGATCTTTGGCTTGCGGTTTCCTTGTCCAACGAAACAGATGACGCCAAATGTGAGGCGGTATCATTTAGGAATAAAAGAATAAAAACATTAATAGAGATCAATGCAAATTTATTGAACTCCTCCATTTAGTGTTTTCACTTTGTAAATCTGTGGAAAATACATTTTGGTGAATTTGTTTCGAAGCAAAATCGGTGAAGACGTACAATTAATTCAAATTACACAGCAAATGGCAACGAAAAAGAAAAAAAAACACGAGTTGCCACGTTTGCAATAAATTAAATTTTACAAATTAGGAACCACTTCATCATCACTACAGTCGACTAATTCCCCACACATCATGTCGAGTTTGTACGTAGGGTAAATGGAAGCCAAAATAGCAGTGATAGGGGAGACAGCCCCACCCGCCTCCCTCCTCCCTTTCCCCCTCTCCCCTCTCAATTCCCAAAGTGACAACTTGATTGAAGCCTTCTTTTTCAATGTGGAACAGTTTAATTAGGCCACTTAAATCCAATTGTGGGTAGAGTTTCTATCAGCTATTTCATTAAAGAAACATGAATGCCTCCTAAGCAAATATTGCATCAATTCAACAAACGATGTTGAGGCGATGTACTATAAAGTTGTAATTGTTTTGACGACGAGAAGGGTTATTTGTCAACGTCAAGGCAGTCATTGGATAAGCTGTGATAAGAAGTGTAAAGATGAACCCTGACCATTGTGGTGTCGACACACAAAGGGACTTGAAAGGCACTGGCATCACACAGAGGTCAGATGCCAGTGAGGACCTGAGGGCACCCGCATCACAGTAAAGGCTTCAATATACATTCGCCCTGTCCCCTAATTCCCCTCCCCTTTGCGCCCTCGGCGCCAGCCTTGGTCGACCTCCTGCGCTGGTCATCACGCCATCAGTACTGAGGCAGCCATTCACCGACCGACTAACCCCTTTATCCATTGAATTGGCGTGCGAAGGAGACGATAGTTGACTATGATATCATCGATTCCTCTCGGCGACCTTACGAAATTTAATGTTTTGTTCGGCTTAGTATTTCTATTGCAGAAAAGGAGAACTTATCCGACTTTTTGTTTGTCCACTGCTATTCGTAACATGTTGACCTAAAGGCGAGAATCACTTAAAAAGAGCGGCACGTAACAGCTTCGTGTGGCTAACACATTGTGCCTCTTTTTGCTTACCACTTCGTTCTCAATTTAGTGCTGTCTATTCATAACTTTCCACCTTTTATCCACCTGGTAGTACGATGAAGGAGGGGCTGGGTCTTCATTTTCTCTCAATCAGCATGGAGAAGTCCGTGATGAATCCTCCAGGAGATTCACGGTTAGGGTCACTGAACACTGAACTGGCAGACCCGGCAAAGATGGATGACATTCACAACCTTCCTACTATTTACAGAATCTCTCCATTCTCAATTTCCTTTCCTATTCTCCCAAATTTGTTCTTTCAAGAGGGAAGTAGATCCAAAAAGCAATGATCGGAGAGGAAATAGTGGCTTCCGCTCACCGACATGGCGAACCGACCGAGGCACCCGTTTTGTCAGTATGGAACCTTCTAAGTGGACGGAGGGAGAGACGGTGTGAAGTTTATGTATTCACTGACGCAAACGATGTCCTCGGTCATAAAGAAGTACATTTTAAACAACTTGTATTTCTTTGAAGACTAAATCTATCACTTTATGGGTACCTTGAGGTGCTTAGCAAATTAATGCGCATTTTGTCCTTTCATTGCTGCAATGTCTCAAACCTGCCAACATCCCATGGTCTTTTGGCAGCCATACAAATTATTTTTGCTAGAGGTCATCTTTTTAGCGCCGCAAGACTAGAGAGAAGATGTAATACCGGCATGGGATGTGTACTGTTGTTGAAATGAAGAACTGGGACCTACTGGCATACCTTTGAGGCCATTTCGCCCAGCAGAAATCCAACAGTGATGCCTTGAACCAAATAATGTGGACCATCATAAAGGAGCCTACGGAGTATTTCGGCAAATTTGTACGGTCAGGTTGCCCTCTTCCGCCTCCTCCCGATGCGGCATTTGCAAGCGATGAATTGGCTCCACAACGAAGTCAGCAATCCAGCATCTGCTACTCATTCTGATCACTCCTTGGTTTCATTTTAAAATTGAAAAAAAAGTACGCAAATGAGTCTCTGCAAACAAATTTCTCTTCTCTCGTAGAACTTTGTTACTTTATTTTGACATGGGTGAATAATTACCACTTTGTCATCGTCAACGCTCAAGATGCCTGCAAATGGCAATTGCAAACCAAAACCTTGAGCAATCTTTTTCCCACTTCTTGGCCAATCTGTCTATGGAGTCATTTTGAGAAGTTCTACTAGAGGCTGAATATTTTTAATGATGAGTTAAATCGACGTAAACACACGATCTCACTTCTCTTCCCCGTAATTCAAAAGAGATGGTAACATGATACTTCCGTTCATCCTTCCATCGTCACTTCACATTGCGTTGGACTAAAATACTTTTGCAAGGGTAGGGGTTTTTGCAGACACTACAACAAATTGGAAGATTCTGTTGGTGAACAATGCACTAACTTCCTTCACTTAAGGGGGGGCGGGGAGGAGAGGGAAGAGGAAGGAGAAAATGGGGAAACTCTTCTCTTTCTTTGGTTATGCGCATCGTTTGGTGTTACTTTCGGTAAACTACCATATCGTCATGGTGGAATTTGTGGAAGTGATGTTGTTAAATAAAAGACCGTAGGTTTTATTGCTTTTAAACCATTCTTTTGGCTGTTGCAGCTTTCGGTTGACTTGAAGGCTATTTTTCACCAGTCACATAAAACTTCCATGCCACACTGCTAACAACTTCTCGTATGGATTCGCAATGAAGCTTTTTTGACCGATGGACATCGTGGACATGGATGCATGTGGTCGGTGCCTTGTTGTCTCAGTAATTGAAATGTCAGGAAAGTAAACCAGTACAAATGACCACCACGGCTGGATTGTATGGCAGTGTTTCTACATTAAAACCTGCGGCACGACGTCGTCAGTCCACAGTAAGAAGACTGACTCCTCACATGTATCCGGTGTGACTGGCTCCACTACCTTGGTTGCCGTGGTTTGATCAAAGATGCGCTGGGCAATGGTAGGTTCTTCATCTGGACTGTCGACATGCCACCTTCACCATCGAATCCTCGCGTTCAACCGAATGCATTAATCAGTTACTAGGCCGTTGAACACTCAATTGTGCTGTCCCACTGGGTTAGTCACCAAGTCAAATGCCAAATTCAATGGCTCTCTGTAATGGGTTGGATAGCAGGTTGATGATTAAGAAGCCCCTTGTTCTAATGAAATACTTCCCTTTAAGATAGGTAAACCTTTTAATCACTTGATGCATGCTTAAATTGGTCGATCGGCAGGCGAATTGCAAAACTGTATTTGTCCGCACTTGTTGGGATTGTTCGATCCACCTTTGACTTTTCAAAAATTTGGAGTGAAAAGACACACATAATTATTAGGATTGCGGATTTTGTTTCCAAGTTGAATGTTAACTCTCGTTGACGCGGCCTGCACAGACCACTCAAGATGTGCTATAATTAATGCTTAGGTATGAGAGTTTTCTTTCCTCCAAAAATTTTTGTAATGTGCAAACTTCTCTCCTCCATTAAGTGGTATGCATTGCTCAATAACTCCACCAACTCTTCTCCACTCAATTTTACTGTGGAAGTTGAAGTTTAACACATCTATTTCATAAGAACTCATTTCAAGACTATGTGACTCCTATTTCAATGTTTTTTTTTGCATAAATATAGCCTTTTAAGAGAAATTTTAAAGCCATTCAAATCAACCAATGGCATTCTCTCACAGAGTGAAAAGATTTTGTGACATGACTAGTGGTGTTGTGGAAACCACTATCAACAACACATAGTGCAAAGAACTGCTTAAATGAAATCAAATTTCTTGACTATCCCACTGGGAATTAGTCAGTTTGTGGTCTGTTTTCCCTGTGTAAGGTTACGTGTTATGGCGCAGAAGTATTGCCTCTTTCGGCGGGTGCTACTTTTTTAAAGGCATCTCGTCTAACCTGCCTTTGCCTGACCATGTTCTTGATCATCGTTATAAATCCTGAAGCTGGCACCTTGAGATCCCTTCAAAGGTGAAGGAGGACGAATCAGGAGAAAAGTGTCACGCTCTGCGGACCAGTGAAACAGTCTCCCTCCTCCCTCGTCAATCTCCGGAATAATTGCTGCTGTATGGAAACCTCGAGAAGATATGTGAATCCGGAGTCACTGATACCTCTTGACAAGTCTACTGGAGTTGGAGTTTCGTTTTGTTTAAAATCCGTATGAAGTGAAGGAGAAGTGCTTAGGCCATCGCATATTCCCACTGGTGGTCATAAGAATGTTGCATGAGGATAGAGCTTTATATTTGTTCTATCCAGCTAATGAAGTAGTCAGGACGATGTCAAGCGTTTGGGTACAAGTGGTGCTTTCCAGCGTCAGTACTGTAGCGCTCTGAATCTTTTTGGTGTCAAATAACCCACACCACTCGAAGTATAATATGTGTATGAAGCTGCTGTCATGGCCCAGTTACCATTTCTCCTAGTAATGTCATTAGAGCTTTAAGCTTCCTTCCAAATAAAATGATGAACCAGACAAATAAAGTATAAATACAATAGTACGACTTATTAGTTGATAGACAAAATGATAGAGGATGACGCTTTTCTACTATTAATACGACTTTTCCTCAAGGAGCTAAATCAGCATCCCTCTGTCACTCTATGAAGTCGGATATGCAATCACATTTAGGTGTGTATTTGTGTGTGACTAGGCTCGACAAAACGCTTTTTTGGCCTTTTTTGGGCCCCTCCCTCCCACCCATCCATCCACTCACCAATCCACTCGTGGTGCATAACGAAGGGGAGAGATTATACAATGCGAATATGCGGCTGTGTGCTTGTATGTCTGTTCCCGGTGCCTCTTTATCTACACTACATCCCCTCCGCGGCGTTCTGTTTCCTTCCCTTCCACCTCCATTGGCCGGTCACAAGGTCATTGGCTTTGTTACATGAATATATGGCTTTCGAGAGGTCTATTTTTATGCACGGACTGCTCACGTTGTTAATTCTTTTAATCATCAGAGAGAAGTCGTGTCACTTACGATAACATCTACTCTGGCGGAATAATGCTAGATAGATTATTTAAAAAAGTCGCATTTCTTAGTGAAGAAAAATACCTACATATGTTTCTTTGTGAAAAAGAAATGCGCAGTTAGTAAGGAGACTCACTAGTACCATTTCGTTCGCGTGGAGCCGTTTCCAATGGTGGCACTTTCAGCGTCCAAAACAGAATGCCAAAATAAGTAAGTGCCAAATTTAGAACACCCTTAACAAGCATTCCAAGTAATTACTGCCTTGGATTGTATAACAAGTAGTAATTAAGGAACTCTAAAGCATGATTGCTTCGGTGCTTTGGCACAGACCTTTGGTTGCAAATTTTAGTGGTGCAAAAACGATGGCAACTGCACCCACAACTGTCATAACTGAGTTGAGGTAAGATGACGGGTCAGAAGTGAACATTTTTGTAGGGATAAATAAAACCATATCTAAGGTTGTGATAAAATCTTATGTCGCAGTACTCCCACTTCGACCAGACAGTGCAGATAGTTTTTGCTTTACCATCTTCGTTTCATCAATTAAGTGATGCAGAAAAGTTAACCTTGAATAAGACTGGCTTCCGCCATAGCAACGTCATGTCTCGTTGTTGTGCAAAGAAAATTAACTCCAACTAGCCTTCAGTGTTTACGGTAAGAAGTGATGGGCACATTAATGGTGGATCCAGTACCAGAGGCTAACTTTTTATTTGAATGCTTTAAGGAAGGTTATGTGGCCAACGTGTACTCGTATCCTTGCATAAACACCACATAATGCCTTCATACTAAAGGTGGCTTCCAAAGCAACTTTACCTGCTTCTCAAAAGGTCTTCGTTAACTGCGTACTTGTGTGTAAATGTCAAAAACCATGTAGCCAGTTTTTCCAAGATACTACATTACGTTGAAATTAGACGAGGAAGCCAAATACCAGAGAATACAGCGACCATAAGAGGGAGAAGTTCTTAACCTGAAATATTTGAACTTGAATTCATTTACTCTACCGTTTCTCTAAGGCCAAGGATACAATCTGATGACCCCAGATAAGATGCATGTGGCCAATTGGCTTCGAAGTCTGCCAGCAAGTGGAGATCTGAGCACAGGCTACCGTCCACCCAGTCGACTTGAAGTGAGCAAGGCCTCCCTAGTTCTCAACCTTCCCTCTTCCCACCCTCCTCAGGCCGCTCTCCCACGTCCACCTCCGTCGCCGTCCTCACTCGAGAAGATCGACGCCTCAGAGGTCGAACAACCGAGTTTCCGGTTTTCCGAGGGTCAGATGCTCTTCGCACCTCTCACCACCCCCGTACCTACACCGCCCAATCACAACCTTCCCTCCACCAACAATTTGGCCAATCGGGTGAGTTCTAAGCTTTATGTATTACAATTCCATTGAGATAGTTTTTTCAAAGAGATGTGTATTTCGCCGTTCGGGGAGGTATTTTGAAGGCTCTAGCCCACTTTACTGAAGGTGTATTTCAAATCAACGGCCTACATGACCTCATGAAAGAGTTCACATTGTCGGGGTAGCTTCTTGTTTGACACCTACCTAAGGACATTACTTACATTACCTCGCTACAAAATGCTACATTCTTCCCATTTGCATTTTGAACTTGGGAGATTTTTTGTTAAAAGTTGAGCATGATTGCAGAGGATGACAGTGATAAATGTGTGCATGAAGTGTGAAAGAAAGAAGGCTATTTGGTTTTTTTCATGTTCATTGTTCACCAACGAAACGCTGTTGCATATGATGGATTGCCTCACTCCTATCTATACGGCATCTAATGTGTGTGTGGGTGTGGGTGTGTGACGAGGAGACGTGCGCAGCAGCACTGATTGTGGCATTTGGAGAAGGAGAGGCATGTACTTTACTGCTATTAACTTTCCACTGTCGTCAATTGGCCAGTCGCCCCCTTGCAGGCCATGCAACGATGCTCATCTGGTTAATGGAAGAGTCCTGCTACGGCCCGAGTGAACTTGCCCAAACCCACAATCTAATGCCAGTAGGACGCGTAAAACCCAACTGCACTCCTCGCCATTAATTGCATTTCCAACGGTTAAAAGAATTGTTGCCCTCCTGGTGGGTGTCATTACTGAGATTTTATTTAGTCATTTCCTCTATTATGGAGATTCCCTTTTCCAATTTATGAGGATGGAAAGCCAACTACAGTGGAATAAATTATTTATGAGCTGTTGATACTCACGTTTTTGTATTCAAGTGGAGTGTAGAGAAGCAGCGTCAGCTAAGGAGGAGCTTGACCTCGTTACAATTGGAAATACTGATGGGGCCTTGGGTTAGTTGAGTGGTGGTATTCTTTACAAAAATTGTCTGGGCTTTGTTTTGAGCATAAGAGGGTTCCGTTAGTCAAATGCCACTCCAATTCCTAACATCTGCAACTTGTTGTTTCCAATTTGTGAAGATGTAAGAATTTTTTCTGTAGTCACTTCGATTTGACGTAGTTTGAGAGATTCTAATTCGGCCAAATTTCTCCTAAAAATTTGCCACCGCCTTGATGGAATCAAGTGCAGGAGGCGTAGAAATTGTGCACTTGGCACGAATTGCAGCATTAATCTTGACTTCCCACCTTGTTTTGTTGTTAAATGCACTAATATTGACTCCACTGACGAGGTGGGTTGGCGCTACTGGAGGCCGCTTATTGACCTCAGTGCGGATCGGCCTGGTTTAATGTTGCGTGTCCAAACACGTAAGAAGTGGAGATGCCAATTAAAGGGCTTTAAACGTCCGCCCAGGCGTGAATCATGCATATGCCAGAGGTGAGACCTCGGAAACTCGTGTCTGCGTCATCGTCGGCTGCGTGTCTATCCACTCTTGTCGTCATTATTTTTATGCTTTTCATGGAAAAATTTCACACTTTTCAAAAAAAAAAGGCATGCAGCAGAACTAATAGGCTTCGTTTTAGATTTCTTTTGTCACATCCATCCTAACACAGCTTGGGCTTAGGAATGCGCCTAGGGGGCCATCTGATTCGGTTTACAAAAAATCCACTTTTTCTGGCATTTTTAAAACATAAAATTAAAATAAATAGTGATGAATAATAGTACGTGCTAAAACTTGTTAAGAGAGAGGCGTCTTGACACCCCACTTGGTTCAAACCTGCTCAAGTTGGATTCTAAACACTAGGTTTTTTTTATTTGTCTATTTTTACCGACTCCCAGTTTCCTGCAAAAATGAAAAAGAAGGCCTCTCAGAGAGACAAAACTATTTATTCAGACTCATCCTGTTTTATACGTGGAAGTTGTCTTTGGAGGTGGCTTCCAGGTGCTGATTGCCTTTTTCGTCGTAGCCACACAGTATCTCATCAAACGATTTTCCTCTTCAATTTACTCGCTTACCTCTGCGTGAACGTAACCCATCAACCTTTTCCTGCCCCCTGCAATCCACCCACCCTCAATGAGGAATTCATCGTGATGCCGAACATTTCATAAGTAGGTCCGAGGTTTTTCCTCCAACGACAATTTCTTCCCACCACCAAAATAGACTGGGTTAATGACTGAAACACGCAAATCGCACACTGATCTCCCCCCTAATTGTCGCATTCGTTCAGCATTTGAAATATACTTGAAACTGCGCGTTGCTTTCATGACTTAATTGACCTCTCTGCCTCTCTCTCTCTCTTCCTTTCCTACCAAATGTCAAAGCCTCACTTTGGTGTCAAAGACAGTTACCCACTTCTTCATATGCGAAACAATAAAAATTAGTGAGCTCCATTATTATTGGAGAATTGTATCGTCTAGGGGACACCATAAGTACTCACATCCAAGCAATGCAATTGCTTAGGAAGGTATGCCATTTGAGGTGGATTTTATTGCTTCAAACAATCAAACATTATGATCCTAATTATTGCGCCATTATGAGTAAGCTATTTGGTCTGTAGCTTTACCGCACCTACCTAAACCTTCACTTAAGTTCTCATAGACCGAGGCTGTGCCGAAGACCGTACGGCATTAAAGTAGGCGAGAAAGGCTAGACGACGGCTAATATTGCTTTAAAAATTGCCACCTACAGGCAGTGAAGTGCACTCGGGTGGTTAAACATGCATAGCCTCTCTGGGCTGGGGATTGGTAGTGGCTTCCAACTTCTCAGTGCTTGTGGTACCTCTTCTGCGCTGAGTAGGTCAGCTACAAGTCCCACGCACTCATGACACTTGCTTCTTCACTCTGCCCTGGCATCGCACCTCTGTGACTTTTTGTATCTGTTTTTGTGATGACCGGATGCACTGATTTGTCTTGCCAACGGATTAGTCGCCTTCGCAATAATAAAATGGATGGAGGCTACTAAGGACCTGCGGGAAATCACGCATTTTTAGGCCTTGAGTTATAGCGAATCGGTCAGTTCGGTAGTGCAGGTGTTGGTGTCACATTGGGTTACCGTAACACCTGCATTGTAGCGACCGCATTTCCTCCAAGATCGAGATTCTCGTTAATAGGGTATAGTGCGTTCGTAGTAAAGCATTCAATCTCAAATTCTCAATCCTCTTTTGTGTTCCACCTCATTCGGCATGATGAAAGTGATGGGGCATTGGAGTGTGAGTCATGGCTTGAAAACTTGAGCCACAATTTGATCCTCCTTATTGTCCAAAATGGACTGCACACGAGTTGGAGGAGAGCAGACCGAAGCAAGCAAACAAGCAAGCCGTGGTGTGGTTCGCAACCGTTCGGTGGCCATGATTGTCCCTCTTTTTTCAACATACTTCAGTGCATGGATATAAAATTTCCCTTCTCTGAACACCCACGATAGCGAACAAATCGTTTTTTCCTCCCGATAAAGTCATCTTCCAACATTACTGTTTACACTATGACAATTCTTTTTTATGCAGTGAACCCGAAACCTGCCCCTGTCGCCATTTTGATGATTCTGGTTATGTAAGTCAGCTTTGTAAAAATTCATTAAAGGCATCAGATTGTCACAGTATGCCTTTGTCTCTCCACCTTTAACCGCCACAGTTTTCAGCACTTCGATTCCATGACCCTTTTACACCACCGTATACCTTTCAAAAGAGCTTATGATTTGTTGGAAAGGGAGCTCCGAATTTTACCCGTCACGCTTCTCTTGCCTTCAAACTGTGGTAGTTTATTGCCGTTTTGTAGCTTGGTGGTTGGTTTTTGAGGCGATGCTCTATTCCGATAAACGCTCGGCTGAAAAATGGATCAGTGCAAATTTCTGCATTGGTCGAAAATCTTTTATTTTTTTTTAATTCAAAAATTTCACACACAAAAGTAACTAAGTGTTCACTTGGTGCGGGAGGACAAAGCCCGCCTGTTGTCGCACATTTAAAAGTATTGCTGGCAGTTGTCAAACCTAATTTAGGAGAGAGGGCAGCTGGCCGATGGGAGTGACTTAATGCGGTTTGGACCGTTTCACGTCTCAGGAGTGCTGCTAGGCATCGTCGTTAATCGGTCCATTGTTTTGAACCGAAGTCAGCTGTTACTTTTGGCTACTTTTGTTCTGCATCACTAATTATTGTAAACCACTTGTAGCGAGTGGATTGTTTTGGAAGTGTCAGTGGCTCCGTCTCTTCGGTATTACTTCCATTAAAATTGAACTGCTCTATTCAGATTTACCGGTCCCACGAACTCAGCGTTATCATTGTGCTACTGATGTGTATACTTATTTAAATGTAAAGCAGCAGTGCAACAGCACCCTGATTTCGGGTTTTCTAGGTAATGTGAGCGTGTCAAAGTTGGTATGAATAAATGGAATCAGGAAACGTACTTTGTTATAAAATTCAATGTTTTTTTCTATTATTTGTCAAAGGCCAGCTTGGGGGAATGCCCTGATGAATTTGCATTCAACCAAATTATTGAGTTGGGCGGCCAATAAGAGAAGCGACTCTTACAGATTCTACGAGGACTAGCAAAGCTACAAAAAGTCTAATCGCTTTGCTACTAAAAACGGCATATTCTGTTATTTCTACATCGTTTCACCTTACCCCACTTAGTTAAACTTTGTTCATTGAGAGGTAATGCTTATTCCGATCCGATGCGGTAGCTGATCGTGCAGCAATCCATCTCCTGCAGAGTTTCGAGCCAACGAAATTGCCACTTTAGTGAACTGAGCGATCCATTATTCCTCCACTGCAATTGTCATAAGTGCACATAAAGCATTTCCCTTCCCTTTATGGCAAGGCAAAGTGGGGCAGTGGTCTCATATCATGGCGCTTCTCAAAATATTTTTAGCAGTTTCGTAAGCTAGGAGTTATCCTGCCGTGTCAAAAACGGCTCTTTCGTGATAACATTAATAGTGCCGCAAAAATCACATGGTTTTACAGGTTTGTCTCTGCGTGTGTGTGTGTGTGTGTGATGTATTTACTGTACTTTATAATTGCTATTTCGTGGTGGTTAGTCACACCCATTCAGTTGTGAAAATGCCGGATCTGCAGTGTCTTTTGCCACCAAATGACTACTGATCGATGCAAGCGTAAACGGCCCATCGTTTTCAACCATTTACCCGTCTAGTTTTCAGTCTCCTAGTGCACTGTTTCATGAGACCATGTTTATTTGGTAGCACAGTTCGCATGCCACGGAAAGCCGGAAATGTGTCAGCATGGTAAAACAAATGGGGTATATTTCCTGTTGGAGGGGACAGAAAGCCTGCTAGATTAAGATAGCCAACACTTATTGATAAATCTGTATACTCTCGCTACTTTGTAGCTGTCCACTAGGCATTTACAGCAGCAGATCTCCCAAATGAAGAGGGAGGCCTCATCTATCAGTCGGCTCAATGCTCTCAATCGAGGTCGACTGTTCGGCTCTCCTTCACCCACCCCTGCGGGTCCTCTTGGTTCCCTGGCACCTCAACCTGTGGAGAGGGAAGTTGCCTCACCCCGTGCCGGCATTTCCACTTCCACCAGCTTCAACACCTCTCTCCATGAGCAGCAGCAGCAGCAGCAGCAACAACAACAACAACAATCTGCACTCCCGCAATCAGGTGCTCGCGATTTCAAGTAAGTTCCGAACCCCGTCGATTTATGGAAACGTAGTGGTCACCATTGTTGGTAATTTGAACTCCAGCTTAAAAATGATTCTTTGCACGAAGCAAGCAAACACCGGTGAAACATCACTCTCTTTCATCGAACAAATGACTTTCAGTGAATTCAAGAGGTCATAAAGGGCTAACTTGGCGCTCTGCGCGACAAATGTGGTGACTCTTTCAGCTTGACATTCTTACGATCAAATATCTGATACTTCGAGGTTGTAGAAACTTGTATGGAGTTGCATTTGGTATAGTTTAAGACTACATCTTATTCGATGGCATAGAGAAGGGAAGCTGGATTGGAGGAGTTTATGGTCTCTTCTAACCACAGCTTGCTTTATTCGCATGGCATTTGGGAGAATCCGATTGAAATTAAATCCGAAAAGCAGTTGTCATATGCTTGCACCAAAAATGGTAGCTGAGTTTTAGTAAGCAAAGTGGATACAGGAGTTTGAGAATCATCAAATTCATGAAGTAAGGAATGAATGCCTGATCAGTGCGCGAATATAAAGGTTAAAGTCGCCTCGCCTAGGCTCTTCGCCTGCAGGAAGTTCAACAAAAGGACAAACGGTCCTCGTTCACGAAAGTGTGAGGGCTTAAAACGGCAATTACGATTGACGGCTAATATGAGCTTATGGTCCTTGAGACAAAACAATCGTAGTGAGACACAAGTTGCGAACTTGCATTGTACTGAGTGGGGGCCGAAAGCGAGTTCTTACTACTGAAAGGCAGTGTCATTAGGGATAGCAAAAAATGTGCAAGACATCTGCATTCAATGTCACCTATTTGAAGCGGTTGAAGATATCTTCAGTGACTTCTGTTTCCAAACGCAAACATTCAGACGCCGTGCTCAGCTCTCCCAATCAGTTTACCTGAGTTCGGGCGAACCCGTGCACCAATCGCAGCATCGATTCGGCCGACCGTTGGGCGAGCAACGCTCCTCTCGATTTGCTAAATCGGCAGACTTCCAAAGTCCCAACATGGCGTTTGGAGGAGACCAACAGGCATTTCACAGTGGTGAACTCAAAAAGCACGGTAACACACCGCTATGTTACCTTTTTGGGCATTCTAGAGAGGAATTCGCTCTTAACACTGCAGTGCTTCGAAAGTCATTTGAATGGTTTCCACACCAATAGTTGTGGCGCTTGGTGTGATGTTCTATAACTCGAGAAAGTGCAAATACTGTTTTTGATTTCGCATGACTGATAATTTGTGAAGAAATTCTTAAACCCTAGTCTGTGTTCAGTTCGCTGACAATTAGTAAGAAGAGCTGCTTTCATCCATTCTCATGTATTTTCCATGCACCTTTGAAGTGCTTGCACTACATTTTGAATGAATGAAGGCATTTAGATTCAATCAAGGAATCGAAAATTCGTGACTAGATGGAAAAGCTGTCTGGTTTATCGTGACTTATTTTGATTGTCAGATAATTTGCATGTACCGAGGAACTCTCTTGTTCTCTTGAAACAAATACTTGGAAGATGGAGAAGGCATTTATTTCGTAGGTAGTAAGAAAGCTCTATATGTACCAATCGCCACGAATGATTGTGAATACCAAATCCTTACCGGATTGACATGGCAGAAGTTAAAAAAATAATGAGTAGGACGACAGTGCTATGACAAAAATATGTGCCTCATCATATTTTAGCTATGATTTCACGCTTTGTTTCAGCTTCCAATTCGTTATTGCAGTGGTTTAAGCAGGGAGTTCGCAAACTTCGCAACAGTATACGCCGTAGTCTCAGTCGAGACGATTGGCCAGCGCAGTCGATGCCCTCTTTCCCTATGTTCTATCAGAACACCACCACCGCGAATTCTGTCACGCCAACCATGGGAGAGCACAAGCATCAACCATCCTGGAGCTCCAGAGCCCACCAGAGCCGCACTCGAAAGGGAACAGCGCGCGGCTCCACCGGTGATGTCTACCCTCTCCACTATGCTCTTCCACACATCGAATATGATCGCGGTAGTTCCATTTCCAATTTGCGCCGATGTCTGAGCCTTGCGGAGAATCGGAACCGCGAAATCGGCAGCGGGGCTGGTAACGTCGCGCCCTTCTCTATGGAAGTGATCCCAGAAACTGAGTTACAAACAAGTTCTCAGAACCTAGGACCCTCCCCTTATCTCCGACGCGACTCTACAATGGAGCAAATTTTGGCGTGGCAACAGGAAGCTGCCTCTATGCTTTCGCTAAATGCTACTCCGAATGGCGTGAGTGGAGCCGATCGCAGCTCGCAGTCAGGCTCGCGTCACATGGTTCACGCGCCGCCTTTCTCTGAGCCCACAGAACCGCGCTCTAACGGAGCCACATTTTTTGACACTCGCAATGAGCCCTTACAGAACAATAATTACATGGCTCGCAGCGGTCGAGATTCAGGCTTCATTGACATCCCTTCTCATCAAAACTTTGCTCAAATGGATTCGTCAGCGTACTCGGTCATCCACCTGCATCAACCCTCCGAACCAAGAACACAAGGAACATCAGATGTGAAGGAGATTACGGACGCGTTTGAAGGACTAGCGTCAGATGCACTGAAAGGCTCTGGACTGCTAGTATCCACACCTCCGATTCAAATGCCTGCATCATCTCAAGACGTGCGTGGGATGCCTGGAATGGGTATTGATAACTGGTGGACAGCGGGCTTTGCTTCAATCCATCAAAATCAGTCGGAGCAGCAGCAGCAGCAACAACACCAACAACAGCAGCAACAGCAACAAATGAGTGTTAACAGTAGTGCTGATGGCAGTGGAGTTTGCCAAAACTGGAATGTCTATCAGAATGGCATTTTCACGTCGACGAGTGGAGAGACACAACCACTTCAAGCAAAATAGAATTCGTATTGTAGTCTGACCTCATCCATCATTTCAAAAATATTGAACAAAGTGCCTCCCTTTTACAAGGCGTGTTGCTAGAAAGCACGCTTATCTATTATTACCTGTCTTTCGAGAGTCCCTTTCCGGCAATCAAAACTCCTGCTGTTTAACCCTTGCTGAGTCCCTTGCGATGAAAATCTAATTATTATACGACCCATACTCTCCTATGGAATGTAGAGGGCATTGTTCTCAAAAATGTGGTCGTATTAAAAGGATGCGGATTCAGACCTTCGACGGAGGCGCATAGGGGCCCATTTTACCCAAAAGCTTATTGACAAATTTTAATAAACAAGGAACGATGCTACTGATGGTCAAAAATAAGCATCAGTAGTAGTGTTTCATGGAGTACAGATCCATAGACGATATGCTCACTTGCATTAATGCTTGGTGGTTGGGCTATACGCAATTTAGGTTTAAAACTCGGACATGGTTAGACTTGGGTAATGCTTCAAGATTTTGAAAAATAAAAGGCATAGGAGTAGTGTTTCTAAATAGATGCCGGCTGGGCCTGTTTCTAACCAACCTTTTGATCGCAAATTCGCTTACTTATGAACGTTTCAGGGATTGTGCAGGTCGTTCAGTCATTCCGAAGTATGTCCTTCTACCCAGGGTAGCGGCCTTTGAACGATTCTAGTGGTTGACAATTCGTATAAATCAGCGCTCTTTTCAGGGTCATATACACATACAAGCAGATGTTGGTGAAATTAGCAGGAACAAAATACACTGCGTAGAGATGGTAGCAGCAGTTGCCAATATGTAGATAGTAATTTTGAGCAACTCTCATTTAGTCCTCAATCAACTTGCCAACACTAATGAATATCGTCAATAACTATTAAATTAGCAAGGTAAGGATGCAGACTTGTTAATAAAAAGTGAGTTATTGAAAGCAAGTAACAAACCTTTTCATTCTGTAACTCATTCTTTATTTTAGATGCTGGACTTGATTATCTAGAAAACTGTTTAAGTTACCATTAGCCTTGGAACAGATTTAGATTTGTCAAGGTGATCGCTCTTCAGAAGGATATGATTGTGGATGTTATCGGCATTTATTTAAGATAGTCAAGGCTTTTATATGTTTCACGGCCCTGTTAAAGGCATTTACGGTTGATAGTAATTATTTGTGGATCTTCAGTCATTCTAATTCTGGTGATGCAAGTAAATTTCACCAACTTTTTCCACGTCCTTATGCCAGCTCGCTTTTTTCACCATGTTCTCAAGAACGCACCAACCGACCAGTACCAGTGTTACAATGGTTTCACTTTGCTGAAAACAGCTAAATCTTGTCAGCGAATATATATTCATCCCTCTTTTTTCTTTTGGAAATTTGATGTATTTGAGCTTAACATATGATTTAATCTCTTACTGGTTGGTGTTTTGTTAGGTTCTCATCATGACATCTGAGTCGCCGGGACCAAGGCGACCTCCACCCCGGCCACCTAAATCTCAGTACCTTTTAAATAAAGAGGTTGAAGCGTTGGCTGCAAAGCAAACTGCTTTTCGACTTTCGTCAGCCCCCTATCCCAAAGGAAAAAATCCTTTCGGAGAAAGTTCTGATGAGGAATCAGATACGTGCGACACTAATTCATCGCCGCTAACAAAGACCGGCACAAATCCATTTGCTGACTGTGAATCTGATGACGAGGAGACAAACTCACGGCCTGAGGACAAATTAGCGGCATGCGAAGCGAAAGAAACCAAAGATCCAATTAACTTAGGTGAAGCGAATAGATTGGCTTCTTCTAATCCCTTTGATGTTCTTATCGATCAGCAAGAGGAAATAGCAAAGGCGGAATCGTATGACTCTTCTCCTTCGCCTCCAAATGTTGAAAGGAGAACTAATAAAGAGCAGTTTATTCCAAAGCATCCGCGCAAGCGCCTAGCTCCGAAGCCACCAGGGTCACAGTCGAATTCCATGGAGGCCCTTGCAACTGACACTGCTGCTTCAAACCCTTGTATGCTGCCCTCTTCTGCACTGTGCCTCTCGCTGCAGGGGATGAATGAGGTTGCAATGGGTTCCTCTCCGGCTACGTATCGCAAAAACTCCACCTCATGTGAAAATGTACGCATCAAAGGTCCTGCACCACCACTGCCAGTGGGAGAAAAGCGAGAAATTCGAGCGGAAGGATTCGTGAAGTATCCTAAGCTGAGACGCGAGATTGAGGATGCGAATGCGCGACTGTCCCAGTATGATAATAAAATCAAGGTTTTTGAGGCCAAACTGAACAGCGGTGCGTTTTACGCATGATTAGTAGTTAGTGACTATTTGTCATCGTGCCCTATTTCATTTTAGTACTTATGCAATCGGCATGTTTTTGTTTTCGTCCAATTATAGTATCCCATGCCGACTATTTTGTTGAGAATAATTGTTATGCGTGCCCTTCTCTCTGATGTCTGTTGAGATTACATGAACATATTACCAAAAAGACTATCTGCCAAAAGTATTTGGACTTTGCATTATCTTGCAGCCAGAGACGATCAAGTCAAATGTAAGAAGTATACAAAGAAGCTGGCAAAACTGATGGAGAAGCGACAGTCCTTGGCTAACAAGCAAAAGGAACTCAGTAATCGGTAGATTACTTTTTTAAGATCTCATACATTCTACCTCATAAACTGGTTTGCTATTCGTTAGTCGCTCGATTAATCACTTCATGTTTTCTGTTTACAATAATTTTGGGTGTGGATGTGTGATAGGTCTGACATTTATTAAGAAGCCTTTGCTGTTCTGCTGGGAGTAGGAAAACATGGGATTTGGTGTTTAAATTTTAGATGTAGGGGCGATCATATTTACTTTTGACATGTGAAGAACGGTGGTGACAGAATGATGGGGTTTTGTTACTGACAGGAGATGAATTGGACTTTGTTGCTGAAAACTTCTGCGTCCTTACTAGTTGCTCTGGTTTGGATAGGTTATTTAAATATGTTAGTTGCGTCCTTATAATGCTGCTATTTTGCCGACGGGTTACTGAATTGTTCTGTATTCAATGCATCTGAGTGAGCTTGTATTTTATGCTACACTCCTCCTTGCCTCGAATGCATTGTTTAATTTTTGTTCCATGTCCAAGAGGAAAGAGTTTCGCATTGCACTGGTTGCTTTCCTCATTCGGGCGTCCTTTAAAATCTCAAAGCCTTTGAAACCGCTTGTCTGTGGAGCGACTCTCCTAAAAATCATTTCTCCTAATTCTTGTTTATAGTGGCTGATGTCTACGTTCGTCTCATCATGGAAATTTCCATTATTTTATCTGAGATGGAAGAACCAAGGACCTTTATATAAGTAACACATGTCCAAAAGCATTAACCAATAATCCACCCCTTTGCGTAGCACATGCTAGCACAACGGGCTCAAAAATCGCTCGTCTAATAAACGACATTTCATTAGTGCTCATTAATTTTGCAGCAGTGTCATTTTGGTTTGCTAAAAATTAAACCACTTCTTTCTGCTCCCTTTTCTTCAAAGTGATGCCTCATTTACCCTTTCAGACTTCAAGAGCAAGCGCTGGAGGATCGGCATGCAGACTTAGAATACGAGCTGCGCACCATCCTGGCCAAGCAAGGTGGGCGAATTCTCCCCTTCCTTCACACTTTTTACGCTGATGCAAATATGCTTTTTCTAATTCCCTTTTCGGGTGTGTCTTTCTCTCTTCGTTTTCAGCTACTCGTAGAACGGCTTTGCACATGTTGCGGGAGTTTTGGAGGCTCTTTTTTGGATATCGTAGTCCCTACTAACCTTATGATTTTATAAATATATTTAGTGCAACCATTTCATTGGAATGCTGTTTTCACCTGACGTTAGAAGCCTGACCGTAGAAGTGTTCTCAGTTTACGGTTTTCTGGTTTGGAAGGTCTTGGCTCTGCACGCATCATTAATTCATGATGCGTGAGGAGTCATGCTTCTACGTTACAATTTGCCCTATTTTTTAAAACCATCATTAACACTGTGCTCCCCAATGGTGAAAGCAAAGTAGAAAGTAACCTAACCCAGCATAACTCACTCACTCAATGCCATCATGCCTTTGAACAAGGTTGCACGTTTTATTTGAAAAACGGTGAGCTTAAGATGTGTTTACGCCGTAGGTTGTGCATGGGCGGTCAAGTGGCTGAAATTTACGAAGTATCGCTTTGTCATTTTTATTCTGTAGCTGTGACACACCATTCTCTTTTCGCACAATTTATGCTCTTTGAGTGATTGCTCTGAACCCCTTCTTATTATCATCATTTGATTTTGCCGTTTTGTTTTGCCACTTTTATTCGCTATTCTCGTGTCTGGTCTGGTGGTGTAGTCGCTTATTGTTTCCTGGTTACTTTTCGCGCACCACTCCTTGGAGCTATGTAGTTCTCGCTTTTATCTTCTAAGCATAAAAGTATTTCTCTGGTGTCTAGGTCCCACCCCTAGCGTCACGAGTCTTGCTGTGGATGTGAAAACTTCCCTCAACATTTGCATATTTTCACCTGCAAGTGTGGAGTCAATCGGGTGGTAGTTTGACAAGTTCATCTCCGCGTCCCATTTATCGTCGAACGGATCTCTTGCGTACGCGTGTACGTCTTCAGGTGTGTCTGTCAGCACGCTGCTGTCCACCCGCGCAGTACAGCCATTCATGCTGACATTTTAGTCGACCATAGTTAGGCAACTTATGTACCATTACTGGGCGTTGTTTCGCATTGGATTGGTGTAAAGCAGTCATGACTTAAATGTCCTGATGATTGGATTATGCGGTGATGTTCAGTCTCCTTTGGAACGGCGAATAATTACATCGTCTTTTTTGTAATCATTGTATTAGTTTGGTGTGCGTTCAGGGTTCTTTTCTAGAGCTCTTCACATCATCATGTAAAATTATTGTCTGATTGAATGGATTATTTGCGACAGAAAGTGCCTAACCTGTTGTCATTCGTTTTGCACTTGATTTGTGCCTTGTGGACTACTAAAATTGAATATGTAACCCTTTTCAGTTGAAACTGTTTTAAATGTACACGTATTTTACTGGACACAGCTGGAAGTAAATGTGGCACTTTTTTTTGCGTCCAATTTTCAAGCCTTCTCTCTCGGGGATGTGCGAACGCCCCAATATTGAGTCACTTTTTTGCCCGGTTTGCTCGATCACAGTGGCAGATGGCTTGTCCCACCATCTCCGCTCTTATGGCCTTTCAATAGGTCTAAACTGGCATGTCAGGGGACCTTACTAGTCTGATATTCGGGTTCTTGCACAAGGTAGTTACTGACACTGCTACTGGAAGCAAAATGAAATGCAGACTTGATAGTGATCTGATATAATATAGCTTTGTTTTGTCCAACAGGTTTATCCCTTAAGAATGATTTTCCGGAATACGGTATCTAATGCCATTTTTTTGTGTTAAGGCACAAATCATCATCTGGAGTGGATAGACAATACTCTTCATTTATTATTAGTCATTTCTCTATGCTTGCTTTTCAGTGAATGTCTGTTGGGACTCGGCAATAAAAGTGACATTATGGGAGGCTGTGATGGTTTTCAAGTTGTATTTTTTCTTTACTCATCTCCAGAACATCTTCGAACACGCCAGGAGCAGGAGAGGGCGGACGAATTGCTGCAACTCCTGTTGGAAATAGTTCAGGAGCGAGATAAGCTCGTTGAGGAACAGCCCTCTCTAGATAGGTAAGCTTTATCACCGGTAGCTCACTGACAGGGGGCGAGATGGCGATTTATTTGTCGGCATGCTTTGTGTTCGGAAAGACTGAGGCTTACCCACATCATCTGGCACAACTTTTCGCACCGCCTCCCATAATGAATAAATTCAGCAATGGAATTGCACGGCGGTTGGTCTTAACTCGACTGTGCAAGTCTTCCTAACTAAATTCCATCCAAGGTTGTGGACATTATTTTGTAGGGATTAAACTGAGTCAATATCCTGGTTTCTTTTTTAAAGAGCTATGGGCAAAGACGGTATCGGCATCCCGATTCGACTTATTTTCCCACCGACTGCCTTGGTCGGGGCGTCCCACCCTATCACATCATCCATTATTTAAAGCAATTTGGGCACCTAGTCACGCATTTTTGCAAGACGTGCAATAGTATTGCAACAGAAAGTCTTCTGCTTTGGAGGCACTTGACTAATTAGTTGTGGCCACTTTTGAATTTGGATGTTAAAACTGTGGCAGCTGGCAATAGTTGTTTGTTCAGAGGTTGAGATGGCTTTTGCATTTTGTTAACGAGGGGTTGCGGCAGTCCAACTCGACAGGTAATAACAAGGCGCATGTGATGTGACGCTGAGGTTGGAATTGCTTTCTTTCCATATCCCCACCTTTTCTCATTTAGAGTGAGTGACCAATCCCAGTGTTAAATTCAAATTCATGTAACCAATGGTTATGAAGTGCTTCAAAGGTTGGCACTGATTCTGACCCGCTTTAGCTTCATTCTGCCATTTTAAGTGCATGTGTCCTCGTCTTGCTCGCTAATGACCCCAAACTGTTATTCGGCTTGGATCAGCCCATGTTTTGCTGAACTCCACCCACATGGTTTGCTGTCAACTTCCAAAAAAGAATACTCCTGAACCGCATCATTATGAAATTAGTTGGCTTATTTTGTGTTTGGAGGTTCGCGTGCATGTGTGTTCGGCGCTAATGATGACCTCCTTATTTCTGTTCGAGGGCTCCGGCTCACCGTTAAAAACACGACGTTGGACTGTTAATTACAGGCTTTAAACAATGTAGCTACTTGGTAAAATCACCTTTTCTTCTGCTACTTTGTCTCTAACAAAAGTTTGTTTCTGACTTCAAAATGAGCTATGTTCATTCATAAACAGCCTTACTGCTTCATCTTCACTCTAACATGATCCTACCGATCTGTTCTAGCTTTTATCCTCTCCCCTAGAAACCAGCGTTCAATGATCTTGCCCGAGTTTCCTTTGAGTAAGTTCGCACGATTTCCCCTAACGCCCTGTAGTATAACGGCTTTAGCAAATTAGAAGCTTACATGCAATTACTAAGCACAGTAATTAGCCGAGCTGTCAAAGAGGCCCTCACGCTTCTCCCCTCTCCTCCTCTGCGTCAAATAGTTTCAGCTTGAAAGTCTCATTTCGATCAGAATACGTCTTGCCTGCCATGAGTGTTCGTACGTGACCACATTCGAGTAGAGGATTGAGAGGCATGCGTCACGCTACTGTTTACTTTAGCTATTTGCATTGCTATAAGACCCTCTTGCAGATGAGTGAGCTTCGTGTGTTCCATTCAATGTCCTCGCCCTTGTTAGATAGGCGCTTACTTGATACTTCTAGGCTCGCTATGCATTTGGCATGATTTTTCGATTTTAAATTTGAAAAGAACACAAGCTTGTAGTTCACAAAAATTTAGAATCATTTCCATTTTAGAAGGCTTCAATGCCAGCGAGCCCTCAGCCGATGTGATCAGGAGTGGCTGAGTCTGTTCCAATGAAAATTACATTCTCAGAGTTGAATAGTACATCAAGCGGAATTCTTGCTTCTCTTGTAACCAGACGCTTTCCTCGCGCCCCAGCCTGCATTGCAGAGCGACCTAACTTTTTTGCTCCAAACAATATCTTACTGAATAACTATCAAGTAGGTTGTTTTCATTTGACACAAACTCGAGTTATGGGTCATTTCGATAGTCGGTTAAATTGATTGGTGATAATAATAATAAGCCGAATTTTGTGTGTATGGATTATATTTACAACAAAGCGTCTCTTTAAATCCAGTCCCGCTTTCTGTATCAATACGGTGCTTCCCCACGTCAAGACAGAAGGACCTGACGATATAGAGCCATAAACAGCAGGCATCTCCTCATCATTATTGGAGCATTGAATCACTATCGCTCCTCTCATTGCTACGAGGGAGACTTGGGACAGATTACTACTGCTGGTAGCGTAGCGATAATGGTAGCAACAACGACAAAAGCGCTAAATAATTATTCAAAAGCGACACTACAAGCGGAGGAAGTGCGTGCTGTCGGCAGGCAGATGGATGAGCAGGTCATCTGGTTGGATGGGTAAACGAGAGGTAAAGGATCTCTTTTTACAATTTCTGTGCGTCCGCGACGGGAGGTTGGGGCTCCGAGGAAGACCTGATTGACTGAGGGATGTGCTGGTGTCCAGCTATCCCTGGCTGTGTGACGTCTTTAGAACGGCCTGTCGGATCACAGCATTGAGGCGGACCCAATGAGCCTCTGGCGTGACGAGAAGAGCATGGGATGAGAGGTGAATGCGAGTGCTGATGCTTAGAGGGGGCTGCGCTATCCGCCTGAGGGGTTTTGGGTTGTTGTGCCGCGGCTTGTGGTGTTGTAACGGTAGGATGACCTGCTGCATCCACAATCGTGGACACAGAGAGAGGTAGAATGGTGAAAATGGAAGGCTCCTCATTGTTTTTTAGTTAGAACGTTTCGTGTAATGTACTACTTCTCCGATTACAACAAGTGCAGAAGAACCAATAAGTCAGCCTCATGGCATAAACAATGCAACGAAAAAAAGAGTGTGTCCCCACATTCGGAGACCTACGAGCACCCACCAGCTCAATTAGAGCATCCTCTAGGTATTCAATACCATAGCATCAATAAGAGGAAGGAGAGAAGTTTGATAGCACAACTTTTCAATTCCAGAGACGCTGTTTACTATGCCGGACACCGATTGTGCAGATAAGCACGAAGGTCAAGCCGACAAAAAAATGAATGTATGAAATTGTTGTCTATTCGAGTGCCTCTGATTGGTTCTAGTCAAACGTTAAATTAAGAAAGCATGTGCTATCCTTGGTTCAGTAAATTCCTTTCTCTAAGCGAGAAAAACAAACTTATTTAAAAAGCGAAGTTGAATGCAATAAAACGCCACAGAAATCCAGTTGAGAAGAACCAGATAGTACTACCTCATAGAGGTGGTGGATACGAAGGCAGAGGTAAGAAGACTACCATTAATTTAGGATTATGGAAAGGCATTCTTTGTTGTAGTGCAGTGGAGAAAAGCACCATACGACAGTGCATTTGGCTAGAAGAGCCTTTGGATAAGTGAGCTAAACAAACGTTATTTGATCAAGCCATTACCTCTTTGGAATCGACTCCGAGACCGCGGATTTGCTTGCTCATGCACACGATGTCACAAATAGGTAACAAAAAGAAGAGCAGGAATATTGAGGAAAGATATCAGTGAATGGTTTCGCTTACCATCGCCAATTTTGGCGTCAGTTGCGGTTGTGGAGAGGGATGGAACTGTACTGAAAGGGACTTCGGAGGCGGGACGGGCGGGATCGGGGGAGAGCTGAGGTGAAGCATTGATAACGGCAGTGGAGGTGGCGGAAGGGTCATTGTAAAACCAGGGAAACTCCACACAAGGTGGAAGCGGTCCAGAGTCCGGCAGACAGGTACAGGGCTCGCGTCCGCGCCAGCGACAGTCGTAAGCAATGAGTTCTTTCAGTGAACGACCGTCCGAAGGAATGTTAAAACGCGCCTGAAGAAAGGCCGGCCAGGGCACATTGTGCTGTGTGAGTGAGATTAAAAAAAGTATATCCTAAAGTGAAGTGGAAAGATCGCCAGGAAGCCTAAAAGATTGCAAAAACGAGCTCCAAATATTTTGTAACATTTTACTCGGTAATGAAGTGTTTCTCACGAGACTGAGATACTTACAAATTCGGCTATTTTGCCGTCAAATAAGCCGAGGTCTATTTAGTAATTAATAGTCTCGAAGGGACCATTTGGGCAATATGGAACACTAGATACTACCGCTAGCAAGATCTATTGGTCTTCAGATTACCAGTATAATTGAAGGTCGGTCGTCTCAGTGCTGCTAAAATTATTCTGACAGTTGAATTTAAATATAAAATTCAATTTCTAAATGCGAATATTGCTTGAAAGAGAGTCGCAGGGCATCTCAAAAGGTTCAATATAGGCAGTGAAAATTATTTTACTTCCTCCTTAAAGTTGCTATTTTAGGGCTAATTCCTTTGATGTCAGTTGGTAGGTATGTCGGCCATTAAGAACGGTGAAGATACATCACTTTGAGGTATCTGAAACAAGGGTGAAATTAACCAGAATGGTGGACGATAATTCCAATGAGTGATTAAACAGAATTTGCTTAGAACAACGATGTAAAGTCAGTTTCCCTTTCAAATCTATTTACAGAGGAGCGCACAGCTCTATACAAAACTGAGCTATTCATCGAGTACAACAATGCGTTGGTGTTCACTAGTATAATACTGTCAGAGGAACAGATTCGTTTACGTAAAGATAAGCTAGATGGAGAAGAACAACATTAACCGCACTCCTAAACGGCAAATAGAGTCTATGACCTTGGAGACCGTTTCATGGAGCGACGCAAAAATATACATGGATCAAAGCATAAAGGGGAAGAGGAACGCCTACTTGGAGATGCAGATCAAAGAGATCCTCGGGAGTGATTTTAGCGTCTCGAGCTAGACTTTCACGGCAGTGGTAGCAGGGAGAGGTGAGGTAGTTGGGCAAGTCAGTGCGATGGAGGTAGTCATGTCGATCACAGAGGGCACAAGTGGCGTTCTGGGGTGCCAGCGCTCCCACATCCAACATCTCTATGATGTCTTGATTGTTATTGGGTCTCATGGATGTATTTAATGACGCAACTTTTGGGGGGTTCAAATCCGAGGTAGAGGAGGCCATCACCGTGGCTGAAACGGTTGTTCCACCAATTGCACCCCCTTCTGTGGTCACTGGCTGTCGCGCTGGCGGGGGTGGTGGTCGAATCTGCACATCGCCATTCATATGAATGGGTGCCTCCAACCCCTCTAAAAGTGAAAAATCGCATTTTAATGACCTTTGGATTATTGCGCCTTCTGACTTTGCCAATGTCAAAATTGATTCGAGGAGTAATGAGTCTCAAATTGTAGTTTAAGGGATTGCTTGATATGCTTTCCACCACCAGATGTTGAAAACAAAGTGTGGTAAACAGTATGCTGGTGCTGCCTCATGTATCTGTTTTTTTCAGTTACAAAATAGTCCCGCTAAAAGGCTAAATAAGCAAAAAGAAAAAACTCCATTCTACCATCTCTGGAAATAAGATTATTATTTTCTTGCTTAGGGAGGGTGGAAGAATTGAAAGAAGGTCCGTAGAATAAGTGGCGTGTTTTTAACAGCGCATAACCCTAAATCCCAAATGGTGAAATTTGACAGATGCCAGAACAATGTGGTAAGAGGAGAAAATAAACTACTGCGCCTGTAGATTAGCAAAAATCTTATTTGAGATAGCACCATATGGACACACGATTTCTCAATTAAAAAGATGTATATTTGCTAATGTTCCCTTACCCGAGAAGACGCAATGGAGACTATTCTACAAGAAAGCAACCGAATTGAGGTTCGACCAAACTATTGAAAGCGTGAAAGCCACACCTTTTAAAAAACTAAACCAGTACACAAACACTGATAGGCTAATAATGAGACTCATGTTTCAATACCTTCAGACTCCATGCATCCCAAGGCAGGAAAGCAAAAGATATTTTGTTACAGATCTGTCATGTCTGGACAGCTTCCACGCAACTACAGCTATCTATTCGACTCAGTCGCTTACCGTTCATTATCTTTCAAACCATTAAGTTTCCTTCGTGATAAGGATATGAAGTAATTTGATTTATTTTGTCGCAGTTACCACCGAATTAATTACTGTTCGTAGATAGAACGATGGTAGAAGTGGGAGAGAGTCGATTAAGGGTTCAACCATAAGGTTGCTCGATTCGAAACACAATGCTCATCATGAATGAACTTTCGAATTCTCAAAAAAAAAAAACTCGGATGAGTGAGATGGGAAAACAAAACAATGTAAGAGCTCGGATGGCTACGATTCTTGTTTTAGACATGCTTGACAAAGAAAAAGGGCGCATGGATTTAACACCTCACCTGCTTTGTCGGCAAGGTCGTGAGGGCAAAAGTCAGGATCTTGCTGTGAGGGTGGCAGGGAGGAGCGACAAGGATCGGAGGCAGTCGTCATGGCACCAGAGGGGAGCAAGACTGGCATTGCAGCGGTCGCTGAGTTGGTATCGACTAGTTCAGCCACTGACGCGGCTACGGGAGCGGTAGCATTAGTTGGATTTACTTGAGTAGCCGACTGCGCCGCTGCAGGTGTCTAGGATAAGTCAATATGTACACGCGTTCTGACCTGTTGTTATAATCTTCGCCTCAGAAGATGGGATGAAGAAGGAAGACAAGCATGTAATTAGTGGCGAAACTGTGACCCGACTCAATCGACGATTGTAAATGATCCAGGATAATGATGAGTGAACCCTCACAGGGGAAATTATTATTTGGCGTTAATTGTCGTATTAATGACGTCCCCTTAGAATCCAGGACTGTAAAGACCATAAAATAGCTTTCAAAATAGTCAAGTTGTCCTTCACTCCAAAGCTCAAAACGTTTATCGAAAAGGCACATTTTAGAACCTAATAGCTAATAACTTACAAGCGGATAAAGGTAAATTTAGCTCTCCGATTGCACTGGCAGGGTCGCCTGTATTTCTACTCCCACAACACCTACCAGCCTAGAGGTAAGGCTTGCAAAAAACCACATAGCGACATGGCAGAGAACAGGTTTAGAGCTGAGTGACTGATATCGCCAGGTGCATTCGAAGAGTGAGCTTTAACAGACGCACTGCCACTCACCGAGGAGCAGTCAAGAACCAAATCACATTCTTAAGTGGAACGCTGAGGAGTGGATGTTGTCTGCTTTCAAGCACCGAATAAGGTTTTACTAAGTTCCCTTTGAATCTATCGCGTTCTCTTTCACTAGTTTATTGAGCTGTACTCATTGGATTTAGGCAAAAATTTACAGATTAGCCTTGTGATAACCTTGGAACAAACATTATCCAAATGCCAAAACTACGGAAAAAGTCATAACAAACACTTGGTGAGTGACTCTACACAGGACGTGAAGATCCCACCTTTAAAAAGAGTGATGGGGCATTCACAGCCAATAAAGCTCCGTACAGTCAAGTTTAACACCTAGAGCAAACCTTCGTCGCAGGAAAAAAACAAACAGCATTTTCTAAGCAATACAACCGGTGGACGAACAAATGGTGGCAGAATTCTTAAAGGCAGAAACTGAGTAGGTAATAACTCCTATCATTAGAGAGAGAATGATAGTAATAATAATGCATGCAATCGAAGTTATAACACAATGGCAGCTATGAGTTAGGTTAAAGAAAGGGGAGTAAATTGTTTAGCCCAAATGAGAACAAAATGCAGGAACGGTAATAAATGCAACATCAAAGAACCGCTCCAGGAGACATGGCAAGCAAGACTTAATTAAGCACTTAGATAATCAACTAAGGGTACGAAAAAAAATGAGTACTAATATTTTCCTTACTACAGCCCCAGGCATTAGGTTGGCTATAGTCTGCATCCATTGTAATCCAAAAGTAGGCATTAGGAACACTTCACTAGTATCTTTTCGCCTAAAATTCCATTTTTTTAACATGAAAACTGATTTAGAAGTTCTAAACCGAAATTTTGATCCCAAGAAAACAATGCTTTTGGAAAACTTAAAAGCGACAATTCGGTAAAAACAATAATCAAAAGGTTAGAAAAGCTAAAAACGTTTTGCTACAGAGACAACTTTACGTCTAGGACGCATTTCCTATCCAAATGTTGCAATAATAACATCAGTGAGAGAATCTGCATAAAGTCAAAGTATGACCTACCATGAAGGGGTAAAAGTAAAAGCATTAGGGTGTGACAGAGACAAAGATGAAAAAAGGTCTCAACCTTGGGCTGGTATTGTGGGGACGCAGTGGTATCTGCGACGGGCATTATGTGAGCAGCACCGTTCAAAGAGACTCGCGCAATCAGCTCTTGTGCCTGTTGATGCAAATGCAAAGTGACTAGCTTGGAGTACAATTCCTGTGCGTAGATGCTGCCATTGCACTGAGGTCCGTAGCTGAAAGGAGAAGAACAACGTAACTAAATGTTTGTGAGTGTGACCACAAAAAAGATAGTTTAAAGGAAAGGAAAGAGCTGAGAGGTATCGCAAGAGAAGTCCGAGAAGACAAGGTACTGGATATGAAGAATCGCGGTTGTTTGCTCTTTAATTGCAACTGAAATTGTCCAAGATTGAAAATGACTAGTTTTAGAGCTGAGGGGCAGATGGCTGGTCCGTTGTCAACCGAGACAAAAAAATAAATACCACAGTAGTACATAGGGGGAAAAAAACAAGATTCATTTTCAAACCTAAGAGGCAAAACATGCAGTCGAGCTGTCTTGAGAGAGTAATTGCGTTTTCAATTCAAAGTACTTGAAACCAATCCTTCAACGTATCCGCTTTTAGAGCATGGCATTCCTTGTATGAAAAACAAGCTTAACATTTTCACATTTATTTGACATTTACGAGCAGGAATTTCGCCGCAGTCCATAAAAGCAGATCCTTGCTACCTTTGATGAAAGTTTAAAGTCACACTTGAATGAACACATTCTTTTAATAATTCAATGAAAGTTCAGTGACGGCTTCGCCCAGAAAATTCATCAGTATGGTTTATCGTATTTATCATATTTTGAAATGCCAAGGGTTGACAAGATTAGAAGTCTGCATCACACTCAAGGCAGTAGTTTAAAGTGTGCCCAGTATGATGACTCCTATCTCTACCTACTTCAGCAAACGACATATCATTTGAGAGGTCTCTTGCTTAAAGGTGACAGGGTGCGGATGCGGCTTACCAAGGGTAAATAAGTTCCCCTTCCACCAGAGGTATGTTGTGCCGTGCCATGGCGAGGAGTCGAATCAGAATACTTTTGTCCCCTCCACTTAAGCACTTGGACCCCTCAAAAAGATCTGCTATCCGGTCGTAGTCATGCCATTCATTTTCCAACACTTGAAGATAGGCCTAGGGAGTTAAAAGATAACGTTAATAAATTGTTTTTACTGTATTTGTCCTCTACAAATATCCTTAACTTGAAGGAACTCAAAACCTGCAAAGTACTGGTGCCGTGGGAATAGGATTCACAACACCAATTCAAACCATTCTAAGTCCCCTTCTGCAAAATCACAAATTGGGGCTACAGTTAATTTACATTCAAGGGAGGGGCTAAACGAGTGGAAGTCTTCAAAAGCCGTGGTATCAGAAAAACCATGAATACTACCACAGTATGAATTTGAAGCAAAGGAATATTTAAATAGAAATTCATTACTCACCATGAGTTCATTAAAGACACCGTGCTAAGCGTTAGGGGAACCCTCCCTACTGAAAAATCTTAATTTATGGTGAAACAATTTCCGAGCTACTACGCTGTCACTATTTGGCAACAAAACTAGAAACAAATTACAAAAAAGGCATTCGCCCACCTATTGGTTACGGCGTTTACTCTTAACAAATCAATGCTGTGACAGGAGTCGTGAAGCTCAGAACGAGACGTGATGCGCAAGATCAGGAAAATAGAACACGCAAAAGCACTTATAAAACCAGTTGATAGCTAAGGCCAAACTCAAACCCATAAGTTAAAAGAGCCTTGATGCATCCAGTTCCTCGTAAGTTGCATTCACGAAGATGTCTAACTTTCAAATGGGTAAACATAGAAGTCGAGCTGTCACTTGCTTCAAACTACGGGAAAAAAAGAAAGAACATCCAACTATAAAAAAATCTAAGGACATGAAGCTAATCCATTTTCTGTAGGAAAACATGCATCCAATTGATCAAAAGTTTGAGATTTTTAGGATGCGTTACAAGCATCTCATAGAAGACTTTCGGCCTTAACTTACAAAACATTATGACACTCAAGTCAGCGTCTGACAAAACCACTCTATAAATGCTCTCCTCATGGATTGGAGCAAGAACCACTCACTTCTCGTTTCAACCTATCCTCGACGAACCACATCTGCACATACACCTGCCAACGCCCTACTCCAATGTAGGCGTATTGGCAGTGAGTGAAGAGAGCAGGGGTGGTGGGCGGCTGAGAAGGTGGAGGAACATGGACAACTTGAGGGGCGCCATCACAACCCTTCTCAACGCCCTGTGAGCCGCCCTTAGTTCCACTTTCCTCATCGTCCTCGTCATCATCATCGTCATCGGAATCATTCTGATCATCATCATCCTCTTCGGAGATCTCAGCATCGCCTTCGTCATCCTCCGCTTCCTGCGTCCCTGCAGCGCCGGCATCGGGAGCAGGAATTGCAGTATCAGGAGCAGAGGAATTAAAAGTAGGGTGTTGCGGAGGAACTACATCCATGGCCGAGGCAAGAGAAAGTGCTCCACTTTGTGTCAGAGTGGAGGCAATGCTGGTGTGCGGTGTGTGAGGTATGTTCTACAAAGAAAACACATTGATCGAGTAACCTTCCAAGGGTAGGAAGCCTTCTTTTATCTAACTCATATGAACAACAAAATATCCAACGCATGCGACTTAACAGGCATTAACAATATTACCTTAAATAAAGGCATCATAAAGCAGTTAAGGGTGACCATGGCTTTCGTTCATTTAAAACACTCCAGCCCTCTTTTGTTCATAAGTACGGTCCTTCTAGCGATTACAATGACCATCCTATACGCGCTTCGTGTAATAACTGGCGGTCATGCACGAGAAGTTGAAAGAATGATAAGGACGAAATGTAGGAGAATTCCACCTTTTCCTGCATTCAACATGACATATCATCTATAGACGCTTGAACAATATCTGCTCATCTAACTTGGAACAATAGGTGTTGAACGTGGAGAACAGGTAGCGGAAACCGCATAATCATGATTCAAGGCTATACGAGGAAGGCATTTATTTAGATGAATGATAGGACCAGTTCCCAGTGGCCCTGACTAACTACTTCAGGTAAAACGTATCTACGGAAACAATGAAATTGAACAATTCGGTAGCGGCGACGAATTTAAGCAGTTGATGTGTGGTAATAAGTACCAAAGTTCTAGAAAATCCACTGCGAGTCAAAGTCAATCTTTCCCGTACTAAAACGCCCAAAACCCCATAAAGCGATAATAACAACGCCTTGGGGTGAAGATGCTCCAGTTATAGATAAAAACTCTTGAGACCATTTGGAGAAGAAAACACTCCAATTAATCGATTTTTTAGACCCATGAAGATTATGGATTTGAAACCGAATTTGTCATAGCCAAAGCTCGAAGATTTTCTGTCTTTAAAATGGACCAATCAGCAGAGAGAGTAAAAATACTTCCGATGCATTCCAACAGACAAAAGCAACAGAACAACGGTTCAGAATGAATCGACAGCGTTACGACTTAGTAAGAATCAGTGCTGGAGCTAATACCTACCCGACCAGTCGGCTTAGTGCGAGAAGCATCCGTGCCCAGTGCAGCGGGGCCTAAAAGAAAGAGATGGGGAGAATCCATACCTTCGCCAATTACGTCACCAAGCGCAGTGCTTATAATCTACACTAGTAAGTATTTTCCCATTCTCGGAGCATCGAACCAGTAGTTGCTTTAAATAACTAGAAGTTAGTCAACGAATGGCAATATTAATGCACCTTAAATGCGTTTGCTGTCCATATAAATAGTCTATCTCGATACCAACTTAAATCGGACAAGAGTGACATCGAAAATGGTGCGGCAACAAAGGAAAAGCACATCAGCATGACCAGCGCATGGATCAGTGTAACGTAATTAAATGTTTTAGAACGAATCTTTCTTCAGAGAATACTCCACAGATATTTTAAACATCAAAGATGTGCACCGTGAAGCTATTTATAATGTCAAGCTGACCGACGAAACTCAACTACAACTCAGTGTAAAAGAATTATAAAAGCTACTAATCCAACAAGCATACCTAAAGGGCAGACTTCATTACTTCCGCAGACGCAAGCAGACTGTTGGCGAATGCGCTTTTCACGAACATTAGTTGCGGTTTGTTGGAGCAGAGCGTAAGGCTGCTGAATCACACTACTTGGCGCGTTGAGCACGGTGTTCGTCACTGTCCCACCGGCGGTGAGCGCAACAGTATCCGCATCAGACACAGGCGGTGGGGCCACACCAACACCCGTCAGCATGGTTTGCACGTACTCCTTCAGCTGACTCGTGGAAATAAGGCGATCTGCTACGGAGTTTGGGAGAGAGCGGCGTCTTATCTCTGCATCACCTGGCACTGACTCGAACCCCGCGCTGACCACTAACGAAGCTGCTGCAGCGGCAGCAGCAGCGACAGCAGCTGAGGAGGTGAGAGGGAGCTCGGGGAAGTCATCGACCTTAGCACCCTCCGATGAAAACTCGCGAGTGGCCGAGAGAAGACGTGGTGGAGTATCTGTAGCGCTGACAACGCTAGCAGAATGTTTTCGAGAGGTGGTGGATGACGCAGCATTAGAGATTACTCCAGAAGAAGCAGTTGCCATGACAGGCTGCCCTCCACTTCCTGTTCCATCGATAACAGCAGTAGTAGAGACACCTCCCGCAGGTCCCGCTGAACCCTCCTCCTCTTCTTCTTGTTCAGCTGCCACAGAGCCAAAGTGGTATCCAAGAAAAGGGTAGAAGCCATTTCTGAAATAAAATGGGAGATTCAGGATATTTGTGCATGCATTGAGGAATGAAAGTGGGATGCAATTCTAAGTTTAACGAGATGGCTACAGAACTACAAAAATAAAAACAACACGCATTGGGACATCTAATTAAAGTGAGCAAAAGTGAGTAAAAATAGCTTATGAAGTGTATAGAAATAGAAGAAAATTGATTTGGAAAAATATTCTCAGTTGGCAGGATAATTGGGTATGTAGACTGTTTTTGCCTTTTATCTCTTACATATAATAAGCTCGAAAAGACAACAATCCCGAAAAACCTCATACAAGAGAACCGACATTGGCAATACCATACAAATAGGTTGCCGCAAGCACACAGTAACAAACAAGAAGCCGTTAAACCCTTCACAGTCACATAAATAACGAAGAAGTCAAGGAAGTTAGCTAAATGGCATTCCGTTCAAAAATTTTAATGTCCTTATCTAGAAGGATGTTTGCGCATGTACTAAACTATCCATTTTCCAGGTGAAAAACCAATACAAAGTTTATAATAGACCTGAATAAACACCCTCATAAAAAGACAATGAAAGAAAACACGTAGACTTGTAAAGAACAATGTCCTATCGAGAGAACATGACGCGAAAAAAGCAGCTGACTGACGTTGTCCCACAAATGTCACTCAACAAGTTCAGGAGCAATGCAATTCCAATTTCGGTCAAGAGGAGCGCTGTATTGGAGCTAAAGTTGCAGCCAGCTGATCGGGTTGGATCACGTAGGTCACACGGCCAGCACAAAGGTGTGCATTTCGCATACATTTTTCAGATCAAGTGAGTTTCGCTGATTGTACAAATTTTGAACATAGCACCGTCCGAATAAAGTTGCTTTATGCAGCAACGTTTGGAGTGCCTCAGTGATGGCAGGAGAGACCGAAAGTTGGAAGTGGTAGAATAGGAAAAAGCCACTCCAAACGGTGTATGGGCACACCTCTTGGGTGCTGAGATTAGCTGCATGCACAAACTGAAAAGACACGCAAGGAGCAATATCGCGCTGTGCATGGAAATTGCAGTGACGCTTTCCTGTCATTCCCAAAACCTTCAAGATTGCCACGGAGCCCTAATTTTACCTAGTTGCTCTTAAATATGTATCAGAAGAATTCAAAATCTTAGATAGGCCTTTAGTAGTAAGACTTCAAGTTGAGGCATTTATGGATGCATAATTGCCAATTGAGGACATTGTAAATTTGAATCATCGGAGTAGAGGATTAAAAATAGAATCATCGATTTCAACAACTGCTATCCAGAATTTTATTGTGCGGCCTTAAAAGCCGTAAAATTGTCAAACATCAGAAAGCAAACGAAACATAAACTGACCCACTAAACGCAATCAAAAGAATCAAAAGAAATGATGAACAGAAGGGCGAAGCCAAAGTAAAATTGGTCGGTGAGTTTCAAGAAACAAAATTGAAGAGGTAAGTTGGTTTGATTAACCTTATTTAACTGGGAGAGCTAGTGTTACTACACGAAGGAGAAGTAAGGAGAGGACGTTAATTGAAGAAATTTGGAAAAATCAACAACGAGATAAGAGGCCTTACGAGGTGGAGGTCTTATAAAAAGTTCGCAATTCGCACTTTAAGAACCAAGGAAGTAATGTTACTTTGCTTTTCATGCACTTTTGACCATTTCAATGATCGCAATTACCGCAAACATAGGCAATTAAGCCGACTATTGAAATAGTAGTTGCCGTAAACAGAACTGCAAAATGCCAGAATATGTCAAGTTTACGAATGGCAAGGTAAAGCTTAATGAGGATATTCAAAAGACATGGAAAAATCCAAAGCGGGTAAGTAGGGAAAGTAAAATACGAGCAAATAGATCAAAAAACGATGAAAACTAATCTGTATTCCTCTCGAAGGGGAGAGGCAAAACTGTTTGCTTTATCAAGGATTTGGAAGAGCTGCTACTCATGTATTTCCAAGGTTATAAAGGCAAACAGAACTTTTGTCGCCTTGCCTGACAACATGCAAGCAAATGTGTACGTACCAGAGAACTTGCACGCAGAAACAGACATAGAGATTGTCGCGCATCGGGGTGATTTTACGCAATAAAAACCCCTCAAGGCCTTGCATGAAAAGCAATGCTCATTCCAAAGGCTACGAAATAAGATTCACGTGGTGTTAAGCCAGGCCTTAATGGCAAACACGTGAGGGGAATCTGAGATCCAGATGTGTTCTTATAAGCCTGGAAGTACACATTTCTTCGTTTGTTGAACAATTATCAGTAAATGGTATTGCAAGAATCCAAGTTAAGTTAAAGAGAGCATACATCGTCTGACAAAGTGTGCAAAGGTAATAGGACAACGTACTCGTCTTAGAAGTTTAAGCAGCTGTTCAAGCATGCCACAAGAAATGTAGAAGGAATACTTGCTTATGCAAGCTGTAGGAGAATGAGTTTTGGACGATAGCTATTTTAGAATGGCTTTGACTGACAACGCAAGGGGGTCCAATCGCATTTCAGTTCAGTCCAGTCAGTCAAAAAGAACTATTTTTCTGACCTGTATGCGTCTATTACGTTTAACAATACTGCATAAACGCTTAAGGTTAGGGTCAAACAAAGGCGATACGAATGATATTTGGTAAAACTTCGAGCAGGTTGCAAGGAACTTGCCACACAAAATTTTACGCGCCTTGCTCACAATGAATGCAAACACATGAAATACAGCCTCAAGACGACTTTGGCGGGCTTTAAATCAAATGAAACTATCAACAGTAATGGCTCTCATTTGGGATCCGACTACGCGTAAAAACATAAGTAGTAAGAAAGTCTCTATCATTAAGAATGAGGATTGAAGCAAATTCCGATTTTTTGTGACACTAAAATGCACACAAAAGGGACTAAATCGAGAAAAAAGTGCACGAGGCTAGTCTTCGCTCCATTGCATTTAAGCTACCGATTCTCAAGGTTACAGTTGTTGTTTCGACCCATCGAAGGAGGGTATTGAAATGAAAGATAGCTTTGAGACGATGTCTCTAATGCTAGGATGAGTCAATGTGCCCAAAAAAGCAAGGAACTGGGATAAAAACTGTAAAGAATGATCGTGATAAGAAGCATCGATGTGCATTGCTATGCCATATTTTAGACTTAGTAAGGACAAAAGGCAGCCAGCTCAAGGGGTGGTAAGTCAATGACCCTGATAGAAGGATCAAAGGGTATTAATGCATACGTTTGCAATAAAACACCGCTAAATAACATTTACCTAAATTATGTAAACAGGTTGCGTTTCAATTAACTTTGGCAGGCTTAAACGAACGGGAAGATCCAAGCTTGCTTCAAGTGATTTTTACTAAAAAACCCATACTAAGCATATAGGGTTACAAAGTTCAAAATAAATGCTGGTTTTAAAGAGTGGGCAAAGGAACCACGAAGCTAGAAGGTCTAGAGAAGGTAGTCAAGAAGTCTAGTATCCTAGGAGTGCTTTTATCAGGATCTCAATGAAAAGTAACGTGTTACTACCTAACATTTAAAAAAAGTGGGGAAAATGGGAATTGCTCTTCCACGACCCACTAATAACATCGGTTTTGCTTGCCAGTAATCAGGACACCAATTACTTTAGTCAAGTTAATCTTTACAAAAGAATTTATAGGAACGGTTGTAGGTAAGTGTACAGAAACCTCGCCTTACCTTCAAAAACAACTATTTTCTGACAGGATAGAAGGCAAAATACCCCATTTATTATCTGTAAATGTCTGGCTTAAAAACAAACGAGGTTGAGCGTAGCGTATTCGATGGAGACTAGCTTTCAAGGAATTAAGCCCGTGAAATGGACAGAAAAAGGCTGATTTTCGATCGATGGTAGACCTTTGTAAACTAACGTAAACATCTTACACACATGAAAGATTCAAAGCAGAATACTATTCTGATAATGGTTAAGGGCATGCAACCAAAAAAGAGACTGGTTTAACAACTCTTTTCCACACCATCTTCATGCACGCATGTACACCCAAATAGCATTTATGAGTTGTCCTGCAACAAAACGACATGGAGCCAGCCGGTTATGAATGCACAGACTCACTTTACATTCTCGAGGTACTTAGAGGTTAGAGTGAAGTTGGAGCGATAGTCCTTCCAGGAGCGCGTTTTGGTCACCTGATCATTGAAAAAAGTGACATCCAGAATTATTGCCTCATCCTCCAAGTGACTGATGTAGTCTCGCAACAACTCCGCAAAATCTGTAGCTGCTTCTGCTTTTGCACCACTAACACCCGCGCCTACGCCTGAACCACCCTCAGCTGCGCCTCCAGGGCCCGCTCCGCCCCCTCCAACAGCAGTGTCTTCCGAGGACACAGATTTCACTTAAAACGGAAGAAATGTAATTTGCATATGACTTCAATATCTATTCTTCATTTATGAAATCATTTTTTATTGTCCAGTTATTGTGCTTGAGAAGTTTCAAGGTTAATGGTCTCCTATAACTAAGGTATCTTAAATGTGCTATGTATCAGCATAGGCACAAAATGCGCTTGAAACATAAAGAACGTAAGGAAAGCATGCTAAAAAGCACCGCAGCAAGCTATGAAACGTGCCTCAAAGATAAGCTCTTTTCAAAGAATACTGTACTTTACAGTGTAAGGTCCACAATCTGTTGTGAGAAAATAATGGTAAAGATGGGAGAACAGATCGATTTCTGGGACTGAGACGTGGAATAAAATAACATGCAATGGGCAATGGGGAATTGAGACCTAAATTTATATCCTGAATGACCTTGAGAAAATAATATACTTGCTCTAGTGTCAGTGCAGTGTTCTCGCCCTGGAGGTCCTGCGTCTTCATTGCTCAATCAAATCGCATTGTTTGCATCGCCTCCCAATTGGCTGACCCGGCTGCTATCGGTCACACATACCACCACCTCGCACAAAGCGCGTTGATGAATGCAAGCCATCACAAATTATTATACGTAAGTGTAATTCAGTTGTCGTTCGTAAGCAATAAGCTTTTGCTGCCTCCGCAACAAAAGAACAACAGAAACGACTTTAGGCACCTACTCCAGAGTGCACAGACTTGGAAAAAAAGGTCGGACGGGTACGCACATTAGGATGTCTAGAAGTGTTACTACAGAAGTAAAAAAAATTACTGATGTACGTGAATTGGCATGCCAAAATCCTTCGAGTATCTGCGTTTCAAGAACTTTTAAAAGCGGGAAAAGTGGGAGTAAAAAGATAGGTTGAAAATTTTGAGTAGCAATAAAGCTCACTAGAGGTGACAAGAACCTTCGCAGAGAGGAGTTTAAGAGTGGGTACTTCAGCAACAGCTGGATGGTTGAGTAGCGCCTTGATTTTGGGACGGTTGGATGGATTGGGATCACAACAAGCCTCGATAAAGCTGCGTTGGTGAGGATCAGCAAGACTAGCCAGCATAACTCTGACTTTCTCCTCCTCTGAACTGACTTGAGCATCGAATGCCTGGGTCCACACAGCAATCTGTAAGGATATACGGGAAGCTAGTTCTTAGTACCCTAGAACATCATAGGCTAGCCAAAACAGACTTTTTTGAAATGAAGTAGTTATTACATTTATTTTACGAAGAAAGTGAGCGATTAGACTCTAAAGCGTTAATAAAAAACAGCAAGCTATCAATGATACTTCACGATGCGTGCCGCATAAAGAAATAAAGCCGAAAGTACGCCGGAATGGGGTGAGGAAACTTCTCTAGGGAATTGAGCTCCTAGCATGACATACTTTCCACTATTAAGAAAGATATGACCCATTTGAGGCTGACATTACCATACCAGCTTAGCAATAGTATTAAATTGTTCAAAGCACATAGAAAAAGGAATCAACCTCAAGCGCCAGGACTCCAAGCGCATAGATGTCAGCAGCCGGAGATTTCTGATCGAAAAAAGAGTCGAGCATAACTAAAACAGAAATGGTTGAAACCTGATCCTCATACATGGTCCGACTTTAAGATTTCCTGAGCTCTGGTAGTAGATTGCTTCCTTTTTCAAATTACCATGGGTAACACCAAGTCGATGGAGGTACATAAGTACAGAAAGTAACTGACCAATGTGCCGTCTCCACAGCTAAAAAAGACTAAGAGGTGAATAAAACGTACCAATTTGGACCTCGAAGTGGAATTACAAAGAAATTGCTTCAAAGTGCCATCGTCCAACCTCTCATTCACGAAAACTAATTTTCTGGGTCCAGAGTCATTTTTTGTTATCCAAGCATCCAAAAATCGAATAAGAAAGGGGTGAGTTTGTTTTTTGAGCTTCTTCACAATAGTTAAAAACCTGTTATCGCGCTCTGTCTTTTTTTCCGGTAACATCCTCTCATTCCACATGACTTCTTTTCCAGACTTGGGTTCAATGGCGATAAATGTATTGTCGACACCACCAATTTGTGTTGGCAACCGCTTATTACGTTTATGAAAGCGGTTATTGTGAGATTTTTCGACAATTTTGTCCTCCTCCTCTTCTTCATCATCCTCGTCATCATCTTTTTCATCATGTGCAGTCGAAGCTGCCATGACAACATCGGCCGACGGAGCCTTTATGTCAGACGTGGATTCGAGCTGCTTGGACTCCTGTTGTTCTTCCATTTCATTACAATATATATCTTGAAAAGAAATCGTACAGATTACTAAATGAGGACGCATGTAGTTAGACAAATAGAGTATAGGCTACAAGAAAACTCTTTACAGTGCTAAGCAGAAATAAAGAGCAAAATTATTGACACCAATAGTATAAAAACCATGCAAGATAAGGAGGGAAAAAAGCTTCTTTAAGAACCTCAACTTAGAGGAAAGAAGTATCATATAACGTTGAAAGGTTATACGAAATGGAAGGCAAAGTAGTTAGCGAAGAGCACAACAGCAATAACTTATAACCCTAAGATTATTTAAGAAATGCGATCCAAAGTAAGTATATTAAAAGCAATTGCAAAGGGAAGGGAATGCCAGCTAAAACTACGAGACAAAGACCTTAAATATATATTTTATAAGATAAAATATGGTGCATAAATGAGTAGCTCTGAACGTTGAGGTCTGCTTCTAAATGTCATATGAAGGGAATGGCGTTTTAATTTTACCTTAAGGGTCCGTTGACCGCTCCTTGTAAAACATGTCAGATGCAACTTTATTCATTTCAGATGAATTTAAATGCAGAATTACCAACTCTTAGAGGTGCCGACTCCCCACCCGTATCTACTTACTAATTTCAAGTTAAGTGAGTAGTGTGACATGCATTAAATCCTGACGACCCAGTGTAGTACAGTTCGATTATTTGATGCATGCTTTGCTGGTGACAGGCGAAATCTTAATTTGTAACTGTTCAGGCAGAGAGTGAGGTCGAACCGTGAAACTTGCAACGATGCCCACGTATATCCCTATCACTCTCTGTCCCACTTATTAACCCTCAATTTGCCTAGCAGAGCCCCCTAAAGAGTAGGTTTGCTGATTAAAGGCTAGTTTCCTTTGATAGTAGAGATGAAAACCACACGGAACAATCCAGTAAATAATCAACCCCAGGGGTGTAAACATCATCAAATTAGTCAATTTAAACAAGCATGCACAACACTAGATACGTAGGATAAATCTGCATATCGTGCATGCATGAAGGTCAACAATGTTTTCGTTTTTGATGACTCAGAATAATCACTGAACTGATGAACCTTACCCTGGAAGCAACAGCCCCGTCCAAACTGCCCGATGCATGTTCAGACCTCTATAACCCTCCACACCTTGACCTCATATGGTCAACCTAACCCAACACCTTAGCCACTAGGATTTGCACAGTTAACTCTTTTCAAAGCGTTGTCATCTCAAGAATGTATTCGCGCCTCATTTTACTAGACTTATAGGATGCGTTTTCAGTGCATGAACAGAAACAATAATAGGTGCGGTGACAGACTACAAGCATTCTGATTGAAAGTGGCCTTTCGCTTGATCATGGTGAATAATATCGCCCATGTTCAGCCAAAAGAATGGCAAAAGAACTATTCCATCATTTGCTTAGTGCTTCAGAAGGCCGGCTAATTAGGAGAGCTGTCCGAACTCCAAATTAAAGGCCAAGAAACTCATCCACGTGCACATACCGACCAACGCCAAATCGAACATAAAACTGCACGAAATTCATTTATGAACAAGATAGCATTGAAACAGAGGAGTCTTTGATGGTCTGAAGTGTGCAATTGTCACGACCACACACAATGAGATCCCCGATTAGATCGAAGGTTCCCACACTACAATATCCCTGTGGATTCGATGTCACGCATGTCGCTGTTAGTTTTTTCTGACAGATCTGGTGAAAGGACCACGATTCTGAAATAATTTAGAATAAAACGAGAAGGGTTAACATAAACGAGTGCTTCTCGGGTGGAAAAGACTAAAATTATTGCAGTACCCAGAGCTGCTAAATTGGTTGAGAGAGAAGGTATTCGGTTTTGAGATCGTAAGAACAAGTTTCAAAAAGCGATTAAAAGGCAACACTCTTTAGAGGCAGGTGCAAAGAGCACATCAATACTACGCCACGCAACGCAGAAGGACAGACGGAGTGTTTCCAGTGGCCCTTGCAAAGGACACAATGCAGTAAAATGACGCAATAAATCTAGATTCGACGTGACCAACCATCACAACTAGGCTATTTTTCGCTTGTTTTACTAATGAAAATAATAGCCATTTATGAAGAGCCTACCCGCTGAAAAAGGTGAGTGAATACACATAAGACCAGCCGCCTCTGTAGCGAGGTAGAGAAACTGTGGTTGGTGCGGGTGAAAGCGAACCTCCCATACAGCACTGCCTCGGCAGACGATCTCACTTAGCGGATGACGCTCCTCTCGCAGATCCCAAATGTAATTTGTAGTCGTTGTCGTTTTGCCTCCACCGCTGGTGATATCTACGCCACCCACCGCCAACAAGTGCGACTGTCCGGGATGCTGAGATAGGCACAGTAGTGGACGCGGATCTCCCGTACTGCTTTACAAACACCGAAACAGGCTTGAGCAATAAAACTGACTCATGTGGCAATGAAAAACTCCATTTTGATGCGACTTAGCTTCTGCACTAGAAGAATGCTTGGCCTGTCGACCCTCAAATCAAGCTGTGCTTTCTATAGCACCCTTTCTCATTAATAAAATCAAATTTTTGTGCGAAAAGCTAGAAAATTAAAAAGACAGTACGGAACAATCCGTTTTTGGGGGAGATCAGATGTGTTTGGAGAGCGCAGATCCCAAACATTCAACTGTCCAAGTTGATTTGCAGTTGCAATGCATGAGGGGTCGATTGATTCGATAGCATTGATTGTTGATAAATCAAAGCCAAGGGCTGCGACGGTTAGCTTCCCTAAAAATCGAAACGCACAGGTAAAATACAAAGATGACTTAGAGGGAGACGAGTCACAGATGCCATGATTCACGTTTAACGGCGAGCGCTTCAGTGTCCAAGACAAACAGCTCGCCAAGGTCGTTCCCGACAAAGACTTGGAAGGCGTCAGCGGATACACAGACATCCGAGATGGGAACATCGGTGCGGGGGAGCTCGTCCCCAGGATTGGAGGGGACACGCGACCACATGCCCACCTGGTGCACGCGGAAGGCGTCTCTCTCGGTTTCTGGCAGTTCAAGCCTGTAGATGCTTACAAAACCCATTGAACTACCAGCGAATATGAGCCGAGAGTCGGTGTGAGTCTAAGTGAAAGCCGATCAGAAGGGGAGATTGAAGGAATACGATTAGCAAGTTCAAATTTGGACTTAAAAAATAGACAAAAGTAATCTCCATAGGAGATATCAGTTTCATTAGCATCGAAATTTGCAGGCAAGTGATACGCATTTACTTTAATTGAAGAGTATGAGGAGTTGATGTGTGTATTGAGCTCAAAAGACAAACGGAGGCACCGAAGGGACTCATCGCGGATGAATTAAACATGGAAAACCAAGGGTAACAGGAAAAAGAACTAATGGAGCTAAAGCCCAATCAGCTGAAAATTTAAGAGGACAATGCTCTGGGACGGTATTGTAAAAGCATTACTCGTACAGACAGCTAGAACTATAACCAGAAACAGATGGGATTTGCGATCGCATCACATGCACAACCAATGAGAAATAGCAAAGGCAAGAATGCATAATACAACACGGCCTCCTTGCAAACAATCGTATTACTTGACGATCAATCAGTCGGAGCTAAAAGTGAGTGTTCTTGAACTTTCTAGAGCAAAGTCAATTTTGTCTCGCAGAAGCAAACTTTGAAAACAAACAGACCGGAAGATTCTTAGCCGAAGTAAAAAAAAAACCATGCTTGCCTAAGCCACTTAACAACTAAGAGCATAGTCAAGCCTGTTGACTAGAATTCGATAAATCCACTCGCAGCGCAGGCACCCACTTTCAGTTGTTGTACACTGCCCGCATGCGTCGTAGAACAGACCAAACGCGGTTCATCGGCTGAATCGGTGAGAGGTGTCGGTATCCCATCGTTCAATTCCGCATTAGCATAGCTTGCTTTGTACTCCGCATACCGATTATACTGCCACACGCATACGCTATTCACCTTAAGAGAATAAATTAATACAACAGCCCATTTAGAATGGAGATAAAGGGAGAATGGAAACACACGTACACCTACCTCTTCTTGAGTGCTGCCAGTTACAACAAGGGGCTCAACTTGTGAACCGAAGACCGGAGACAAACGAACCCGACTTAATTGAAAGGAAAGATACTTTTCCGTTACTGATTGACACTGTGACCGTACCATACTCTCTGAAACAGATGCAATACCGAGACACCAAGAAGGTGACAATCAGTATTTGGCAAAATGAATTATTCAGCCGCGTAAGTTGAGACTATCAAAACACAGAACATTTTCCAGCTTTTTTCTTTATGCAAGATTTGGAATTATTCAAGCTTGGATAAAACCCTGCAGACGAGCCGTAAAATCAACTCGTGGGGATTTGATAATAATGACAATTTTGGCACCAGCGGTTATGCATCCAGGCATCGCACACGCACATAAATTGATAAGTACACAAGCACAGCACAACGATACTTTACTTTTTTTGAATAACAAGAAATATATCACAAAAATAAAATTTGTCGAATAAAAAATGCGTCAATCATTTTGGGCGGGGTCAGTCAAAGTCGGCATCATCGGTTTGGTTGGTGGAGGCATCTGCAAAATCAGTGCTCCCCGCAGATACATCGCCGGTATTGGATGTGAAGTCACTCTGTTTTAGGCGCTAAAGGACAACGAAAATACATTACACCTAGCCCTGTTACATTGGAATCAGTTACCGGTTCTTCATACCATACCATTCAATCACGTCAACTAGGATACGAAAATATGATGAAAAATTGAAGTTTCAGCCCTGTAAGTGAAGGCACCAGCAAACAATTCTGAGACCATCAGAAAGTAGAAGAACTGCATAAGCACCTGTTTAGCTGGGCTCAAAATTTAACTCCTGCCAGTCGCAAAAAAACAACTTCTCTAAAGCAAATAACCTAACTTAAGCACTGAATCAAAAGGATAATTAAAGCCCGAATAATGCCAGATTCGTAAGAACTCCAAACCTCCCAGATTGTGCTACAATTAGACAAAGACAGCAACAGAGCTAAAAAAACTAACCCTTCGAGCTTTGAGGCGCGGTCGAGATGTCAAAGTGTCCCTTTCGTTAGCTAAAAGAAAACCAGAAGTCGATAAAAAGTTGCACACCTTTTAGACATTCAAGAGATGGTGTTTAGTATCGCTACCTTGTGTTGCAAAGCAGTGAATACTAAACGACTAGACAGAGGAGAGAATAGTCACCTTTGCTGTTGCCGAGGCTGATGGCAAGCTTCTCTGAGGCCTGACACTCGCTGGTAGAGGGCGCAGAACCAGAGAGAAGCGTGAGTTGGAGACATAACGCTTTAGCCTCTTCCCGTATCTCGGGGAAATCAAGACACTTATTTATAGCAATCACCGCATCGTTGTGATGGCCGTGCTTGAAATGGTAGTTGGCTAGATAACGATAGGCTTGCCCCAAATCCGCCTCGTTGCTTACCTATGTGAAGTTTAGAGGTAATAACGCAGTAAACTAGCAAGCAGATATCCAAAAGGCACTGCCTTTAACAAAGGTATCGTAAAATTAACTAGAAGTTGCAAAGCGACTCATAGCAAAAGTAGCATGTAAACTATAATCTACAACACCAATTTCAAGAGCGCAGAAGAAACTGGGAGCAAGTGAAGAAATTGTCTTCAAAAAGGTTCAAGACTAGCGGTATACTTCACAATTTAACCGTCTGGAATCAAGCAAAACATTTAGGTATGGAAAAAAGAAGAAACGCATGGCTCGAGTAACACGTTTGAGAACCTCTTTACAGAAGTGTTGAATATTTGGACTACAGACCAACTTGACGTTAAGAGAGGAGGAGCCGCTAGAGTTGATGAAAATCGCCGCCAGTCACTTCGTCAAAATATTACAAAGTCAAGAACAAAATCTCCTCCTGAAGAAAGTCATAAGACATTAAGCATATCAAAAAGAGGCTATTTTAACGTGTAGATAATATCGCTGTCCATAAAATTGTATGTAACACGAAGCACAGCTTTTGATGCTAGGGCTGTTCATAGGACACTGAAACACTGTAATATTAAACAGATCAAAAGCAAGCCGAACATTTTGGATTGATAAATGAAGGTGAAGGAAGATGACCATACCCCTCTAGTCTCGCACTGCCTGATAAATTGGGTATGCGCCGCAGCAGCCTCGCAGGACTCGCCAGACTTTTCAAAGCACCGAGCCAGAGCGGCGAGCGCGGAGCCCTCCATGTCGCCAACACAGTAGGCACGCCAAAAACACTTCTTCGCAGCTTGCACGTTGCCTAGCTTCTCGTACATATCCCCAAGTGCTACTATCACTCTTGAGTCTGTTGGACAGAGATATTGAGCACGTCTAAAAGTGGAATTCAAAAGACCAATTTAAGCAACATTGCAAGGTATAATAGGTGTTTGTAAAACAATGATCAAGTATTTTCCTTCTACCATTGCCAAAGTTGTCAGTTCATTCGTATGAAGTTTTAATTTGATAGTGTACAGACGGCGACATGCAGCACAACAGAAGACCTCCAAATAATGAATTTTCGCAGAAGTTTACCTCTAACTGTTTCTCAATATCCTGGCCGAAAAAAGCTATCCATGCAAACTAACATTATACGCCAAAAAGGTTGGCAATGTTCAGCTTAGCTGCCGTCTGAAAAACAAAATTGAATCGAAATCTTATGATTATGTATAAGTATTTTACCATTGCGTCAACGGTCATATATTAAAAAAAAACTAAAAAGCATTTTGCGTACCAATAGTACGATCATACTCTTTCATAAAAAGTCTAACGTTCAGGTAGATGAAAACGAAGCAAACGAAGGAATAGGTCTTCTTAGGCGTAAACAAGATGGAAAACCAAAACAATCCAATAGCAGAACTACGAAAACACCTTAACTATGCAAAGGACGCTGGTAAGGAAAGCATCCACCCTCAGCGTGGTAGCACGAAAACCACAGTTTATCTTCAGACACTACCGACCTTTCCTAACAACTCAGCTTAATGTAGCGGGTTTACTACAACGTCTTCATTTCCAGGACATATTCCTACATCAAATGAACATACTTGTAATAATATAACGCATGTTCTGGCTGTTTGATGAATTCATACAACTGGCCCAAACCGTACCAACCACGATGATCGTGTCGATTATGCAGTATGGCCTGATTGTAGGCATATATCGCTAGCTTCAAATGTTGCAGCTCCACGTACTCATGACCTGCAATGAAAACTATTGCTGTGATATACCAATGGCAACAAGTTTAACGTGAATACTACTATTCCCACCAAGAAGGATCCAGACCAGTGCATATCTCGGTTGTAATCGCAAGGCCCTCTGAAAGTAGAGTACAGCTTTGTCATGTTGACTGCGAAGGCCGTAGAAGTTGCCCAGAACACAGCATGTCTCAGGCTTGTACTTATCTATCTCAGCACACCTTCTTGCCAAGTAGGCGAGTTCATTATGCTCACCCCTAACAAATAGGACGTTGGAGAAAATATCTGTATCCGTCAGGCGATATGGGTCAATGGTAAATATCTACAAGTCAAGTTTACGTAAGTGCTTTGCCGTTAACATTTGTACTACCGATTAAAAAGCTTTGGAATACCTTCTTATAAATTTCAACAGAAGTATCCAAATCACGGAGTCTTTCGTGAGCGTCAGCAATGTCAGCTTGAAGATTGAGACTGTTGTGAAATCCATTATTTGACAGAGCCGTAAGTGCTGAAAGCGCACGCTCTGATTCCTGAATGTGCAGGAGTGCCTAGTAATAACAAAGGAAGGCAAAAAGTACAACACAAGTAAGTGAGCAAATTGTCAAAACGAAGTGACCCACCTTTGCGCGAAAAAACTCCAGCATCCAGTTGGAGCTATCGGACGAAGTGGAAGGGGGGAAAAAACGATCCAGTTTCTCCCGGTCTTCAAAGAGGTTGACTAACTCCGACCATGCTGGCCACAACAATGGATCCTTCTTGACAAGATGAACCAATGTTTTTAAGGCCACAGATTGAAATCCTAATCGTATTTGGACAAGAGCATACACATACGCGGTGTAAACATCGACGGTAGACGACAGAAATGCATCAAGAGAGCACTCATGCGTATGCTCAACGTCACAATAGCGCTGCTCCATGTCTGATTTCAACCCAGAAAGGTCATCCCTGTAAATTTCAGATGGTAATGCAGACCCACATTTTGCATAGTTCGATGTATCTCTATTCGTAATTGAATCGTCGGTCATGTGCTTTTCGATCGACAGGTAACGAGAATAAAACTGGAGGAAATCTATCAGTGGATGGGAATTATGCTTTGGAATCGACGCCAGCAGATGAGCACATCTCGCGTACTCTTGAATGTCGAAGTAGCATCTGGCTAGGTTATACTTGGAAAAATTTTCACAAGAAAGGCCACTGTATTGGGCTGCGATAAGAGACCCAGGAGAACCTTCCAACTGCGCCACAGGGTAAGAATTTGGCGAATTCTGTTGGGTAGACAGCAATAACTCTGCGAGCCAGGTAGCACTGTGGACAAGACCGCGAACTTGACACTTTGCTAAAGCGATGGGAAGATCGCTTTGAACCCTATCTAGACTAATGGACAAACTCAAAAGCTGCTGACTCATTAGCGTGCAGACTGTAAAACAGATCAGAGAAGCATAAGGGGCGCTTCCTAATTAAGCGATTCGAAGAAATTTCGTGGGCATGCAACAACTACTTCCATATAACTGTAAAGACTATATTAGTGGCTAAAAGCATGTTAAGGTGAATTTTAGGTTTTATAGCTTTAATACCTGTAAAAATAAGCTACAAAGTTTTCAAAATGTGCGAGTTCATGGATCAAAAGTGGATACAAACATATCTACTGTACGCTAAACAGGATTAAGCAGAGGTTTGTGCTGCTAATAGTTAGGCGAGGTGGTAGTAAGGCAAGTATATTGTCTGAAAGGGACGTGAGTGCAACAATGCTATCGTATTAGATTAGATCATCCACTGAGTTAGAACTTAACTTGCAATTCCGAACCACCTCACTATTAAGTAATTACATGCAGCACTTTTACGTGAGACTGCCTGTACGAACTTTGCTGCTCACCACGCTTTTGGCGAGTGGGATAGCATTTAAGCTCAATTATTACTTCGCTTCTATCATCTTTACCTAAACATAGGTATTTGATTATATCGCTGCATTCCACTACCAAACCCATTCCTTGTAACCTGATATTGCTTTCCGCTCAGCAATTTTATGCCAAGCTGCAAATGCGAGCAAACTCAAACACAACGGTCACCCAGACACCCATTTACATATATGGCTGTGTAATATTTTGTTTACTTGAACACCTGTATGTCTGGGAGTCGAGCTAAGGTACGATTCATTTTCCAATGCGTGAATCAATGTCTTCTTTAAACTAATGGAAAACCTCGGGGCGTTACTGTTTAAGTTGGAGCCATCTGAGTTCTACTAAGTTGTGTTTCACGCCATACTACTTCTATAAGTTTAGTACGGAGGCAGGTATTGTGCCATAACTTATGAAATCCATAATATAATGGTAAGTGTAAGTATATTAAAAGGAATTATTTTTGACTGATGCAGACTGTCACACAAATCATGATCAATACTCCAGACAGGTAAAGATAAGAATCATGCAAAGCCTTGTACTCATAAGCTAACCTTCGAGCTGTACTAAGGTCAAATAGCGTTTCCTTTTTGCAAAATATATGGACTGAGCCTAACTTAGTACCTTTTTTTCTGCCGAGTGGAAGCTCTGGGGGTGTAAGAGCTGCCTGTCTACCTTCTGGTCCGTGAACCTCAGACTTCAGTAACCTGCTTTAGATGAGCGCAGAGATCGTTTAGATTGGTCTCGGGGATGGCAAGAGCGACGAAAAGGGACTTGTATATATCATCTGCGTCTTTCCTTGGTTTAGGGATTAAACGCTTCTTCTTGGATCTTCGATGGGTTGTGAGCATGCTTATATAGAAGTCCATAACCACTCGGGACTGACGTAAAAGCCGGATCCTAACAGTACGTCCTAGACTATCTCTGGGTACAGCACGAAATTTGCCTACGAGCTGTCATTCCCGATTAAAACTCTGAGGAAAGTGAAACACCCGCATCCATTGCTTCCCGACGTAGGTTGTACGGCAAGGCGCGGAGTAGCAATGGTACTCTTCAAGCAGGCTCGTAGAGTTCGATATCCGCCTTTGTAAAGAAAAGTTAGTCATCGAAATCAGTGCCTTCTTTGAAGGGAGGAATGTTGACCCACGCTGCCACCATTGTAACGTCCTGAGGCTTCCCGTAGAGTGGTTGAAGGCATAAGTGAGGATGAATACATGTGTTCCGAAGACGACAGGAAAAATGGGCCTGGGCATGGCCCGAAGGCCAACCCATGTGTACAGAGGCCAGACAAATTCTAGATTGACCGCCAAACTTCATGTGGTCACATGAACAAAGCACCACAGGGAGTACTACAGTCTCAGCTCAATTGTGCTACACGAACATATAATCTGGCTGCATACTATTGAGCGAATATGACTACATAGAGGACGAGGTTTCAAATTAAATCTATCGAAGGAAAACTAGGTTCCGTAGAGGTAAGCCACGAAGAAAGGCGTTTGATTATGTAGTACTCTGTCGAATTGACCGTCGGAATCGGCCACAAGGGGAAGTGGCGTGTAATGTTGCCTTGCAGGCAGGCATTTGGACCATGTCAAAGCCCAGAGCCCCTCAATTTCGACTGGCTGTACATATATATGTGTATTGTTGATTACATTCGGAGACAGAACCATGGAAAGCGGAAGCAAAGAAAAGGGTTGATCATTAATTGAAGCCGAAAATAATCACACATTTGACAGACCATTGCTCAAATAAGATAACACAACTTGTAGTCTATTCTTCGTAGCGCACGTCTTTGATCCAGAACCGTATTTTAGTCGTAACGCACCCTACCTTTTCGGCTTTAACAATCTATAGAAAATTTAAAGATACTTTATCAACCTGTAGGTATCAAACAACGACTTGGTTTCAATCGTGGCAAGTGGAAATTATAACGTAATCATATTAACATAAGTAAATAATATTAGTGTCATTAGCATTTGATAGGAGACGACAAAATTTATTTATTTGTCTGCTTGGATTGCTAATTAGCACTTGAACGCGCACTATTCTGCTGCGCAGTGGCTCGTGTTTGACTGGATGGCTCTTGCCTTTCTTGTTTTATTCTTGCATCTCTGTTGTAATAAGGCTGATTGTCTTAATAGTGTAAAGCTGGCAGTCCTGTTCACTTCACATGTTATTCTACTGGGTCTTCTAAATCTTGTATCGTAATCGTGTGGCCATTTTCACCTGACATTTCGTTTACTCATTGAACTAGGACATGTTTGTAACTTGATCCATGGGATAGCAGGTTTGATGAGCTTGTGATCTTATGTCTATTGAGACGACTTCTCAATTTGCACCAGACATCTCAGGCTCCTCTTCTGCTAACCTCAGCGGCTGATTGCGGGAAGCAGGAGGCCATTTTAGCGTGGGATCCCATTGCAGGGAATCAAGTCGCCAGCTTCAGTGGCTTTGCTGCAGCTTCTGGGACACTCACTACCTCGAACGGCATCGTCTTTAGTGCCGTATGCAGGAAACCCATTATCCAGTCATGGTCTCTTCAATCAGTGAGTAGTACCAAACTTCTAATCGGCGTGGTTAACTTCAGAGCGCCTCCTTTAAGCGTCTTACAACCAAGGGTGTTGTTAATGCTCTCGCCTTCTCTCATGACGGATTCTTTATGTTCCTGGCCATCGAGAAGAGCATTTATGTTTATCAGGTATGTATTATGCATGTTTACATTGTTTTTTTATCGTTTGAACTCTTGCTATCAGATGTGGTGTGGATTGAGTTCATTGTGTTTCTGACCTCTGATCCAAGTTTTGACTGTTGTCCTTGTTTGGATTTGTCGTCTATTATCTTTGAGTTTCAAGATGTTCGCACTTAAATTGTTCATCGTTGTGTTTTGTGAACCAAGGTATTTCAGAAAGACTCTGATCCACTTATTAAACGCCACTTCTTATTTCATTGGATCCTAAATGCAAATAGTTTAGGTATGCAGAACTGTCCATGAAGGTTGGTGTTTATCCCCAAATTGATCCCAGGTGTGTAGCGGGTGTCTGATAGCTGTACTGGAGGCGAGCCACATGGCGCCCATCGGTTCTCTAGTTGTGTCTCAGCGACAAGCTGGGCTACCCTTGCCCCTCCTCCTATCTGCGGATACCTCCGGCCTTGTTGCTTGCTGGCTAGCTTTGGTCTCCAGTGGCGAAAGCTTTGCCATCGGTTCGCGCGACTCTACAAACATTAGTAACGAGCCGGAATCGGACAACAAACACAAACCTCTCTGGTATGTGGTTCAAGCAAGTCGAGGACTGCCTGCTTTATCTTTCACCGCTGAAGGTCAAATAGTCGTTTGCGCAGGAACAGATGGTGTTAAGGCAAGTGACTGCTTGTTTCGCCCCATGAAGATATCCACGTGATTCATGCTTATAAAATCAGAGCTATGATTACAGTTGGCTGGTACGCATGAATGCTAAAGGTTTCAATCCAACATTCTGTTCTTGTGTTTCGAGGTTCTTGGGTATTTTTTTAACCAGATGTTTGATTCAAAGACGGGAGATTTGCTGCATAGCGTCCTGGAAGAGAGTCGTCCAATACGGTGCCTATGCGTGCTGCCTCAAGATGACCGATTTATCTTTGCCGGAACAGATAATGGGGTTCTACACTCCATTTGGTTACGCGATCCAAAAGTGCGTTTTATACGACAACATCTTTTTTGTGATTGAACAACTTACTATTATCTGTATTCTGAATTCGATTACTTATGTGTTTTAGAAACCGTCTGCTTGTGAAGTCGCCTTCCGAAGATGTTTTGTGGACGTTGAGTAAGTAGCAAACTCCACACTTCAGAGCTCTAAGTTTTGGTTACTATGGTGGCTTGTAATGTTTGCAGCCATCATTGCCTCCTAACAAGCGTTTATGATTTTAATAACCTTAAGGAATCTACTGGTCAGCCCAACTATGAATTCAATTATCACAAAGCCGCTTCTCCTTTATTTCCTAACCTTTTCACTCTACCAACTGCCATGTTTTGGCTTCAAATTTGCAATAACTTTTCGTCTGTTGCTATTTTTCATCCTACCTTGATGTTTAACAACTTTCATTGTTTCCATGTAATGCAAAACTTCTATCCTTTTGGTAGTTCTTTAGGCTTCCTCCGGTGGGCTATGGTTTTAACTCGCCTTTGTCAATTATTTGGCAGCTGAATGCGTTTCATGCTTTATCCGGTTGAATTTTTCTCTAAGGCATCATGGACTTCCGTAAGCTTTACGCCGAACCCAGAGGTGTTTCTGAGCGGAAGCAGGAATATGATTGTGTATTAAGCAAATCAAGTGCTGTAGTGGTCCTGTTATTTATTACATTTATGATTTGTCCATGCATATCAGTTCTGCTTCTGCTTTATTCGTAGACTCCCATCAACCGAAAAGGCTATCTGTCATGCCTGTGCCAGCCCTGTGGACTCAGGCTTGTCTTTGCTCGCCGTGAGCACCCTTTCGGGTTTGGTGGAAATTCTCCGTCAGGATGCCTGTCTCGTGCGCTTGCAGAGCTTCTCTGTGGTTCCGCCCTTATCCGGCAATTCAGGCTCACCACGCATCACCGGCCTTCTCATGGTCACCCGCCCCTCTTGGTTGTTGGAGAGCCAGACGGCATTGAGCTCATCCGCTAAACCGGACGCCAGCGGTTCTTTGGAGTCCCTGCGTCCAGCCAAGCGTCACTTGGGCTGGCATGTGGAAGATCTGCTATACCTTCAATTGCCCAATCTAAAACGCGTAAGTCTTCTCCGCCCCTCATTTGGTGACATCTTTTATTCTAGCTGCAGTCAGGAACGTATGGGTAACTCCATAGTCGTGTGAAATCTTGATTACTGTCATCGTACTGGAACAAACGGCTGTATTTACTATGACATTGATGTTGCTGCCACATCTGCTTACGAATTTTTACTGCAGGATCGCATATCGGACGACTATTTGGGAGACATATACCAGGATGAATTCTTTCTAACTACGCCCAGTCGCTCTTTTGCTCTGCCCATTGATACTGTTAGAAAATGTACAGCCAGCACATCCAACACTTCTGCTGAGGTGAGCACATTAAGGAGGGAGAAGGAAGCCCTGGAAAGGCGAAATGGGGAACTTATGCGCATCTTGGTTGCAAACTGCTTGCACTACTAGCCAAAATTATGAAACCTCTGTAATGTCTTTTAGTGGCAGGGAATATTGTGCTCTTTTAAGTTTGTTTTGTGACTTTCAATAACTGTATAACGTAATGGTGGTTTATTACTATTATTACCATCCAAAGTGTAATGTGAATCATTGTGAAACCGCGACCACTTATTGTGAATAGGACGCTTGGTAATACGGTCAGCCTATGTAACGTAATTTTGTCTGCAGGACATGGGTTTGATTGCTAGGATCACTTGAAAAATGATAGGTTACCCCGATTCGCAAGACTTGCTGATAAGTGTATGCACCTTGGCTGTGTATCCTGTATGTTGTCTCTGCCAGGCGTCAGACTGTCATTGAAGCCTCCCAGACTGCAAACTCAAGATTTCGTCATGTTATATGATGAACATGGAGAGTCAAGAAGTTACATAAACACGGGTGGACACCAGTTTTCTACGTTGTCTCTATTTTTACCTGTTTCTACCCTGTTTCTATTGAAGTTATTTTTTTGTGATCCATTGAGTGCTTTTAAGGTGATAGTATAATATCACATGATTGAACAAGGGCTGATTCCGACACTATTGTCTTCACCGCACCATCTGGTTTCCGAGTCATAGCCTAGCTCTTTGTCAAACGAATTTGCCATCAATGCACTTTATAAGCTCTCTATTAAAGAGACCATGGGGGTCCGAAATATCCAACTGAATGTAATTTATACTTCTGATTTAGAATTAATTTTTGTAATGCTTTGTTTATGTGGCTACCTGACGTTTGGCGGTCACTTTAGGGTTTGTCTGGTCCTTTTACACGTGGGCTGGCCTTTGGGCCATGCCCAGGCCCATTTGTCCTGACGTCTTCAGAATGCATGTGTCCAGCTGCACTTACTGACTTCTTATAGCGGCAAGGAGGTCTCGGGATGCTACACTAGTGGCGGGGAAAAGCGAACCCGAAATTTTTTAAAACGACTTTTAGGTGCAAAGGGCTTTTGAAGACCTGCTTTAGCCGAGGTGGGGTCTCTGCGACTTGTTCTTCGTTGGTCATTTGTTAAAAGTGAAATAGTGTACAGGAAAATCTATTGCTCAACAGACACCGCTGTCTTACTGGCATCCTACGTTTGTGTTGATAAACTATGCCAATTAATCGACCGATTTTCGGAAAAGGACAGTAAGATTAAGCCGACTAGCTATGGTTCGATCGGATGACGCAATGGTTAAGTACTTAAAAATCGCACAGGATCTGGAGATGTTTGAGTATCTATGAGCCTGATAACCTGTTGGACCCCAACATCGGGTCCCCTTGGCCGGCAAATCAAAACCTTTCTTTTTACGACAAGAAGTTTATAATCCAACCAGCAGACAAGGCTGCAAATGAATTCTACCTTTTAGTGGAGAAATCCAATATAAATAAGCGCATTTTGGCGTCGTGCACCGGCAATCGTGAGCTATACATTTTATAGACGGAAGTCTGACCCTATCAAAGTGCAGTAGATGAAGATACAGGCAAAAAGGGATGGGAACTGAAGGAGGCAGATTTACCTTGGTGACAGAGAATCCCTGAAGCCTACCCAAAGAAACGAATTAGACGGATGTCTGCATTGGGTTTCACCTTATTCTCTGTTTCACAAAAAAGCTATTAACAACTGAAGCGATACCGTAATGAACTATCTGGAAAAGTTTCGTGTCGAAACTTCCCATACAAAATCCGTGTTTAGGTGTTGAAAGTGACACCACGTTTCTCCTTACATATGGGAAAGTGACCAGAGTTCCACCATCTAGTGCTGGAAGCAGTTAATGGTCAACAGGTATATGCGGCCCCGAATCTGGTCGTCAGGCCGAACTTTACTCCAGATCCAGTTGAAGCTGCCTAGGAGACCAGGTACGTTTCCTCAGTCTCATGTTGTCTGTCGACTGGCGCGGATGGCTCATGAGTGCTTTCTTGCAGTACCAAATTGTTTTGATGGCTGGCGCGGGAGGTGTAAAAAGGGGAGAGCCGAGGGCGCCGTTCAAAAGGATTTTTCTGGTACTTTCATACGTGGGCTGGTCCATTTATCCTGTCTTCTTCGGAATACATGTGTCCGGCTGCACTTGCTTGCTTCTTATACCGGTCAGGAGGTCTCGGAGTGCTATAATTTCTACTACATATTTTAGAATTATAGGCCTTCGATCCCAATGAAACGATTCGGTGGTTATCGGGTATTCTGTGGGGTATGAGGAGGTCAGTATAAACAAATAAAGCATATAAGGTTTAGTTATGAAAGTCATCGTTTGGCAAAAAACAAAACAAACAAACGGAAATATTGTAATCACCAAAAATTAACTTCTTTGGGTCGGTGTCTTACTCCCAGCTCAATTAGGAGCTTTGAGTCTTGGAAATGCATTCATTTACATCGTAAGTGTGAGCGGGTTGTACAAGCGGAATTTAATGTTTTAGACGCACCGGTAGTTCTCGCCAGTAGGAGTTTGCCATTTGCACTTTACCGTAGTAACATCGCTTCTCCTATATAGTTTCTTTTTTTCTGTCGATGTGTTCAGTGATCATCCTTGATTTTGTCAGGAATCTGCTGTTCCATTTGCATCGCTTTTGTCTTCGTCAGGAACTATCTTAAGCGTTTTTTTGCAATTATTTCTAACTCAGTGCCGCATGTCATGACATGTTATAATGCATCATGAGTAAGTTATGGCTCCCATTCTAGCAAAGATGTTACTGCTTTCTTCACTTACACAGAGTTGGAGAAGTGATGGTGGTCACGGTCATTCTAACTAACTCTCGATTTAGTGCCGCATCACGGTAAGGGTTTTAGTCAGTGGGCATGTGATCGCTTTTGGAATATTTATGTTTTGTTCAATTATATTTGTTCTCGGCGCCTGTTGGTTTAATCTTACTTCGTCATCTTCGTTTCTGTAGACACAATGGTTGATAAAACAGAAACTGAGAATCCCGAACAGCCTGCAAAAAAGCCATGTTCTCCTGACGATCCACAAATTTCCACCGAGACCGATGATAATGAAATTCTTATATCAGAGCAGGACTTTGCTCCGTATTTTCCCGTCGAAGAAATGGAAACCATGCATACAAAGATTCGCAAACCTGTTTGGGAAGTTCCCGTGCTCCCAAATGAGGAACTTGAGACAGTTTTGCTGGCTTGTATCAAGCTAGTCGAAACAAGTGCAGTTGTCAACTTTTACAACTTCAATTTTTCTAGATCAATACGAAAGCTGTTTATATTTTAATAAGTTTTGTGATCAAGATCTTAATTTGGCATTCGACAAAATTATCTGTGATCGTGCGGGTGATACTTGGACCGACCAAATTTATGTACGCTGAGTGCTCTCGTTCACCAACTGCTTATAGCATTTTATTTTTATGAACTCTCTCCTTGCTGTTCAATTATGCGCTCGCATGGCTGACAAGGATTATTTGCCGATAATGGAATTGGAATCGCGCTTGTTTAATCCAGAATCCAGGTATTAGGATTTTATTTCTACAGTAGCATGTAACTAGGTTCCACAAGCACAGTGTTTGCACTCGATGCAATCCGGAGGCAATTCGTTTTGGTACAGCCGGAACAGAGACTACATCGCGTTTTGCGGTTATAATGTCTGCTTTACCTGAGTTACGTCGTTCAATTCAAAACACGGACACAGAGGAGAGCTCTGATCTGAAAGTATTGTCGAGTTCGAGGTTTTTCATCTTTCGTTTCCCGCGCTTAGGTTTTCGCTAGGGCTACCATGGTTCCTCCTTTACCACTGCTAGAGGATTTTCTCAATCTTTTTGGCAGACTTGGTGGGTTTGATGCGCTTCTTAAGCGCTTTTGCGACTGCAGCAATAGGTCGCCGACACTTCGTCTTTTCTTCAACTACCTCAAACCTTTCAAACCGTGTTGTTACTACCTCACTGACGAAGTGGTAAAGGATTACTTTTTACCCATGATTGTAAGTCCCTATCAATCCATGAGAAGGTTCACTTAAACTGCCTTAGTTGCAACATAGTCAAAAGCATTTCTTTTTAATTTACTCCTGTTGTTCACGAAGGAGCTGGCTTCAGTTTTTCTGAAGACATATTCAACCATAATTCAGACCCCCTTTTCGACGAGGCATTATTTAGTTTCTGTATTTGTGTGTTTAGAACATTGTTCTAACCTTCATGAAGAATTTGACGGAGGAAGACGTTCGGCAATCGGTTCGGAGTGACCAGCGTAGCAACCATCTGGCTGATTTCGCTGTCATTCAGCATTTCTATCAGCGTATTCATGGACAAAATTACAATGCTGAAGAGTTTGCTGAACTTCGCTTGCAGTTTATTTTGAAAATAATGAGAGTAAGCATATCTACATTCCTACCTTCCCTCCGAATAACTCAGATTAGAATGTAGCTCATCATCGGCATGTTATTAGTCCCACGCTCTCCTGATCAATTGTTTTCTCATGCCATCTTTGATCAGTCAGTCGAAAGCAAACAAACTTGGACGCTATTTGTTCTTATTTCTGAAAATGTTCTTTGCTTGTTGGCGTCGTGCTACTTTAATGGATTGAGATGTTCATTGACTATTCTTTTTGTTCTACTTTCGCCTATTTTATCTGTTGACTCCGGTAAATTTTGGCTTTTGCGCTACGTGTTTCTCTTTCCTACTTTCTCTCGGTTTGTGAGTGATAATAGAGTCATCAAACTGAAGCTCTATCTGAAACTAGGTACAATGTTCCTATCTAGGTTTTAATACCAATTGACATTTCCTTCTTAAAAAAATAACTTATTTTCGGAGTACGTCGAACTTTTTTGAGCTATTTCCTTTTAACCCATATCTTTTTTATCCACTAGACGGATCTTTTTGGAGGAAAAATGAATGCGTTGAACGATTTAATAGCAATTATTAGCGGCATCAATACGAGGCCGAGTGTATCGACAATGCGCTATACCTGTGCGGAGCCTGTAACGAAAGATAGACTTGTCGGGTGGCTGAAGGATAATCAGGTACGTAAGATTATTCCTGTGATTAGTGGAGCTCCTTTTGCGCTGCTGCGTCGATTCACCCTTGTAGGGATCTAGCTCAACCTCAAATTTCTTTCACTTTATCAGTTGTGCTTCATTGGTTGTTCGCATGCGCAAGTTGTCGTTTTTCGTCAAAACTTATCAAACGTTCGGTTGATGGTGTCGTTTCTCATGTTCACGGATGTAAAGGGAGCAAATTTTCATTCTTCGTACAATATCTTTGACGTCTGCTTAAACAGGTGTCTTGGACATCACGCTACCTCCTTCAGATTTATATAACGTATACTCAGCACTTGCGACCCATATTATTTCCATTTGACCTCACAGAAAGTCTCTCCTAGATCGGTTATGTTTCCATGCTTTCACAGGGTTGGCTTAGAATACAGCCCTTGGATTTGTTTGCAAATACGGAGCAGCATTACTATCGACCATCGCTAAACTTGCATCCTCCTCTTAGTGTTCCTATAATCATGAACTTGTCGTTTCAATGCCTCACTGACAGTACAGTTGCTAACGCTTGCCTGCTACCTTGATCATATTAACAATAGTTTCAAGCGTTTTAAAGAAAATCCGTGTTGACTTCGCTTCCCTTATGAAAATTTACCATTTGACCAACCTGAGGATCGGTTAAAGTCCAATATCGAGTCCTGAGTGTAGTTTGTATTGATGATATGATACGGCCTTACCGGTGATTCTTGCATCACCTGTACACAGTGGAAGTTCTTAGATGTCCTCTTGAAAATAAAAGTTGTACATTTGTGCAACCTCTTGCACGAATTCATTGGGGTTTATTATTCACAAACAATACGCGTTCGCTCTTCGAATTTCTGGTTCCATTTGGCAAGTGATTCCCACCATGATGTGATGTTTGTTTAGGTCTTGTCGTTGTTGTTGCGTGCGAACTTGCATCAGCCACAGTATGTAGAAAAAGTGACTCGGGTGGTCCAGTTCCTCGTTGAGATGCAAGAACTGACCCTAGAGGATCTAGACGAGATCTGGGAGGCCCAGGCTGGGAAGCATGAGGCCATTGTGAAGAATGTAGAAGATATGCTTGCCCATCTGGTGCATTGCCTTAGCCCCGAACAACTTGATCGGCTCTTCGACTGTTTCAAGGTAATTACCTTCTTAACACCTGTCATCTTACCACGCTGTCCTAAATAACTGAAATATCAAGCAACATTGCCTCTTGTTCTACTCTGATGTGAAGCTCTACCTATTGACCAGGCAATGTTTTATCCACTTGTACCATATCCTCCCTAAGATGCGGAACTCCTAAGTGGACTTCTCACCTTGCTATTATTGCAGTTTATCGGCTCCAAAAAATGTGTGATGGCCTTGGAACCAAAAAAATGACGAAGTATGATGCAAGCTGCTTGCGTGGTTTATTTCTGAAGATCAGTCAGCCTCTGCTAATTTTTAACTTTTTTTCTCACTTTCATTGTGCCTCATTGAATTAACTCTATGGAAAGCTAGGTGGTATTCACCGTCGAAGGTATTTTTGGAATACTGTACCGAATTGTTAAAATATTGTCTTGCCGCCTTTCAGAGAGCCTTTCAGACAACCACGAAACGTCAGCAAGAACGTTTAATTGTTCTCATCCGTCGTCTGACCATGGAAAACCCCAATGGGTTGGCGTCAAAAACATTAGAGTTCTTCTGGGATCTTGCTACAAGACCCTCCCTCTTCCCTGAAATTGGCGCAGCTGCAGCAGAGGCGCATAGTGGCATTTTGACGGACGTTATGAAGGCTACTAGATCGGTTAGTAAGCATTTTTGTTCGTATCTTTCCTTCGTGTGCTCCCCATAAATTCAGATATTGTACTTACACACCCTCAGTTCCCTTATTATTTGTTATTATTATTATTGTTATTACTCCAAACATAATTAGAATCGGTCTCTGTCGGGGCACATTTCCAATTTAAGGGCCTTTCATCGTCATGCTGGTGAATACTTCGCCTTCTTTCGAAGGCAATACTTCGTGCGCCTGTAATTCCTATCGGCTTCCGGCAAACGTGACTTATCGTGCAAAATATGTGATCTAGAAGGCTCTTCACGGAATATTCAATCACTTTCATCTGGCTACTCGTATCTAACGCATAGCCAAGCTCTTCGTGTTACATATCTTAATGTGTTTGCTGGATGAGTCATCAAAAGTTCCACCAATAACAGGCTTCGTTTTGTACGTAAGGCAGCGATGCTAAGTTAGCCCTAAAATCCTTTTCTTCTCAAAAACACATCGTCCCCCTTTTGGTGCATCTGAGAGGAGAAACAAGTCATTAGTGTTTATCATATCAAGTACATGCTTTGGCATATTGGCAATCTTAACTGCAGTTCGTGTTCGTTGGCTCTGGCACAAATGTAGTTGTGCATCTGTGCTTTTGTATAGGACCGACAAAAATTGGACTGGCTCTCCAGATTTGCGACCATTCTCCAGGAGGATTCCGATGACTATGCTTTTATTCGTGCGGCTCGGCAGATCATTAAAGTGGTGAGCTGTTGAGAGTTCAAGTCTTTATAAATACGGAAGGAAACATCCTCTTAAGGCTCATTTTTGTTTGTCTTCAGCATCAATCTTCGAGCTACTACAGCGAAAACCTTATACATCAATTGACAGTTAACAACGATCTCATCACGGTTTGTATTGACAGCCTTCGAAATTATATGTACAATTTCTCAATCAAAAGTAAGCATACTTTCGCATTTTATTGAAGCCTCCAAATCCGTTTGGCCCTCTCAACCCCACGTTAAATGCGTTTTCATACTTCATTCCATGGGTTAAATGCTAACAACTCTCCTCCTATCCATTGCATACCTTCACAGTCTTACAACTTGCATGAAGTATGTTTAAAATGGATACCTCAGTTCAAAAAGGATAGCCGAAGCTATGGTTTTCTGTGTTCGCCTCCAGAACCTCAGAAGATAATCAGTCATTACGTCTAACATGGCTCGTTCCGATTTGTATTCATAAAAAATATTTTAAAAAAGCAACGCATATAGGCTAAGGCACAATTCCCACATTTTTTGGTTTCCAACTGACAATTTGAGGACAACTTGGCACAGCCAGATATCATGGTCGCAGGAAGGGGCATGTAGCACATTTGTCACGTACGGGGTCAGATGAGATAATCGGGGCGATAGAAGTGTATTGCAAAAATTATTTTTTGTTCCATCAACATCATCTCGGTCATTGAATTTCTATCCATGTGATCTTTTAGTCTAAATGATCTACTGAAACTCTCATGTTACCTTCAAAGGCTGTTTTCTAAGGCAAATTGGCCTATAATGGACGTAACTTCCTTTATTAGCGATAAAACACAGCTAATAGCTTATTCACTATACATTAGGAACGCAGCATTTCACAGTCCGTTATAACTCGTTTCATAGCGAAATTACTGCTAAATTTGCTTCGCTTTACCTAAATAGGCTTGCGTGGGAGCCAACTTAAAGCGTGTTCTTTATAGATTCGAAAATGGCTCATGACACGGGCATTGATTCAATATCTTCTCAACCGCCATCGACACCTTCAACATTGAGTCGAGTGGATATTGCAACACCGGCCTCCTCCTCATGTGCCAACACCCTAGAGCTGCCTCCACTGCAGGCTAAAATGAGCGATGACGGTGGAGTGAGTTCACAGTCAGGAAAGCTTCCTGAAAATCATTTGCAGCCTATACCTCATGTTGAGCAGATTAGAGAACGGCTTGAACTAATACATTTCCTCGCCGCGGAATCCGGAATTCCTCTGACATTGGAACAGCTGAATCTGCTCTGGCGTTGTCTCATTGTCGATACTGAAGTTGAGCAAGACACCTCCTCTTGTATGGACTCAGACTCCTCGGCTGGGTGCAGTTCCACCCACTCTTCTGCAACAGTGGAGGGTCGAAACATCTGTTTTTCTTGGTTTAATCCAACTACCAATGAACTCATTCACCCATTCCTTGCCGAGTTCTTTCAGGATAACATCCTGAACATTAAGCCGGAGCTTCTCACACCTGCGGCCATGGAGTAAGCATTTTCCTAATGCACGAGCGGTAAGCTGTAAGAATGCGCTCACGTGAATGCTTATTTAAATTTAAGTGTACTTGTTTAGTTTTTTTGATTTCCCATCGTTAAACTATTTCGTCAGATCAGCTACTTGAATGATTGAGTCCCCAATTACTTATGTAAAGCTACTTAGATTTTACTGTTCAAAATTTTACTTAGGGCTAGGTAGATTATGTCAACTAACGCTTCTATTTGCCAAATAGCTTATTCCGGTGTTTCTTCAAATACGTAAACGCAAAGTTGGGACCTCGTCAGGAGGCCTCTTCGCGGTCTCAGTCAGATTTGATTGGGCTGGACTACCTTTGGCGCATTCTCCTAGCGTCCAACGACAGAGTTGCCAGAATTGCCATTGAGATGTTGCGAGAGCTCTACACCAGCGATGTGGATCCTCTCAATGACCCACGGAAACGTCGTTTGGATTTCCTGAAGAAATGCTATGACTTCCTCTCATCAAGCTACACTAAGGTTGGGTTTACGTGTACATGTACTTGAGTATTTCTGCTTGAGGATGTGCCAGTTGTGCTATGTTTTGTCTTTGCTAGCCTTCGCAGGATAGAAATTATGGTTTGAAAGACTACAAATGGTTTTAAATTGTTCGTTTTCACCAACCTTGTTGATTTCATCTATGTTTTCCGGCTTGTGATATCAATTTCGAATCAAGAGTGGTAACCTTTTGTGCCAACTTGTGGGCTAGACGGGTTTGCCTTTTTTCGGACGAGGTATATTGTGATTTGCTTTCTACCATAATCTCTATCATTGTGCTTTCTCCAAGACATAAGCTTTTGAGTAGAACAGGCTGCTTAAGGTGAGTAGAAGTTGCATCTTTTTGATCGCTTTGTAGCAAATGTGAATCGAATTCGGCAAGCCTGAAGTGGTTGGCAGCCTTCCAAAAGGCATTGAAGTGTCCCGCGCTTATTCGTGTCTTGCGAATGATAGAAAACAGTCTGGTGCTGCATCAACTAATCACGTCGATACAATTTTTTTCGTGAACTTGTGATGAATCATGCAGCAAGCCTAGTGGAATTACACTTTTCTCTGTTTTGATTCTGGCTTTGCACTCATCGATTGTAGTGCAGTTTAGTTGTGAGAACTAAATAAATTGCCGTAGCCGTCTTTCAAAGATCGGAAGAACTTTTAGCAACTAGTCAAGCGATATAAAAGGCTTAAATTTTGGGGTTCGATAACTATTCACGTGCCCTCCTCGTAAACTTGCATCCTTTAAAGTGGTGGATTCGTAACAGCCTGGTATAAATATCAGTTTCCCAGCTCTGTCGCATGCCCATTTGGAGTTTCTTTTTAGACATATTTTATTTTCGCAAACATATACTCTTTTGATTTGGCTTTCGCTTCGCTATCATCATTCCTAAATTTTTCTCGTTAAGGTTCATAAACTCCTTCTAACCTACGGTGTAGCCTCACCAGATGGAAGCGTATGTCGTCTCTTTGGTAATCCTTCCCAAAAACTCTTCCATACAATGCGTGATGCGGAGCAAGATCTGAGCAACATCGATCGTGTAATTCGGGTTCTGCGACGCTTCCTTATTGAATGCGATCGACAATTCAAAGCTCCCCGAGTGCACTTACCTCTATTCCAGTGAGTGTTGTCCATTCTGCCTCCCTGTTCAATTACTTGGTCTGGTGTCTACTCTTTCGATTTGCTGTTGCAGGTCTTGGTCCGGTTCCTCGATATTTTTGACGGTGAAATTTAGCGCTGTTAAGGAGGGCTCAGTAGAAGACTTAAAGTTACAACAGTATGGCGCCACGACTGGACGACAGTACGAACCCAGCGCAGTGACGATTATAGCTCATGCCAACGAGACCTTGGGTCGTTTGCGCTCGCGTCTGCTCATCCACCGTTTGAACGAGGTGCTTCATCCACTAAATTCGTCAGCTACTAATGCAGGAGGCGACGAGTGCACCCTTTCCTGTCCATCCAAGATACTTAGCGAATTATGTGTTGATCTGTCTGAAGCAACCGGTCTCTCTAGCAACCTCTGTCTTTCAACTTTTCTGCTTATGTCGTCATCCGACTTAAGGGGGAATTTTGACAACTCGCTTGACTCAACAACGTTTAGTGAGGATATGAAGTCTCTGTAAGCTTTGCAAATCATGTTGGCAGCCATTTAGAGGCTCTATTTTTTTTCCGTTTTCGCTAAAGTTATTAGACAAACTAATTTTTGGACTACCGTTCCTGTTGATATCATTTGACTCGAGTTCTACAGTTAATTTTACTTTTTAGAAGCATTAGCATTTGCTAATGATTTTCGTGAATACCACCACTTAAACCCGTCAAAATCTCTCGCTGACATTTATCCTTAATTACGCTTGAGGCAGAAATGTCTTTTTCGAAATGTAAGTTATTTGTGCAGATCTCCACCTCGGAACATAAAATCAGTTTGTAAATGACTGATTTGCTCTCTTTATTGCAAACATTAACTTACTAAAGACGACTTTAGTCTCTAATGTCTCTTTAACAGGACGTCTCTGTCGGCCTTTTTTTGCCTACCGGATATCAATACACTTTTCTATCCCAATGGGTCATGCATTCCTGGCACGACGAACGTGTTCGGTTTACCTCGGGGTCCGAGAGAATGCAGCCCCTTCTCTTCTGTGGGCAACTGCTCCAATTCTTCTTCAAATCGCGTGCCTCGTGCTCCTCGCGGCAGTCTTTCTCCGACTCTCACCGATGAGGACAATTTTCGAATTCCTGTCAGAGAGGGAGATGTCGGTGGCGATTATTCCGGCAATGCTGGTTCCACATCCTTTTCACCTTCTGACAGTTCTGGGACCAACCAAGATGATTCTGCGGATCCGCTTTATTATGATGGCAATGGAATTAGAAACCCACCAGCGGAACTTGGGGCAAGTGTAAACCTTACCTCTACAGCTAGAGGTGACTTTGCTGCTGATCCTCCTCTGCCTTCAGCACCATTTAACGAACTTTGTAATGAACGCAATCTTCCAGGTGAGTTGTGTTAAATTGTTAGTAACATGTCATCGTTTTACTCCGTTAATCTCTATTTAGACTATGTGATGTCGGAGGATCAAAATTTTGTGCGTCTCCTCCTTGACATCGGAAATGTGGCTGTATTTTTGGGCATAAATGAACTCTGTGACCGGACCTTTGATGTTCTCTTCTCGTTGCCAATAAATTTGACATATCAAAGCGTCCTTTGTGAAAGCCTTCAAAGTCACGAGGGCATTGAGAAGATTACGGAACTTTTAAAGTGTCCTATCTCTGAACTGAATCTCTCCTGTGCGCCTAATAAAGTCCTCAATGACTTTGAATTCCCAAGCATTGTGCAACAGTTGTACTTTCTCCAGGTAAGACGATCGTGCTTGCACTTCATGGTCAAAAGGTCATTTGTTTGGGTTGTTTTAGCATCCACTCAGATAATGTTTTCATTTATCAGGTACTCTACTCTACATTGAATCCAAGCGTGGAAATTATTTTGTATATCAACGACGCGATGTATTCTCCTTGTCATTTCACTCCCGACAGCTTTCATCATACGGTAAGTCAGTTATATTTACTTTTGTCATTTCCAGAACACGCTGTTTACGATACGTTTTTTTGAACCTCTTTGGCTCGAGAATGAATCCTTTCCTTAATTCGGTTTAGTTGGCCTTTCTGCGCAATGGTGGATTGAGGAGTCTCCTATCCGCCTCCGTTTTGGAGGACGCGAAGGCTGTCACGGCGGATCCTCTGGCGCAACTCATCCTCCTTTGGATCTGCCGTATCCTCTACCTATGCCTCTACTGTATCATGGCTACTTTAGTGTTCGTATCTGGCAATAATACACTTTGCCTTGCCCGAATGGAGACGCTTTGGCAAATGAAATCGAATTCAGCCCCCAGCACTGGCGATTGTATCCTTCAGAAATATGCAGAAGCCTTTGCCCATTTCGCTCTTAATGCTGGAGTACGTTGGACCTGTTTTCATTCTACCCTCTTTACGTTTTTATGTATTATAGTCCATCAGTTTTTCTCTTCGCCTAAAATTAATGCTGACCTTCCCCTTTTTTAAGTAGCGTCTTAATTAAATTTCGTTTTCGTCTAAGACGCTAGTCCTCGTTAGGGTCTTTATTTTCATTTTAGTGTTCAAGAATCCGAGTGTAGTGGGTCATGTTTCTCAATGTGCTGAACTTATTCTTTACTGCCAATGAATATTTTTAGGCTCAAAGCGGTCATAGCTGAGAGAAGTTGGGAGACGTCCCCCTTTTATCTTACTAAATGCCCAACGCACACTGCTCTGACATGGGTTTTTGAATTGTTTTACACTGCTTGAGTTGATTAATTGTTCGTATCAAGACACTGCTTTCATACCATAACTGTGGGGTTTCGTTACTACGAAAGTGCCAAATCAGGCTTATTAAATGTAGCTTGGACTACATCAAGCTACTCGGTAACCTGAAAAGCTTCTCTTGTGTTGATTGACTTGTAATCGCTTCAATAGGCCTTAGTATTGAGTGAATTTCCTTATTTTCTAGGTAACAATGCCAGAGATCCAGTCAGTGTGGTTAAGTGTCCCTTCACGCTCATGCGAACTCTTGCGAGACGTCGTGTGGTTGGTCAGCTCTGCTCCTCCAGTCATCCCAACTTCGTCGGCTCACTCGCAACGCAAGGCTACTATCACCCACCCTCATGACAGCGGATGCACCTCGCCGAGGAGTATGTTCCTCCTCTTTAATCTATGTTTCGGTTTAAATGTTGAATACCTGTTCACGATTTTCGGGTCACTCTGGCTCTTTCTGACTTATCCATATCATACTGCCTTTTGCCCAAACTTCCTATGCACATCCCCACCAAAGGCCACCGTTGGGATTAGCACAAGCTTTTGCAAGTTTGGTCTTTGGACACGAATAGGTGACTAATAACGGGAGCCTGTTTCCTCCACATAGTTTTTGTAACAGTCGAGAATAGCGATTTGGCCTAAAAGGGAGCTGTATAGGATTATTGAATGAGAAATCAACGGCTGATGATGGTATTTCTAGCCTCATCTCACACATATTCCGAATGGAACGTCCTTGCCCTCGACTAAATAATCGGGATTCTCTCTGAAGGAATAAGCTTCTCGAAACACGATGTTCTATCATTTAAAGCATCCCCTATGTCGGTTCTCATAAAGCTCTCTAGGGCAGTATTAATCACATCAATCAAAAGTGACATTTTAATTGTTGATTGCTCTTGTTAGTTTGAATAATTAAGCCCTTTGGTGCTGTGCCTTGTCCATGCACAATCTGCATCCTTGATTGAGAAAGGGAATTGGACAAGCAACGGTGCCGTTATGCCGAATGGGGGCTGCCTCCACAAATCCTTTTCGCGCATCTTAGTGGAGTTCATGCTGTCTCATTGGTGTGGTAGAATTTGGTCTCCCATTTTTCTGATTTACCGAAAAACGTGCACCCATTTTCGCATACACCATGCGATCATTGATTTCCTCTCTCTGTGCACCTACAGGTACATTGACATTCGGCGTTTTCTTACTCACTTGGAATACAAGTTTGCACTCACATAGCGCAGCGATCGTTACCTATGCTAGCGTAGCATATGTTCGTTTTGGTCACGAAATTGTTCCCCTTTCTAAACACCCACTATGATTGCTCAACAGTCCTGAATCCTGCCATTATTTGGCCTCCCGACCTAGTCTTATTGAACCGATCACATGGTCACGTTCATCTGTGTGCAAATTGATAACTGTGAATTACGCCTTTTCCATTTTCAAACACTTTGCGCCGTGTATCACAATTTTCGCTTTTCATGGGTTGCTCTGCGCCATTGTGAGTATAGGTATTTTTGCTGGGTTTTCAGTTTTGTCGATGTCTTGAAACTACCTGATTATCTCCTTTCAAAGTCATATTTCATGTAAAGACTTTCCATTCGCTTATAAGGATTTTATTTATACAGACCCCATGGTGGGGTTGAAATGTGGCTATTTTGCATGCGCAGTACTGCACTAGTATTTCTCCTTGTATTTTTTTGCCATAGCCGATGTTTTCTGTCGCCGAACGCCGCCGAGTGTGACGTGTACATTTTCTACCACCTGTGGTCTCAAATCAGGCCCCCTTCGAACTTTTCTCCAAATTGGTCACCTTGATTGCTCTGCTTTACCAGTTGAATGTCTCCAACCTCTTTTTCCGGAGCCCCATTACTGTCCATCTCCGACCACCTTACCTTACATCCTCAATCTCCACTCCGGTCGGACACCCGGTTGTCTTTCTACAACTGCCCTTTCAACCCTCTCATTCCTTCTTTCCTTCTCTCCTGACTCCTCGCTAGTAGATTTTCTCTTGCACAAACTGACCCCCACCCCTGATCACGAAATCCTCAGGTCCTGGCTCAACTTCCTTCGTCACATTCTCCTTCTCTCACCATCTTCACATTTGCGACAGACAGCTGCTTGTCTCTTGAATATCGTGGTGACCTGTGGCTTGATGGCGGCCATTTCACTCCAACCCTCCAGTGAAGCCGACGCGCCTGCAAGTACAACAGATGTGGTGGGATTTGTGATTGATTTTTTGGTAAAGACGTTAAATGTAAGTCAGACTGGCATGCGTACTAGTGCATCTTCAGTAGACATACTTCACCAGTTGTACATGTATGCGTTTTAGGAGAGCGAATCTGATCAAGGCCTGTATTTTGCTGATTGTACAGAGGTACTTGTCGGAATTCTGGACTTTTTACGATCAGAATCACTTACCCTGGACACTGCTGAAAAACTCTTTGTCAATGAATGGACTTGGTTGTCAAATACGGTGAGTCTACCTTATACAAATATAATGGTTTTGCTTTTCGATGGAGATTATTTTCGTTTCAAGCGTCGGTGTGCTGCCGAGCCTTCATTAATACATTAATTTAAATCTTTCCTATAGATCACGGCTCCATCGTTGGATTCCGTTGGTGGAGGCAGTGTTAAGACTCCGCCTCATCTTTCCATCTCCAATTTATTTCGCTCCCATCTGCGACTGTGTGCATCCCTTATACCATTCCAAAACGGGAAACTTTTTGAAGAGTCGAGTGAGAACTTTGTTGGACTTGGTCCAGTGGATGTGAGTTTGTTCTTTTTATTTTTGACAGCGAATTCGATATCTGTTTGCGTTTCAGGAGAGTTGTTTGAAGTATCACTGAAGGATGTGGCTAATCTGTGTTATCATTTTGTGGTCTGTGCTGCGTACCTATTGAAATGACACAAATGCGCACATCTTGTACTACCACCATAAATTTAATATTCTTTTCAGAGAATTTGAAAAAAAACTTAGACTAACTACTGAAAGATGTGTCACGTCTTTTGGCATCACTTTATCACCTTGTAAATCCTTGCCTCCCTTATCACTAAATCCCCGTAAGTTTTTTCGTGCAAACCTCTCTCGTGGTAATTTCCTCTTTTTAATGGTCACCCTAATTAGTGGACGTGCATGTGGGCAAATTGTTTCAATTACTAAGATCATCCCAACTGATCAACTCCTAGCCATGTTTGCTTGCATTTACACATGCCCGTTCTAACTCTACTTCTACGAACCTAAGCATGACTACTTTTTGCACTTCTGAATTGATCCAGTTATAGTGAAATTATTGCAAGCGTTTCCGTTTACGCAAACATAAAATGACAACGGGGACCTCCGAATCGCCTGTTTGCTGCAAACCTGAGGTAAGGTAGGGTTTTGCAGATGACTAACCACACTTAACATCTTATTTTAGTTAATACATGGTTTACAATCGCTACGGGCCCAATGATTAATGGAGTTAATCTATTATTTCTTAACCTTAGATACATCATTTATTGTTGTCTTTTGTTGCTTATTCCTGTCTCACATAGCTTGAACATAAGTGAGACGGCTCCTAAAGATCTTATGAATCTACGACCAGTATTTTTGCCAAAGTAGCTTTCGTTGCACGATCTACTTTCATACCGAAGTATTTCCTGTGTTTAACCTTTACCTTGGACTAAATAATTTGCAGACTTCAAATAGATTCCTACAGGAATTCTGTTTTAGAGATGCTTTTCCTGGCTTCACTTTTCCATCATCTTGATTTCTATTCATCCCCTTTTCGATCACTCCTGTGGGTTCTGTTTCTCTGAGAAATTTTGCGTGCTCAAATGGCGTCATTGTCTTTCCATCTTTTAATTAACAGATTTGAGTTGTTTTACTTGTCTGAGGCAGAATCTCCTATTTGGGCAGAAAGGAACGCATAGGTTGGTTGGAGCATTCCAATGTTTCATCCAATGTCGAGTTGACATGAGAACAAGTACATTGTTTCTCTTGGACACATTAGCGTCGGAAACATTTTTCGCTAGGAATTCTTTATTTTTGGTGGATTTTTTGTCCAAATAATTCCAGTCATCAGATCCTTGGCACATGTGAGGATTACTTTTGGTTTCGGCATGTAACCTCTTCGCAATTAATCTGGGCCACAAATGTTTTTTTTTTTGAGTCTCATACGTTCTTATAAGGTGATTTATTTTGGCTAGCATGAGTAGCTGGGTAGAGGGTCTTATGTTATGCATTTGCAGTTTTCGCTCGAGGATCTTCTTTTTCAGCATTATAGTGCAGCACTGAATGAACACAAAGCAGTGCTTTATTCGACTTATTACTGCATTTTTGACGAATGGGCAAACTTGTGTTTGAATATTCATTACCATTAGTAGCTTCGAGTTGTGGCTAGTTTATTCATTGAAAATAGACCCTAGTGGTATTGCTCTTTCTACGAACCTAGATTCGTAGTTTGGTTAGGTGATAAGGTTTTCTTGATAGTTGTTGTTTTATTCTGCTATAGGCCTTGCTTGAGGTGGTGCTATTTCCAGCTGCGAAACGTTTCAATGAACTCCACAAACATCTCTTGTCAGGAACTCGAGAGTTAGCAAAGGAGACCACCTCAACTAGTGCTATTGTTGAGGTATCTAGGGTCATCACTGCCCCGCCTGCCGGGATTCTTAGTGCTGCCTTTGATCTCCTTCTCAAATTGGCACTCTTTGTACCTCGTATCTTACTCCCCTTTCTCTCCGACAAGATTTGCTCCCTTCTCTACTCGTGTAAGTCTCTTCAGTGTTTGAATTATTAAAATAGTTTTCCATTTTGCTTCCAGTTGGATTTGTGATACATAAAGGGCATTGAGTACTAAAGCGAGGCACTTTTTCTTGTCTCTTCACAGTTAATGCTCGAGCGGGTGAATGGGAACCTCCTGATCCTCTACCATCTTTGAGCCGATCCTCGAACGACAGTAGCAAACGCAACTGTCTGTCCTTCAACTTCGATGGCCTTTGTGGCAATCGAGGATTTGTAGGTCTCAAAAATGCTGGTGCTACGTGCTATATGAATGCGGTACTGCAACAGTTGTTTGCCATCGTCCCCATCCGCAATGCAATTCTTTCTGCTCCCGTCTTGAACACTCTTCAGAAGGCCGGTGTCAATACCACTTCCCTCTATTCCCCCTACGGTCTGTCTCCGACTTCGGTAAGTTTTATCGCATTCCTCTGATTTGGTTCCATACATTTCACTTACCACCTAAAGAGGTAAGTCGTTCATCACGTTACGTGACTGCGACTTCCTCACAAAAGTTTCTTATCACTTGCTGATGAAAGAACAGATGTTATGCTGCACACTTTTAGAAGGGAGACTTCAATGGACCTCAGCTCAGTAACCTCTGTACGCTCTTTTCGCTGCAAGAAATGTTCGCATTTCTGGCCTATACGGAACGAGCGTACTATGAGCCCAGCCTATTCTTGAGACATTTTAGGTGAGTCTTGTTAGTTTTGTTGACTTTGGGACAGTCTCTAAGGCTCTTCAATCCAGCGTGATTGTAGGTCAAATTTTATTGGTGTAGACTTTCACCTCAAATGATGCTTGTTTGTTGCTGTTTTGAAGTAAATCTTTGTAATCACGATTGTCAGTGTTATCTTTCCTTGTATCTGAATTAGTTGGCGTTAATGGGAGCGATGTTTCACAGGATTCATGCTTTAATGCGCTTATGACAATCGATGTAAGCATTTTACCTTAAGTTAGATGGCTACCTTTTCTAATGTTACTGCTGTTATTGCTTTTATCCAGGCTTGGTGGTGAACAAGTGAACTACTTGGAGCAGCACGATGCTCAGGAATTTTTCAGTTGCCTCGTAGAGCATGTCGACGATGCAATGAAAATATGCGGGATGCCGAAGGCCATTGAAAATGTCATTGGTGGGATCTTCGAGGATCAAAAGATCTGCATTGAGTGTCCACATAGGTCTGCTTTTCTTCCCCTTGCATGTGCTGCAAATTCGAGTTCTACTTTAATGCAACGTTGAAAATAGTCTTGTGGTCCTTGGCCGTTAGTTTGTCAGTTTCTATCTTGATCCTGATGGTTATGATAGGTGTCAAAGTACCAGGCAACGCCTTTTGTATTCTTTTAAACTTTTTTCGAAGGTGTAACATTATTTTTCAAACACGTGCTTGATATTTCTTTTAATGTATGCGTTCTCAAAATAATCCCAATTGCTTATTTTCTTGATTCACACTTGCCTTGCTGAAAAATTGTATTACAGGTACCAACAAGAGGAGTCCTTCTTGATGATAGACGTAGACATCCAGAATCGATCGACTCTTTGTGAATCTCTAGAGGAGTACGTGAAGAGCGACTTGCTTGAGGGTGACAATGCCTATCATTGTGAGGATTGCAACAAGAAGGTTTCTGCGCGCAAACGTATGTGTATTAAACGTCTCCCTCCCATTCTTGTCATCCACCTCAAACGCTTCAACTTCGACTGGGAACGGTACGTTCTTTCTCTATTAAGCCATTCATCTCGTTTTGCAGTGCTGACTTTGAATGCAAAATTTATTTTTTGTTTCTGAATCATTTTGATTAGCAACGATGGAAATGCGGTTTTGAAATGGAGTGCATGGACGTTTTTTTGCCCGTTCCGTTAAGAGCGACGAGTTGTTCACCCATATGGTAATTTGATGCAATTATTACTCTTCCGACATGCGTGCTACTGATGGATTTAGAAAAGTCAAAATCAATCAAGGTGGCGAATTTGTCTAAACGACCATTTGGAATCTTGTGTTTTACTGTTCTTAGTTCTTTTCATTCTGATTCCTGTAAGACTTGGTTAATCACGATTTTGTAAAACATAGACGGAAAAAATAAATTGCGATTAACCCAGAGACGAATCTCTTTTGTCCTTTTAAGTCACATTGCTATCAAAAACAACGACCGTTTCTCCTTCCCTTCCGAACTTGATATGGCACCGTACACAGTGGAAGGTGTAGCCAGTCGCGACCAAGGTCCGAGCGTCGGTGAAAGCAGTGGCATATGCGAGAGTTGTCCAGCTTCTCCAGGAGCACCGGAGACAAAAGCCCCAAGGCACTCTACACGGTACACTCTTCGCGGCGTTATTGTGCACCACGGGCAAGCTGGTGCTGGGCATTACTACTCTTTCATTTTGCATCACAATCATGAGACTGGAAAATCTCAATGGTACAAGTACGACGACACTCGCGTAAGGCATCCCTGTCTTGTTTCAGCTATCTTCATGATTTCATCCATTTTGTACGTTGGGTGTCCCTTTTTACTAAAGGAATTCCACTTTTGAGCGCTTATTTGAGCAATTAAATAAATAAGTGATCGGCTTAGTGTCACTGGTTCAGTATATGTCTTGCTACGAGAATGAAATACTGCAAGGAATCATGCCTACAAGTTGAGAAGACTTATCAATTAGCAAATTTGTTCCACTTTGTTGGCCACTTTCCAGCTGTTATCTCAGATTATTATAGAATTGCACAGAATCTCTTGTTTCGCTGTTTTTTCAAAATTTTTCTCCCTCCTTGACAGGCACCATGTTATAACTTTCTCGTATTTTTCTTTTCGCTCAGGTTACAGCGGTGAACGCTGACTCGCCTTCGTTTGAACAAAATGAGTGGTTTGGTGGGAGGTACACGCCTGAAACTCCCTTGCGCTTTAGCTTCAGACCTTACATTCGTTGCTATAGTGCCTACATGCTCTTTTACGAAAGGGAAGACTTTAAGGAAACCTCCAATGTTTCTAACCTGTGTAACTCAATGCAATCTGTTGGGCTCTGTGAGTTTCTTCTTACTTTGTCATCGACCTTACTCCTGCTATCTGGGCCTTAATATGCTTCATCGGAGGTACACAGATAGTACGGGTTTCGCTTTGATGAGGCTTTGATTTCCCTTAGTCAAGTTTCTGAGAAGATTTCGGTTTTCGCTTTTTCGCCTATCCTGCTCATAGGTCCGCTTATCTTTACTGCGTTCAGGATTGCCCACATTTATATGGACAGTACTGTATTTGCTCATGTTCACTAGTTTGCGTGTTATAAAGACGTGTTCCCAAGTTGCTCATTTTTCTCTCCCTAAGCTGATGGGGCATCAGGTATAGTTCTATGTCCACCTCATATTGCAAGTCAGATTTACGCTCAAAATGTGGAGCACTTCAACACAAATATGCTAATGAATCCGATTTTTGAGAACTTCGTGTACCAACTTGTAACAGCGGATTGTCTTAGAGTCCGTGTAAGTTTCAACTTTTACTTGACCACCACTGGCAAATTCGACCTTGGTGAGTACAATTTTGCCTTCTTTTCCAGTTGGGCAATGCTTCCGACTCAATTAAAGCTTATGAGGCTCTTACAAGGCTCCTTACGCATTTCTGTTTCGATTCACGTTTCCACACCAAGGATAATAATTGGTAATTAAATGAATTATTTATTTTTTTAGCAAATAAACTTGCAACTTACACAAGATAGTTTCACTGCAATGGGGGTTATTATTACTTTAGGTACCTCTGGTTCCATCCATTCATCAGCCTACTTCAAGCAGGTCCTTCTGTTCGGGAAATCTTTACCAAACTGACCTGCTTTTCGTCACTGAACCAAGTTCATGAATTTTTCTTCAAGTGTCCATACCCAGGGGTGAGCATATCACTAAATCGGCAAGGCGCATATGCAATGCTGAATACAGATGTTCATGTTTGGTAAATGTTCCATTTTAGGTTCGTTATCTTTACGGCGTTTTGCTGATAGTGGTTGTCTGTTTGGAGATAAGATCGAATCCGGACAAATCGGTGGCTAACCAAATAATGCAGAAGCTGATTGCCGAACTGCCTGATTGCTTCACCTCCCACAGCCCGGAGTCATTCTATCACGAGTCTCTTTCGTACGGACCAGTCACTTCATCCGGCACTTACTGGACTCCTTATGCGGACGACTTTCAGCATGGAATGCATCAATCCATCTGTGGTGGCCAGCTTCTTGCTCTCTTACTCGATTATGCTCATTTGGACCCCTTGTTTACGGAGCATTTGGCACGACTTGGTCTTCACACTAAGCTCATACAGTAGGTTTACTTTACACACATGTTTATCCAGAATAATAATTCTCTCTAGCTCACTAATTAGTGGTGAGTCTTTGGTGAAGTTTGGGCAATCTTTCACGAATCAGAGTGATTTTCCTCCTACACCTTTTTTGTTTGTCCATCTAAAATTTGCGAATGATTTGTGCAATTGGTTAAGCTTCTTGTGGAGATCTTATCAGAAGCATCTATGATACATTCCTTTTAGAGTCATAGAAGCTAGACGACGTACATTCCCATATCTTCTGTTTAAGGTCGGACCCAGCAAATCCTTTGCCAATGTTGCTAGAACCTTTTACCACTATGAAACAATGAGCTACTGGTTTGAGACTTCACTTTACCCAAACATAGCTAAAAATTTCCCCTTTTTGAAGAAAGCCATCGATTTCTTTTTCTGAATTTTGTTTCGACTCATTTTTGTGTTTAAAATTGTGTTAAATCTGGATAGTGTTGTATCAGAACTATGCTGGACTTGTGAATGAGTAATATTTTTATTAAGGGATATGCCTACAAAATAGTTCTCTGAATCCGGCTCCCTTGTACCGGATAATCTGAGTTCGTTTTTTGCCCTTTTTAGTTATTTGATTGGCAGGTTGCCCAACACATCGATCTCGTGCCGCCCTTTGACTCTCACCTCTAGCCATTTAGCCAGCGATGAGCAAATCAAGCGTTACGTGGATGATCTTAATAAATCTATTGGTGTCGACTTTGCACACCAAGTTGCCTTCTCCAGTCGTTTGTTAGTGATCTATGATCTGGCTCGAAAACAAATAGATGAAAACGGTCTCTCAATCCCCTTCCTTCCTCCAAATGGATCACCGGCCTTTGTATCTGCCGCGAGCTTCAAGCCACGTCTCTTCCACCTCTCCCTCTCTGCAACTGTACATCTATCTCCCATAAATCATTTTATGAATTTGCTCGTTCGTCTCTTTTCACACTCTGAACTCGAAGAATCCTCTCTGAATCTCTCGAACATGCTGGAGGGCATCGATTTTGACAGATTTATTCAGGTGATCTTTACCTACTGTCTAAACCAAGGAAGTGTGGTAATGATCGCTCAGCTTATTAAGGTAAATATGTGCTTCTTATCTGTCTTCTTTCTCCAAAAGACCCTCCTCTTCATTGTCCCTTTGCCAATCTCTAGATTCTCACGAAGGGTAATACTTATCGCTCCAGAATTGTAATTGACGAGTTAATGCGTATCATCTTCCCGTCTCATTTATCTCCCCAAATGAAATTGGCCTCAGAGCTGGCGACTCCAGTCTTCATGGAGGCTCTCTCCGTTCCCGACTCTCTTCAGGAGCATCGACTATCCTATGCATTCCAAAGTACGTTTTCAAATTCCTTTCCCCTACCCAACTGTAACCGCCCTTTATCGTATTAACTTGAATGACTTCTTTCAACCCCGGTCACGAGTTCACCAAAAATATTACATCTCACTTATTTAGAATTGGATTGCTAAATCCATGTGTAGTGCCACCGTTTGGCCACTAACCCTCATCTATCTGGTGGCTTTCACCCATTTATTATCGTGATTTTTCTACACCGTGTCTGTTTGTTGTTTGCGCGTTTTTGTGAGGCGTCAGCTGCCTCTATTCTTAATAAATTTGTTGTTCTTTGACAACGCTTACCTTGAGACACTGAGGTGGACTTGAAATTTTGAACTTTCTTTCACTACTGTTGTACGTTTTAACCTAGAAAGGGACATGGAAGAAACAGAACCCCGTAAGTTTAATGCTTTTTAAATAAAGCGTTACCTTAACTCTGAAATCCTTTGCAGTAACACATTTACTCTTTTTCGCTTTGTTTAACCATCGAACTAACCACTGCCTCATTATTTTTCATTGTTTACCCTTTGAAAGTGGTCTACTTTCCCCCCCTTTAAAAGCAATGTACCATTCGTACTCCCACTAGCGGGTTCCGTAAATTCTGATTACAAAATAGCGTGTTTCTGAAGGAAGTATGGTAGAGCTGGTTTGTATCCACATGATCATAAGGTGTGGCACTGTTATTGCTGCTTGAAGCACGAAAGCATCTCCGGGAGACTGTTTGCTTTCGCTCTTATTTGAGGCACTAGAGTGTCCCAAAATTCCATCAGTGTCGATTTTTTTACAGGCAAAAGAATCTACGATGTACTTACCTTGACCAAACGATCAAACCCTAAAATTTGGAATGATCTGGGCATGAACATGTTATGCGCTTTGGGCAGCATGGTGATCAACTTCGACGCATTTCGAGAATATTTTGAATTCCAGCGCCACATCGGTTTGTACTTCCGCAAGGTAAGCCCACCTTCTCTTCTTATCGATGTTTGTATTACCATGATGCATTGATCGTGGGTATGTTCAAATCGGCCCTTCTCCTCCCTTAGATCATAAATGATGTCACCAAGGTGGAGTACCAACAAGTCCTTGAGCCGAATGAGTACTATGACATATTAAATCAGACCAAAGAAGTTCTTCCAGTTCCTGTAAGCGTTTGCAGTTGCTTCATACCTTATGTCTACAAATTGTCTAGCTATGTCTGATATGTTTTGCGTTTTAGAGGTCTGATGATGAAGAGGTGGATGATGAGGAAGAAGAGGAGGAGGAGGAGGAAGAAGAGAATGATGAAGAGGAAGAGGAGGAAGGCGAGGGAGACTTTGAAAACAATGGCGTGGATGGTATGAATGTTGGGCGGGATAATGATGAAATTGAATCCTGTAGCGACGATACTGAAGTGGACTGAGGTTATTGAAATAGCCCTCGCAGCACATGAGAGAACATTCCACCTCTATGCTTTCGCCGATCCTTTGTCATTACTACTCTTAATACCTCTTGACATGGTTTTTTAGTTGGTCTCCTACACCACTCTCGCTGACATTGTTTTCTCCCTCGCCCTTCCCTTATTTTTCTACTCTACAGTGGCATCTGTTGATGAAAATACACAGTTTGTTTTTTGGCCGTCTGTGTATGTGTATGCTTTCGCATCGTTGCTTCAAGTGACGTCGCTGGACTTACTGGCGATGTATACGTGTGTTTGTTACCTTCACACTTTTGTCCACCAATACAGTCTTTCTCATTCATGCTACCGCGCCATTTTCCTGAACCATTTCACACTTTTTGGTGTCAGCCCTTGCCACGGTTAACCGCTTGAGCAGCCTTTTCTGCCTCCCACTGTCTGCCTCATGCACTTTCCCAATTCGCCTCTTCCCCTCTGCATACTCTGGTTTTATTATTCATACTTGCTGTCGAGCGTACAATTTTCAGATGTCTTCCGGTTCCATTGTAAACGTTATCACTTGGCAAAAAATCTCTTTACTGAGAGTTGTGCTTTCCGATGTTTCGTTACCTTGTTACTTCCTATAGATCCACCGTTATAAACGCATGGCGATGAAAGTAATCTCTTGATACACCGTTTAGTGCATCAGCAACAGCTTCCGAACAGCCTTTTAATGTTCTCCCCCCTTTTTTATCGAATTTTGTAGTAATATTTATAAAATTTAAATAACTCCTTTCAATTTAAGAATGCCTAGAACGAGTCACAGAAAGTGTTGGGTGACTTCCGACTAAAAGACTCTCTTGGCTACTGCCGTGATTTGCCTTTCATGATCCGTGAATGGGGCGCACGGTGAAAGGACAATGCATTCGTTCCCCATAGTTAGCCTTTATTATCTAGCGGTGGGTGAGGCGACTTCTCCCTCTCCCGTTCTCTATATGCAGACGTCGAAGCGATCCTTATCCATTCTTCAGTACTGGTGGACTTCCTTACCATCCAGCCCTAAACTAACTGGAGGCTACAGTTTAAGTCGCTTAAAATGGTACTTGTATGCCTTTCTTGTTTCACTTGCAAGTGATGAGGCTGTCGCTGCCTTGTTCATCTATCTTAGACAAACGGCATTAACAGAACTGGACACCTCCTGCTGTGTTGGTCGCTTTCATCACCACTGCTTCGTTGGAAAGGTCCGTTGTGGCTCCTAAAATCGATAGAAAGTGTATTTCGATAGCATTAAATTTTACACAGCTCGCTTTAGAATAAATTGACTAATTGTTAGTGTCAATCGTAGTCTCGCGCATTCACCTTCCATTGGAGCCTTGGGTATTTGAGGTTGACATTTCCATGCATTGAGAGATCCAAAAAGGATATCATTCCTGGGCCACGTTTAGAGAATTGCCCTTTATATAAGCAAACAGGAATTCAGTACTATTCATTATCTTTGAAGCTGTCTGTTCATGTAGAAGCTTGTTGTGGCCAAGTTCGCAAGCTTTCTCTGTGGGATTTTTTAATCCGGATTTGTATTCGTGGAAGATTTTAGCGGCCAATTTCTGAGTCATCCAATGACATCTAAAGCTGGAGAATTTAAGAACGCTTGGAGCACCTTATTGCACCAATACTCAAATCAACATAAACACAAGCTGATCCAATGGCAGGTCGGTCTCTCAGCTTTGTGAAAAACGCGGTTATTCCGAGCGTTACACATTGGTGACAAGAGTTGATGGTAAGTGGTTGCATTGGATTGTATTGCCAACGGGTTGATTGTGCGTTAGGTGCGTAATGTTTCCGTCCTGAGGCTGGCACTTTAACTAGCCATAAGGTTACGGAAACAGGGAGAAAGAAGACAGTCGATTTAATGTCGAGGCCTCAGGAACTCCTTCATTTGTGCGCTTTCTTGCATGCTTGTTCGCTTTATGCTCAATATATGTATTTTAAGGGGCCAAAAATGTCTGTTCGAATGATTGTCAGTTAGGATCGATGAACGAAGTTACAGCTCGAAGCATCGGTAAATAGGATTTTCATTGTTGACAAGACGTAGGCACACCCAAAATCAGTCGCATGATTGCTTGAGTGAGTGCACTTAAAAGTGTGCACGAACCCATACTGTGCTCCAACAGAAATCACACGTCTTGATGGCTCGTCACTGTGACGACCTTCAAAGAACACCTTTAGGATGCTCTGAAAAGGTGGTTCCCTCCACTATCATATCATAATCATGCTATTTAACTCTAGAAAGTGTCTTCTCTTGATTTTTTCCTTTACTCATTTCGCAATGCCATTTGGAGCACTGTTATAGCCTCCGATGATTTTATCGCCTCCATACCGTTGAAGTTAGACAGAGATTCGGATGCAATTCCCATTGACGCCTTGTGTCAAATTAGGCCGATTTTCTCACTTCTGGGGCTAGACACAAACACGCTGTTCACTTCTGTGCTGCTGGCGGTGTTTTGTTCGCAGAAAGTGATACTGTGGGAAGAAACTTTCACGACTATGATTTTACTCATTTTGCGGTTGTCACTCCAATTTTTTTTACTAACTGACTCAGATGTTTGGTAGGGCGGAGTGAACACGTGTAAGAGAATTTTCTCATGGCTTCAACTCCACAAAAGGGGTACTTTAATCCTTCAACAAATACTCTCACCGAAGTGTTGGTGTGGAATTGGAATTGCAATCTTACTCCTCATGGGTATTTGCTTTTTGGGAAATTCTGTTGAGGTGTTCAAACATGATGCTCAGTCTGTGGGTGTCATTCTCAGTTTGAGCTGGACGAACGACACCCAGAAAGATTTTATTCGGACTCTCAAATCAAACGTCACTTCTGTCATGGCACGTGTTCCTGTCGGAGATTCTTTCGGTTTTATTTGGGACTACAAATTATTCTGGGTAAGGAGACATATTTCTGATATAGTGCTGTTTGATTTAAGTAGAAAGAAATTCGTCATGCGTTTAGAGTGTAAAGACATCATGCTAAATAATTTCTGTTGGACATAACCGAGTTTCTGTAACTGCTTTGATCGCAGTCAAAACGTTTCCTTATTCCAAACGTGTTGTCAAAGCGGTTAAAGGTGGACCATCTCCTCTTTTTTAATGATTGGCGCTATGTAATGTCGCATGACCTGCTGGACCTTCAGACTTCCCTGAAGACGGAAGGAAAGGCATAATACTTGAGATGGGTGGACATTTGTGGCACAGAATGTATCGTTCAGAGGTCGGACCGCGTAGCGAAGGCCAATCAATTGCCTTCAACTGAAACTGGGAGCTAAACAAGTAGCAAGCATAATAAATGTATGCTCAAGAATTCGGTCCCTCAAGTGTGAATGTCAGGAAGTTGGAAAGTTGTATAATTGATAAGATGTTTAAATAGAATCGGCTTTGAGGTGCTCATTCTTGCTGGTCTTAAGTAATGTATCAAATGTTTGTGATTTGTAGTTCTGAGTCATATGGTGAACGCTTTTTTCTAAATTTTTACTGGTAATTATGTGTAGCGCTCCGACAGTTTTTGATTCTGCAATTGAACCTTTATTCGTCGTTGTGACTCTCAGGTGACGTCTGTGGCAGCTTTGATGGATTACGACATTGGGCAAGACTGGGATCTGCAAGTTTCAATAGCCTCTTCCAGGCATTGTTCTTCTCAATTGAACCACAGGGCATCGAAATGCATGACACCGCTTTAATGTGATTTGTCAAAATTACAAGGCGTAAATATTCCACCGTAGCATCATACAGTGTCTGTTATCAAGTTTGTGTGTACTCAGACGTCTTAAAATCATGGAAATTGATGCCCATGTTTACCTCAAACACACCTAGTAGAAAGTTATTTCGACTTTCACTTATTCTAAGTAAGCTAATGATGATTCTTTTTTGTTCTCTTCTTACCCAAGACCATACCCGTTGCTTAAACCTGATGCTGGCTTTCAGGACGATTCCATCTACAACTCGTTTTTCCAGTGTTAAATGTTGAGGTTAACTTTACTTGCTTTCAAACTTCTCAATACGCCCAGGGTAACAAATCAATTGAAAGCCGTAACAGGCAACTGGAATTGCGAGTATATTCACTGGGAATGAACTCGAATTCTCCTTTTCGCCCTCCTCGTTGTGCTGTCTTATTGCAGTTTCAGTGGGCTAATGCTCGAGCACTGAAGAGGACACAATCGTTACTGAAAGAGATCTGGTTACTTCACTATCTACCATTCACAAGCAAGTGAACGTCTTGATCAACCATGGTTTGATTAGTTTGGGGCTTGCTCTACACTTATGCATATGAAAGCTTGAAATGTGCAGTTCTGAAGCTGAGTTCCAGTTTGAACGCTTCACGCTGTGCACTTCTCAGGTCAAAGCTTAAAGCCTTACTTGCTACTAACTGTGAGGAGGTGTTATCTTTTATCGTCTCCTTAAATGGCTTCCTTCAATACTGCTTTGCACTTCAAAAAAAAAATGAAAACTAGAATTGGCACACGACCCAGGAATAATGTGCGCGTTAAACTTTTGAAAACTGTAATTTAGACTTTGGTCTGTAGTTCTGACCGCCTTAACTACAATTTGTCAGCAAGTCTAGTTTAGATTTACGCTTTGATTGCATGGCTGAGTTGCATTAGCCAAGTTTCCACTTGCCTTCAGACAAAATCTTTTTTTGGAAAGGCCGACTGAAATGTAATTAGGGTAGCTCAGTGATTCGTCGAGGGAACAGGCGTTGAAACTTGTGATGTGATACCAGCCCTTGGTATTGCACAAGGCCTCTTATAAATGTTCATTTGCTTTGGTATTTTGTAGGACTTCCTTTATAACCGAATCGAAATCAATCGTGAGTTATAGAATTTATGAATGCAAGGTGAGGAATATCCACGCGACTCGACTAAGCGATTCCGATGGTCCAATTCGAAAAGTAGAGTGAGTGGTAAAGAGGCACTGAGTAGGGAAGGGGAGTTATTGCTTTAGCGCATCTTCACATATTCAAATCGGAGAGCTGAAAGCCTTTTGAGAAAGGTATAGAAAGCACCAGATCCTGTCCCTGAACCCTCTTGGAGATGCCGGTAATGTCAAACTTGTTTGCGGGGAGAGCGAAGACCGTGGTAGTGGTGGCCATCTTGGGCTGATAGTTGTCGTTAGCCAGACCATTTGTATTGTTTTGTGAGTGTCTTGCAAACACTAGCTTCACTGTTTCCTCGCGTGGATTCGCTTCCATCTCGATGCTGTCACGATCCACTCTGTCGTCCAGTCGAATTCTAATCTGCCATTTGCCATCCGCTACCGTACAGGAAGTATCCTGTCAAGGAAAGTAAAGATCACTGCTTTCTATTTTGCTTAAGGTTACGCTAAAAAGTCGGTAATTTGCTCTCATCTTTCATCCTCGTCGTTAATAATTTTTTTTGAGTCACTAAAGTGGGCTTGTATCTGTTCCCGTGGTCGAAATCAGCTAAACAGTTGTTTTCATCGGCCTTTGAACTTAAAGACAGTGGTGGAATTATCAGAAGGCACAACCACCGAGCATGAGGGCATCAAATCAATGATTTACTGTGACAATCCGCCTTTCAAGGGGCAGAGTTTTGACTGAGCACTGTACCTCGGCGCTTACTTTCATAAACAAGTTGCCGATTAATCTCTTAGAGGCGCTACAAACGCTCTTGTCATTTGAGCGTATTACAATGTGAACAGTAGATGCTAGACTTAATTTTCAAATGCTTCACCTTAACTGAGGTGATGGCATCCTGTCTCTCCATCAGAAATTTGGTCCGTAAGTCTTGTTTCGTAAATTCAACGGTGTTTAGAGGGGCTCACCTGATCAGGTGTGGATGCAAGGTCGGCAAGAGCATCTGGCATCTCTGAGTAGGAAGTTATGACGGGGTTCATTATATGGCCTTCGGGCGAAAGGTCAATTGTGCCTTTGACGGTGTGCTTGTATTCCTTCGACCACGTTTGATCAGTCGAAGGCACCTCCTGTTTGGATATCCGATTCACTCGACCCGTTATTACTACTGTGTTCTCCGTAAAGGGTTGACCCCTTATATCTTCATCATACGATGTCGAATGATGGCGCAGGACCTTGTTGAATTGGCTCTCATTGTACTGCTGAATGTTCTTTGTCTGCAGCTTGTACGATATTGTGCTGAGGTCTGTGCCCTGAGGCAGGAACAACTCCTACCATCCAAAAAGGAAAGCTCGTTGTTATTCGGTGTTTTCTGCACTGGTATCCCTTTCTTTACAAGTTTAGATTTTGAAAAACAAGACTTTCAACGGATTGATGTCTTGAAGTAATAAAAGAAGCAATGGACGCACCTCCTAGCAACGCCAGTAGTAATTTCAACGGCTTTTACGCTGTCTTCTGTGTGCAAAATTTGAAATTGGAATGTATTTTATTTGGTGCATAAATTCTTCAAGTTGAAGGATTTGGTCTTTAGAGCTATCTTTACATCTACAACTCAGAGCTGCACAGGACTTGGTGCCTATGAGGCAAGGGCAACTTTAAGTTAAAGGTCAATTCAATGAAATGCATAAAAAAGACGGCCTCAGACCACAGTTTATCAAGTCAGAGGAATGGGTTTGCGCTTTCAGGATCTGGCCATGGCACCCAAGCCAAAAGAGCTTTGAGGTGAGAGTTATGAAGCTCGTAGACATTTATTTCTCCTCTACCACTTTTTTAAAATTATTATTCATTTAATTTAGAGGACAAAAAAATTGGATTAACTGCATTCGAGGTTGGAAGGAAATGACTCTGTATGGAGTGAAAAATGCCAAGATCAGGTGTAAAATGTCGTTATAAACTTTAAATTGCAACCTTTAATGAAGGGACCATAGATGCTACGCAAATACATTTGTATTCAATTCTTTCAAAGAAGCAGAGCCCTGAAAGTCTGCCTGCTGACGGCGATTAAGAGGTTAACTACGCAAAATGTACTTTGTTTTGACAGTCTTCCAATGCCAACAGGAGTGGTTATACGCAGTTGGCTGCAAGGTCGTGGAGTGAGGTTAGACTTACGCCATACTTCACAATGCTGACTACTTTTCAGAGCCAAAATCCTAATCGCCATTCAGCGCACTGAGAAAGCGCAATGCTGGGGATCCGAAGTAGGTTTGGGAAATGAGATGCTTTGGAGGTGCGTCAGGCTGCCGAAACCATCAATTTCCAAAACGAACTGTATGAGCGACTTCAAGCCTCAGAGAAGCTAATAAAAGAACTGATGAGCCTCTGCAATCCCCCAATTGGAGGTTTTGACCAGGAGCTAAACTTTGACATCTGGAAATAACTTTGATGTGAATAGTGGGGAACCCCGGTTTGCCAATGGCTACGTCCACTCTCTGACACGTCTCGGAAGCACGCGTTCTCGCGTAAAATTCTAACAACATTTTCTTTTGTCCGATGAAAGGACCATCCACTGTCGAAATCCCCTTTCCTGTACTCAACGAGCCAGCGAATCACATTCCTCCTACACTCGGAATGGCCTCAAACCTCTGACACACTCGTGCAGGCATGAGGTAAAATGCAAACTCGGTACCACTTTTAAATATGGCAATCGTTTATTGAAGTTGTAGCTCCGACTTCTCATGCTTATGAGAGCACTAAGATCGCATGTCTTTACAAAAAACTATTTTGCAAACAAACATTAACCCACTGAAACAAGTAATCCCATGGATACACTTGTCAAAGCAACCAAGTTGGTAGGTTGCCTACTCTCTTACTCTCAGCTACTGAGATCGAATTCCCTGAAGACAGGGCACGCAATGTCAAGGAAAAAAAAGAAGAGGCATTAAAGCGACCTAAACGCACTGCCTAGTGTCAACTCCGTCGCAAACCACAAACACGTGACATCACCACGATAAGCAGAATAGACAGTAGAAAAGCATGCAAAACCCATAAAATCACCAATCTGTCGAGGTCCTTAACTTGGCAATCTAACACCGGTAATCTCTATTGTACGCATAGAAATTTGCAAAGTTTGAAGAGGCACGCAGATGTGCTTTACCGTGCAATCACTTGAAAAACAAGAGCTCACAAAAGCGTGGCGCTGTTATGTTAATAGAAAAAAAAGGTAAACTGATAGATGTGATAGCTTGAAATACTTATTTACAAAGAAAATACTCACCTCGCTAAAGTCCTCTTCGGTGATGGCTCTCATGGTGGGGGACCACTGCCTAACCCTTCCAGTTATCCGCAGTCGTTGCATATTATTTTTACGCAAATTTGAATAATTTGTGACATCCATAGGCAATTTCTCGCAACGAAGTTTCGTAATGACGCCTGGAGGCAACTCAACACTGCGCTGGAACCAATGGTTCCGTTTGATAGTCCAGTCTTGCACATTCCTTGAGTTGTCGTTGATGGAGATCCAGTTTGTCTCCTCAAAATCTCGAATCAGGTTGGTAGCTACAAAGTCATTCCTTCTCGAAGTATTCCTTTGAAGCGTTGAGAAAGTCTCCTCTGTCGTGGTTCGCATATCCTCCATCTCTCCACTGTCTGTTTCATCTGACTCAGCTGGTGGATATGGAAGCTCTGGAAGTTGCAACGGCTCCTTGTAGACAACTGGTGGAATTGGCATGGGTGCTGCAATGGGAGGAGGTGCCGGTGCATAAACCATCGGGATCATACACTGAACAGGGAGGAATGCTGGGCTGGGCATCAATGCACCCGTTGGCACTGGATAAAATCCGTTTGAGCATTTGTTGCAAAGGCGCGATCTGGAACTTGCCCTGGGAATATACGTGGGATACAAGGTATCATTGTAAGTTTCCTCCGTCGGTATCCTCAAGTTTAGACTGCGAGGACGGGTCCTTGGCATTGTCGGAATGAGCGATGGCAAGGCAGACACACAAACCTGTATGGCTCAGTATGCCCTAATTGGATTCGGCGAGGTGTATTTTATTCACTCCTTTGACATGACCCCATTGGCTCCTTGAGTCAGGTAATGCTGGCGTATTGTGCTGCCTCATGCAGCCAATCAAGGAGTGAGTGCGCGTTTGTTCATTCCGGGCTGCCGTTGATCACAATTTTGCGTTTCAGCTACTACGAAGCCTTCAAAGTCTAATAGAAATGAACTTCCCTATAAGGGAAAGCCTTTCCGACTTTATCAAGCCATTTTGATGACCTTGAGTAGGCGAGTGAAGGGATGAAAAGGAAATTTTTTTTCCACTCAAATATGTGACTAACGATAATGACTAAGCACTTAAAAGTGTTGGATGTTAGTCATTATATGTTTTTTGAAGAGATTCGCCTTCAATTACCAATGACTTATCGTTAGAAGTGTGTTCAAAATTAATTTGTCAGCGAGTTTTGAAGCATAATTAAATTTGATCCTGCGATTCAATCCGTAAATTGAAGAGGCATTATCATGTTTCTCATTCGGCACACCGAGGCTTTTGACTGTTTGAGAGAGCTCTGCAGGAGTAAAATTTACGACGCTTCAGTCTACAAGAACTGAAGCAAACTAAAAGTTAAAAAACAAATTTATGGCGCAAGACTTCATGGGAGTTGGTTATGGTCAAGAGTACTCTTTTGGCAAGTGAAGAAGCAGTACCAGGACCGAGCGGTGTGTGGTAACGACCCGAGGAATAGTCTATGGGCTACCGGCACACCTCAAAGGGAGGAGTTAGAGAAACAATTATAGTTATGCGCTACCAAATTCTCACGTAAATAGATCGTTCAAAATATACTCGTGAAATGGAAAAAGTGGTTGGGCCGATTGCAGCAGTCTCATTCATGTCTCCTACATCCGAATTTTAATGCAATGCAATTACTCTCTAGGATTCCACATTCCTAAGCGCTCCCAGGGATTTGGAAACCGCAGTTATTAAAATCACTCACAGGCTCAGTTAAGCAGGATTTTCACAAGTTAAATACGCTGCTTAACGCTCTGTTCATTGTTGACAAAGTAATCCTACTAAACCCCACGAGAGTGGCTGGGAGAGCGGCATTTTTACAATGTTCTACAGAATTTCCAAACCGCGATAACACGTAATTGTCAAACGGACGTAGTCACATTTGTGTATTTTGGATCGCTAGTTCTTATACGTCCTCCGACACTATTCCTCGAATTAAGTTAACTGAAAAGTTTTAGCATGAATACCTAATTTTGGCCAACAAATAAATTTTATAAAGGCTCTTAAGGTCCCAAGGTCATTTTTTGTCCCGGTCCTTGTGGTTTTACATTTCGATGTACAAAATATACTGGTGCATTGTTGAGAGTTGATGCATACCAAAATGTCTGCATTTGAGAAGGCAGAGTGCTCCCGGCTATCAGGCATCTGACAGATACAAGGGTAAACTCGTTTCAAAGTTGTTTTATAGTCAAATGCATTGACGTCAAAGTCTCAAGATGAATAAGCGCGTTCCTCAAGACTGGGACTAATAGACAGGGCGTTGGCAAATTAATTCCAATTTGAATAAAATTCAAAAGTGTGCTAAATGTTATGTAATTTTTTAACAATGCTCAATCGAAATTCATCTCCACATGACTTACACACTTCAAAATTTTTCCTGTGTTGTAAATATTTATCTGAATCGCTTTTAGTTATCAACAAAGCAGGCCTCAGTCAACCGATTTTTTGTAACTTAAACCCAAGTTGTGCAAAAAACAACTTATTACAATCAAGGGTCTAGATACCGCAAGAACTTGGGTGATCGTTATGTCTCGATTCTGGTTAAGTGCTTTGAGGCGGTACAGTTCTGGAGTCGAGCCGATAACTACAAAGCTTGAGGTATGTAAGAGGTGCGTGGATTCTTTTCTAGTATTGTCTTCTATTACCTTCGGAGGTGCCGTGAGGCTCTAATTTTTGCACCAGTCGAGAATTGGCTGTAGTCCTCCACCATGAAAGTACTGAGTGTCTAAGGTAATGGGTTTGTCACTCTTTCTGCCCAAGTACAAGGATGCAGCCAAACTTTACACGTTCATTTACCAAGCTGGAGACCTTGCAAAACTGCGTCTGATTTCCCATAAATGGTGTATTATGGTAGTTATAAGGCAAGACCTATGCCGCTAAGTGTTATAGAAGCTTTTACAAGTCAGCTTTATGAACCATTTAGCGTTTCCGAGCAATAATTTATCATAATTTTGAAAATGCTTAGTAAGCTAAACCTTATATGAAATATGAGCGGAGTACTTCTTATTGATGAATTTATAAAGATTATACAAGCAATTATATCGTTTTATTTATGTCACTGTAGCGTCTCGAGACTTCCCGCAAGATGGGAGAAAGCAGTAAGGGAAACTAAAATACATGTATTCCAAAGAGGACAAAACAATTGGGCCTGAGCTAGGTCCGAAGGCCAGCCTGCGAGTACAAGGGCCAGACAAATCCTGAACTGACAGCCAAATGTTAGGTAGTCATATTAACAAGGCATTACTGTCGCCACCGGATGATTGGTGGCCACTTTAAGATTTGTCTGGTCCTTGTACATGTGGGTTGGCCTTTGGGTACATGTATCCAGCATCACTTACTACCTTCTTCCTCCCGGTTGGAAGTCTCGGGATGCTACAGCCAATACGTGTAAAAATATAATTATATCGTGATTTAAGGAAAGGCATGTCAGCCACAGAACTTTAAAATGGAATGAAGTATTTGATCATAAAATTCAGATCTTCATTGTTTTTAAATACTTACACTAAGCACGCATAATAAAAACTCTCTTACCACTGTCACTGTGTTTTACTTAATGTTTTATAAAAAGGCGCTAATTGTATATCACACTGCGCACACAGTCATTCGTTACGCGGATAATTCGACGTTCCTGCGGGAGTGCATTTTTAGCCCAGAGACCACACGATGCCGGTTGCAGAGACTACATTGGAGGAAAAGTCGAAAAGACCGGCAACTCATGCTGAGCGTAATGCGGCGGACCTTGAGAAGATGACCTACAATTTTGAGGAAACTGAGGTGACTGCTGGGATGACTGATGCTCTAAAAAAAGTAACAGAGGAAAAACAGTCTGCTACTCCTGCCCCAAGGATCAAAATCAAGTCCAAGGACGTCAATCTAATCGTGAGTAAAACAGTAGGAGCCTTTGATTTGCTTTCAAGTTTGGCTGTACTGATGGGATTTTGAATCCGATTTCACCACTATCTTGGTCATCTTAGGTTCAGGAGTTCGAAATCAGTAGTATTGCAGCAGAGAAGAAACTCAAAGAATGCCATGGTGATGTCCGCGAAGCACTTTGTGCATTATGCAAGTAATTAGTTTGCTGTACAAAGGAATTTTTAACACATACTTAATGCATGAAATTGTCTGTATTTTTTGACGCCATAACGCCGGGTTCGGGTTTATATGTGCTAGAGCTTGGTAATCATTTAATCGTGGTTCATAGTTCTTCATGCTGAAACTTGCTCTTCTTACTTCCATGATCTGTCGCCTCTGAAGAATTAGACCTGAGGAATGTGTTGCACACGTACTAATTAATTACCACTGCTTTTTTAAGTGTTTAGAATCCATATTGCTATTCGTGCGAAGTGCAGCATAACTTTCGGAACTTAGTAAATCCCAACTCTGAGCCAGTTGGTTATTTAATTAGCTCACTGAATGGTTGCGCAGACTTCCAGACTTCAAGTCTGGGAAGAGTGCATAGAGCATTGTAGTTACAACGGAGTACTCCAATCATGAATTGGACAAACTTCTGCGTTTTGATACTTTGAACTGCTACTAGGACGCTTTGATACATTGCATATGATGGTGGCAGTTACATTTGCATAGACCTTGGAGTCTGGTTTTGTTAGAGGAACGTGAGGTCTATGCATCTTAAATAAAATCAAATTTCTAATAAATATGTCACGCTCAGCAGTGTATTTGTAGCAGATATTCTAGGCTCTAGCTCCTTGTGAGACTTATTTGTCGAAGGTCTTCTTTGTGGAACTTTGTCAGGCATAGTACGGAGTACAAAGTCGGGCAGAAAAGCACATTGTCCTGGAACTGCGTTCTAATTGAATTTCCATCTCTCACCTACAAAGAACATTTAAACTGTTTAATGCGATAATGAGTGCTCCTTAAGGCATTGAAGCAGTGGTGCTCTGATCTGTAGGTGTTTTGTGCACCAATCTCCTTGATAACATTTTGATTGAACTGTATGTCGGTGTTTTTTGGACTTTTGTTTAAGTGTGGGTGATTAGACACTCAAAATCGCAAAGCACAGCTATCGGTTGCGATGATCACGTTGTTCTGTCTGTGTGTATCGAATCGTATGTTAACCTGCCTCATCGCAGATTTCGTTTCTGCTCGGTGACATAGGTCAAAAGTCATGCTAGTGCCTTCCTAACTCTTCGCACAATTCTCATATGTTCTATGTTGAAGATGTTACTTTGGTGTAAGCAGCGTGTTAGCTAAACCGGAAGGTATAAATATTCTAATTTATTGAGTTGAGTGCTGCCTACCATCGTCTCCCTTAGCTGAATGGTACGCAGATGGATATCTGGGGAGGCATCAACAAAGTGAAGAGAAGTGGAATGGCAAATTAGGCACAAATTAATAGTCTAACGAATTGACACCGGTTTAGCAATGATCTTTGGGTAGATGGGTCTGGCCAACTTTTGTATAGCCTTACCCGATCTTAGGCTTACTTATTCAGAGGAGCTTGGAAATGGGATGGAGCTGTGGAATTGTGGGGGCGTGTCAGCGATGTAGCCTCTCTTAGCGCACGAACTGGTGGTGGTGCGGATTTATACGCAATTATTCGTGCATAGGTCGCGCCGTCCCAGTTTGCGCCAAGATTCGCAGAGCCAGTGTTTTGTTTGACTGTTTCAACTTGCTGGCGCGCCTCTCGAAAGACTTATTACATACTCTTTTGCATTAGCGACTTTGGCTCATCTTAATCTTAGAGGATGACTCATATGCCACGTGCCATTCTGGCGGAACCATTCCTTCAGGGTGTAATGAGTCTTGCCGATATTTTAAAAGCATTGAAATCTTAGGTGAGATTCTGTAATAATTCGCTGAACTACTGGTTTCAGCTGGAGTCACAAGAGTTAACCAGATTGGCCGGACTTTAAGCTAGATCAATATCCTGGGCCTCCTTTCGTTTGCTGAAGGATACATTACTACCTTAGCAATATGACTTCGTTTGCGTTAAATGGGAAAGAGAGATGCACGAGCTGCCTTTCATTGCAGCCATAAGCATAAGACATACGAAAAAATGAAAGCTTATAAATAGTCATGTAATACTTTGTTCATGTAGCCATCTGATGTCTAGCGGTTGCTTTAAGACTCATCCGGTCTTCATACGCGTAGGCTGGCCTTCGGGGCAAGTTCAGGGGCAATCCCTTTATTTTCCTTGGGGTACATGCATTCAGCTCCACCTTATGTCTTCTACTTAGTGGGAAGTCTTGATCCACTGCACTGGTGGTAGTGTAAAGAGAGCCCTACTTTTTAACGACTTCTATCTTAATATATACCCATTCGTTGCATGTACCTACTGGGTAGAGAAGGCGCATTTACATCTCTACAACGAAACTCGAGAATGATGTCTGCGTTTGGTCTCACTTTGTTTCGTGTTCCACAGACAAGGTATTAACAAGTGAACCATTTGGAGAATGTTTTATATCGGAATGTCCCCTACCATTGTGCATAGGTGTCGAAAATGACACTACGATTCTCCTTAAATGCGAGACAGTGGCGAAGGCCGTTTTCCCTGTAATTCGCCTGTTTTAGAACAGAATTCCACCATCTAATCCTGGGAGCAATTGATTGTCAACAGATGTATGCGGCTCCGAATCTGATTGCCATTCCTTAGTCTCATGGTAGCTGTTGAATGCCGCGTCTGACTCGTAGACACTTTCAGGAGTATCGAATATGTTGTGATGGCTGGCGCTGGAGGTGTATCAAGAGGAGCAATGAGAATGGTGCTCAAAAAAGGAGATGGGTGGAGGAATATTTTGATAATGTGACCACCTAATATCTGGCTGTAAATGTAAGATTCGTCTGGCCCTTGTACGCGTGGGCTTAAGTCCAAGACTAATCTCTTTATTCTCTTTAGAGCACATGCATTCAGCTTTGTTTAATATCTTATATTACTAGGTGGGAATTTGGGCACTACGGGTGATGATTATTTTATCATATGGCACATGCAAAAAATAAGGGAGTTGTGCCTATGCATAGAATTAATCTTAAACAATATTGAGTTTAGTAATGCCTTTAAATTAATAAATCAAATTGAGAAAACTGTAATTTAAATTTTTTGACGTAAAATTTTTTAAATTTTTGCATAATCAAGGGATTGTTTTAGTTTAGGAAGCGCGTATTTACACAGTGACCTAAGCTCGTTAGAGATACAAAATTCTGGAATGCTGAGAAATGATGATGAAGCATCATTTATCAAAACAACGAAAAAATTTGAAAGACTTGGAGCAATTCGTGAACAAAATGTGCATGTTGTGAGGGGACATAAGTTCTTACCACGATTTTTTAAACAGGCAACATTTTGCGGGCACTGCACTGATTTTATTTGGTAAGTTATCCAATCTTTACTTGACATCTAAGGGGTTTTGGAAAACAAGGTTTTCAGTGTAAGGTATGCTGTTTTGCGGTTCACAAGCGCTGCCATGAGCTTGTCCTTTTTCCTTGTCCTGGGTCGGATAAGGGCCCTGAAACTAATGTAGTGAATTTTTTTTGTATTTACCTTTAGTATCGAAAATCTCACTGTTTTAAAAAGCATACATATACTTCCCCTGCCTTTTGTGATCAATGTGGAACACTTCTTTATGGTATTGTCAATCAGGGCATCCGATGTGAAGGTGCTACCCATTTTGTTTATTTTTTGGATAGCTTGCCAACTAAATGTCCATAAACATTGTGAGCAATATGTCCCAAGACTGTGTGGCATTGATCATACGGAAAAACGTGGTCGAATATACTTAAAAGTTGCTCATGAAAGATCCGCCTTGGTCGTTTTTGGTAGGCAATATTCCCACGTTCTGACAATTATGAACTTTAACTAACATCTTTAGTTAAGGAGGCAAAAAATCTTGTTCCTATGGATCCAAACGGACTAGCGGACCCATACGTTAAGATTAAGTTGACCTGTGATGGCGAAAGGAATCGAAAGTTCAAAACAAAGGTGGTAAAAGCTTCTTTGAATCCAGAGTGGAACGAAACATTTACAATGTAAGTTTTGGATTTTTAAAGCCTCACAAGCCCCTACTATACTTTTCTGCTATATTCGCCTATCTACCTTTTTTCATTAAGAGCTTTACTGCTGCTTTTTAATTGTATGCTGTTTATTTCTAATCTGAAATGGTGACTGCAGTATCTTTATTTTTAAAAATGACTAACTATTTGAACGGAGATTGAATTATTCGTTTAAGTTCTGTAAATTACAACCAATAGCTGACTATTTACTCTTAACTAAGGGTCCTTTTTATATAAAGTTGCGGTTGCTTACCTGCGTTTGCCATAAATTTTGGTCCGGAACTTAATTTACTGTTAATGGTTACATTTTAAGGAAATTTTAATGTGTGAGTACAATCATCTTGTAGGCATATAAAACGCAAACTTTAAATTGAACACCACCACTTTCGGGCTTTAAAGGTTAGCTTGTCTCGATTGTAACTACGTTCGAAACAGTACTGATGAGTATTATGGTTAATTTTTAAAACAATTGACAATGTAAATATTATCAATCTCATGATTTAGCAAACTCTGTTGGTTCCTCTCGTTGGTGGTCGCACTTAAAATCGTAAAAAGTACCAAACTATTAATTTTAACATTTCGAATTACTATGAGTCAATTTAGTCGTACAAAATTACGAATACACACCAAGAAATTGGTTGAGCTCTGTCAGGACCTCCGGAAGAAAACTGGTTTCAACTGATGAATCTTATTTTATCCCAAGCAATCCCACTACTACAGGAGGATAACCGTTTGTGCTATCATAGAAACATTTTTATACGCTTGCATAGTATTTGAAACAAAATTCTAAGTGTCTCAAAAAGATACAATTTTCCAGTTGAGATGCACTTAATGAAGAAACTTTAAGACAACGATGCTGTTTTTGCTGCCATTTGGAGGAGGGTCTGTAAAACAGCCCACAGGCACGTGCTACTGTCCGTATCAGGTCGAACAAGCCGCAGCCACATATAGGGTGCAAAGGGGTAAAGAAACCAACGCCTACCTGTAGTGTGCCACTTTCGGCGGGTGCTGAAGTGACGCAGCACATTGGACAGCGCTTAGATGAGTGTCTGCGCATAGAGACAAATGAGCAAGGCAAGAAGTGCATCCCTCTTCTTTCCATCGAATAGCCGAAGATAGACCTTTCTACGTTATGCTTCAGAGTTGTTGATTCGCTAAAGTTAAAGATACATGCGAAGATTTATTATTTACAAGCACTACACCCTCCATCCTCGTATCGCCAATTTTCATCCACTGACTTTTGCATGTGTAGGTTGGAAACAAGTAGAATTCATTCAGACTTCAATGCCAATACCGTGATTTGTAGATCTAGCAGATGGCTGCCGTGATGTATACGTCAAAAAAATAAAAGTTCAAAGGAAACAATTAACACTGATAATACAAGATCTTAGCATTTTAACTTGTAATGTGAATGAGTAACAATAAAAGGCACAAATTGAGAAGTGGTCCTAATATGAGCTATTATTTCAGAGGTTAATTGCATTGTTGCGCTGGTTTGGTCCATGATGGGCATGCAATAGGGCCAGGACTGTAGCCGAGAGTTGAGAGGCGTCTTCGGTTGGGTACACAAAGTGTCTGGTGGTTGGTTTGCGTCTTCTCTGTTTGAAGCAATAAACGGTGGCAACTTTTATTTGCAGTCATAAAATTGACGATAAATGGAATAACAAGTTGGCATGAGCATAGACAACAGGCGATGCATCCCTTTGGTTCAACTACTAACCGCTCATGTGGTGAGTGCTGATCGGTTAAGAAGAAGTCCTAACCCAAACAAATACTTGACTGAAAAAAGCCTCTTGCAATGCTACGGAGGGAACAGAATACAGGCGAATTTTGTCCTCCTGTCCTTGAACCTCTTTGTCGCACTGATTGTCCCCTCTGGGGCGATCGTGTGTGGCAGTAAGATCGCCAGTTCAAACATCCACTTACTCAAAGTTAGTGCGATGTTACTGTTTCGTTCTCATCATACGATTTCTTTGCTTCTTGGCAAACCAATTCCCTCAGCCCTTTACTGACATTTTATTGTACTTTTCAATTTAATGTCTCCAGTTTGCAGAATTTGGTCTTCCTCAAACAACTTCTACACAGGTTTTATAAGCGGTTGAGCCTCACATAAAAGGGACTGACAAACATATTTGTAAGGGAAAAATCACTTATTCACTTAATCGAATCCTCTAAACGTACCATCTATGTAAATTAGTCTCTGAGTTTGCATGATACCCATCCCAATGCTCGAATAAGTACAACTTCTTTAGTCATTTTTGGTGGTGGCAAGTCATTTCAAACAATCGGCCACTTGAAAGCTTAAAGTTCAAATCTGCAGGTGAACGGTTGCATTTTCGAAAGGCGATTTGTGATTCCCCTCCCTAATCTGGGAGAGTTAATTTTACGTTTTTTAACGTTGGCACAAGTAGGAAGCCATAATGGGTTCTGTTTACAAATAGCTCATATTGCAATGCAATATTTCAAAATTCTCTGTTTAGCGCCCATCCCAAACCCTTAGCGATTTCATTTATCAAAGAGTTTTTGTCTCTTTGTTGAGACCTTGCATAATCAGCCACCTTGCGATATTTAGCACTATCTATGCAAAGTTCGGCTGACAACTGTGTGAAATGAAATGACAATTTTGTGATCGCCTTAGAGACATAGCTCCGGAAGACGAGTCGAAACGTTTGATGATTGAAATGTGGGATTGGGATCGTGCCTCCCGAGACGATTTTATGGGTGCTCTCTCGTTCGGTGTGTCGGAGATTATCAGACGCCCTGTCGACTGTTGGTTTAAGTTGCTGAGTAGGGAGGAGGGCGAATTCTACTCCATTCCTTGCTTCGATGCAAAGACGAACGCCATGTTGAATATGAATCGTGCCAAATACGAGGCGAGTTTGTCGAGTTTACTAAATGTGTTGAGGACTGACTTGGTAAATTATCCTTCTAATGCGACTGAGAGATGATGTCAATGAAGACTAAATGTCACGGTTTATAAACAAAACATACGCGGCAGGTGCTTTCGTGTAAACTTGGATGAGCTTTTAATCATGTCATGTCAATGTGAGCTTTGATCACGGGACCAATCCACATTGTCCTCATCGTTGTTGTGATTAGGAGCTGCTTGTAAGAGGAGTCAAAATCTTGATTTAAAGCGCAAACCCTTCCATCGGCCGAGATCACGGAGCTAAAAACATGCTCCATCCACTGGCAAATAAAGTCGAAGTGAAACACAAGTGACGTGAATTGACCTCAACAGACCCTCTGACCTACATTTCTAGTAATGTACGCTCTCGAGGCAAGTCGGTTCTTTGCCAAATTCAAGTGACTTTTCGCAGTCAAGGTGTGATGGAGTGTTCGTCTACTTCAAGCAAGTATCTAAATGTCTACCCAGTGAATAGGCATTCATAATGTTAAGACTTCATGTGGCAATGTGTGTGCCTCTAACCTTTCCAAAACTTCAGGATATAGATAACTTACCAGTACTCATTTAAGGTGTTTTTTTTTCAGTCAGGAATTTAATATTTTTGAATTAAATATTCATATTAATTACTGGCTTAGAACTCCAACGGCACCAATCCGGGCAGAGACGACAACCGAGTACAGAGTAAGCAGGATACGCTTCGGGTCACAGATTTCAGGTTCCTTCGAGTTCTTGGGAAAGGAAGCTTCGGAAAGGTGGGTGTCGCTAATCTAACCCACTGTAGTAGATGCCATTGCGTCAAAGACTATGTGAATTTTATTCATTAGATATCATTCAAGAATGATAGAATCAAGCATTAGACAAGATGACTTTGTTTAAGGCTGGGAGGGATGCTTTGAGTTGATTTTTTTTTGCTGCATTTAAAGGTGATTCTGGCAGAACATAAGAACACCGACGAGGTGTATGCAATCAAAGTGCTGAAGAAGGACATCATAATCCAGGAGGACGATGTTGAGTGCATTATGGTGGAGAAGAGGGTGTTGGCCCTCCAACAAAAGCCTCCATTCATAGTACAGCTTCACTCCTGCTTTCAAACTATGGTGCGTCAATTACTTCTCCTTCATTTATTCCCTTTAGCAGGCACCTGCCTGCTGTACAGCAGCGTACAATCAACGCTTCACATCTGTATTTCGATCTGCAGGCCTGTGAACTTCAGCCCCTATTTAAAGTAGTAGTTAGGCAAGGAAAAAGGAGGTAGTGGAGAAAACACGCTCTTTTTTGGTTTTGCCTAAGACACATTTTAACCACAATTCCCAGGGCGCTTCACTTTTACAACTATTTTGCTCCATTTTTCAAATTGAGAGCAAAACTGACAAGTGCTTAAGAGTAAAAGGGAAGAAATTTTAGGCTAGGAGATCTTGTAAGTGTGTTGGTAAGAAGTGTAGACTTACAAACGCGACAGAGCATGTTGAATATTTCATACATCAACTGCCGCAGAAAGTGCTCCTCTACCTTTGCTAAGACGCAACTGTTTTACGCAATTTGTGGGCCTTAAAACCAACCTCCCACCACTTCTAAGATCCACATTACTGCCAATCTCCAGCTCCCACTTCACCAACTTCTACATGTATGGCAAAGCAAATGAGGAGCAGAATTAAACAGTGGTCCCAACATCATCTGCAAACGACATTGACATTCCCTTGAAGGTGGCACATCGACTGGACTGCATCCGTCCAAACACAATAACAACGTGGTGCCACCACTCAACCCCCT